CTTGTGTGAAAGTTTCACGTTCAATGTCGCAACTAGCCCAAAAAATATTTTTTTGGTCGTCGTCGTCGAAGAGGTCGACCCCCTGATCCAGTTTGGCTGGTGGCGACATTGCGAAATCTGGGATTGGCAAGCTTGATCGTGAAACTTTCACACAAGGTGCAGTTGGCCAAGCCGAGCACACTGTTCTATCAAAGACCCCACGTTTCATTGTAAAGTTCGGAGATACAGGCACCTTTATGTTTGTAAGCGTGATGCTATATGAGAAGTGGTCTTTGTTCATTGCCAAGTAGCTAGACCCTGGAGAGCCAAAGATGCAGAAGGACCTCTTTGGGTACCTCAGCTAAAAAGTCAGGACTTCAGGGACAATGCATGACAGGTACGCAACCCTCCCTTTTATGTCATACATTGGCAGCTAATAGCCACTTTTGTGCATTCCCAACTTTTGTGCATTCTATTGTAGGTGGACGTTGCTCCTGCTCTAGGCATTCATTTCCATGATTAAAGTAGGTTGATCCGAGCTGATTTGGTTGAGTTACGCTCACACAAGATTACATCGGTTGAGCTACATCGAGCGTACTCTATGTCCAGAGTGATGTAATCTCTCTTTGACCGTAGCTCAGTCAAATCAGCTCGGATCAACCTACTTTAATCATGGAAATGAATGTCTAGAGCAGGGGTATCGTTCCCATGCAGTGGATCTCGCAACAATGATGAATGGATAAAAGTGGCCGTTAGCTAGCAATACATGCCTGTTCCTAGATGATCCATAAAGTAATTATACATTGACCCTTTCATTCATGCAAACGTAGCTGTGTTACACAACACGACCCTCTGCATCTTTTGCTCTGTCAGGGTCTAGCTACTTTACGTTAAACAAAGACCACTTCTCATATAGCATAACGCTTACAACATAGTAAAAACATAAAGACGCCTGTATCTCTAAACTTTACAATCAAACGTGGGATTTTTTAGAGCAATGTGCTCGGCTTGGCCAACAGCACCTTGTGTGATAGTTTCACGTTCAATGTCGCAACTAGCCCAAAAAATATTTTTTTGGTCGTCGTCGTCGAAGAGGTCGACCCCCAGATCCAGTTTGGCTGGTAGCGACATTGCGAAATCTGGGATTAGCCACGGTGAACTTGAAACTTTCACACAAGGTGCAGTTGGCCAAGCCGAGCACATTGCTCTATTAAAAACCCCGCGTTTCATTGTAAAGTTTGGAGATACAGGCGTCTTTATGTTGTAAGCGTGATGCTATATGAAAAGAGGTTGTTGTTCATTGTAAAGTAGATAGATCCTGGAGAGCCAAAGATGCAGAGGGGCGTGTTTGTGTAACTCAGCTCATTATGCATGATTGGAAGGGCCAACGTATGATACCACATACACTATCTATGATTGGCAGCTAACAGCCACTTCCTCACAATCGGCACTGTTGTTCATTCTATTACATGTGAACAATGCTCCTGCTCCAGCCGAGCATTTCCATCGTTCAAGTTTCTTGATCCGAGCCGATTTGACTGAGCTACGCCCAAACAAAGAATACATCAATTCTTGAAAGACAGACCCTGCGAATGTCTCCGTCTTTCAAACTTTTGGACGCACCCATTCCAAATTTTCAAATGAAGCATGAAGTTTTTATTAGAAAAAGTTGATCAGCATACTCGAGAGCACCCTTCTGACCAATTTTCAAGTTGGAGGTGGGCAACTTCGGGGCGGTGGCCCGTCCGCTCTTTTGTTCCCGTCATCCACCATTTGGACCTCCCCGCATTTTAAATCTTCTTAATGAAGTCAGCGACTTTTAAATGAATGGAGTTGATCAGCATGTCCCATCGAACCTTCTGACAAAGTTTCAGGTTCGAAATGGGGAATCCCAAGGTAATGTATATTGTTTCGATAAATCATGAATCTGGGGCTGACCTGCATTTCCGACTTACATAGTAAAACCCCCATTGTACCCTCCCATTCAATTTTTTATAATGAAATGTATGTTCTTTATTAATACAACATTGATCAGCATGTCCAAGAGCATCTTGTGTGAAAGTTTCAGGTTCGAGAGGGGCAATCTCATAATCAAGAATTGATGTACATTTATACAAGAGGTGTGTGGCCTATTTAATTTCCACTTCTTTCACCTCAACTTCTTCCCTCTTCCTCCCATTCTCAACTGTTGGTGCATTCAAGTATACAACTACCACCTACGAACGATTGTCCTGCTTCAACCCATCATGTCAATCCAACAGTTGTCTTGATCCGATTGTCTTTGACTGAATGGCGAGTTCATGGCATGTACACAGTTTTCTTGTCACTTCTACAACACACGAGTCTCTTGACACAACACATGCTCTTGCACGCTTCTCTACCACGACCGATCGTAACAGCAGCATCCATTAGCAAGCTCTTTACTCCATTGTCTCAATCAGCGTTCACGACCTTGTCACTCTACTACAACACACGCTCTTGCACGCTCCTCTTCCACGACCCAGCGTAGCAGCTATTGCTATTAGGAAAGTCTTTGCTTCATTGTCTCAAGTTACTTGCAGCAGCATGCCTTGCAGCCTTTGTCTACATGAACAGCAGATAGCCATTACATAGAGGCAGCTTTATTTACGCATAGCAACTTTCTTCAATACAAACGGATTCCTATGGAGGATATGGATATGAATTATGGTTGGTATGTACATGGGATGAAAGGGTATTGGATATATACAACGCGTGGAAAAAGAGTGCATCTATTGTCAACGTCAACCTTTGTGCTTTCATCCTGAACGATTGGTGCATTCAATTATCGTACTTTACACGCTATTTCATGGGGGCAGTTACTATCATCATCCTTGTGCAACTTGTCAACATCACCATCCAAGTCCCTTTTTGACACGCCATGCGTATATGCACCACATCTCACCCATCCATTTGCCTTTTCAAAATACACTCACAAAGGATAGAGGGTTTCCATATCGATGTATCTCTCCCCCTCCTCATTAGAGCAATTCGTTGTACATACCTCTCAATCTTGAATGACGATGTTGGATTAAAAGGGGTTGCTTTATTAGCGAATACGAGACTTTTGTTTGCCAACCATTTCCAAGTTTCTATGATGTAAGAGACCTTCCTTCTTCTTGATGGGACCTCATTGTGTGTGAGGACTTGATGCATTGTATCATAGAAGTATATCCATTTGTAAATGCTATGATAATGGAAACGAGAGGGACTGATTTATTCATTGTTGTGTCTTGAACAAAGACTGCTGTATTCGATTGTATGACTCAATTGTGATGATAACTTGTCGACAGCGTCGTAATGAACGTTCCTCTTATGTAAGTGCGGTGGGAGATGTAGTCATTGACCTTGATGATGATGGTGGATCAGCGGCCCTTGGAAAACAAAAGCTAAACTGGCACGTGCGCGATGCGAAACTTGTCCTCCTCTTTTGACACAACCCGCCTCTTTCTCTTTGCAGCATGGTCGATGATCGAGAACCTGACGTCGCCATTGAAGAATGTGTACAAAGCAAACGACTTTATCACCATACAACCTATCACCATATATCTCCTGAAGAACGATCCCTGATTCAGCAGCAACTACTCGAATGGTACGATCGTGAGAAACGTACGAACATGCCCTGGCGTAAAGAATACCGCAATGATCTCGATCGCGAGGTAAACGTTGATACTGCAGAGTTACTGGATGAAGGCGTGAGGATCAATGTCTTATCGGGTTCTGTTATATCTATTGGATTGTGTACCTTGATCAAAAAAGGCGCTTGGTCAGCGAGCTTATGAAGGTAGAGTACGCGACATGACAACACAAGCAAGGTTGACTCCACGAGTGAATTAACATGGTATCTATTTGGGATGATGAATAGTGTGGGTCAGCGAGATTATGTTGCAGCAGGTAAAGGAATGATTGACAATCCAAACATGCTACTTCTTTGTGTAACTATGTGATTTATAGACTCAGGTCGCCACGGTCATTGACTATTACAATCGATGGATGGAGGCTTTTCCTACTATATTTGATCTTGCAAAGGCGGATATTGAGGTATGGATTGATTCGACAGCTTTACAAAAGGAGACACTGATGCATGATGCGTGATCGCTAGCGCGTAAATACTCTATGGGCTGGTCTCGGTTATTACTCTCGTGCACGTCGATTATGGGAAGGAGCTCAAAAAGTGGTCAAGGAATTTGATGGCATTCTCCCGAATAATGCAAAGGATCTTCAGCATCATATACCAGGAGTGGGTCGTTATACAGCAGGAGCCGTAGCATCCATTGTATTTGGTCAAGAGACGCCTGTTGTGGATGGCAATGTTATTCGAGTGATTGCTCGTCTTCGTGCATTAGGTGCGGATCCAAAGAAGGCAAACGTGGTGGAACTTTTTTGGTATGTTTATATCCCTGCCTTTTAATACACCCCCTTTCCATCCATGAGGAAGCTTATTACTTACGTTGATCGAACGCTATCACGACAACAGGGAGATTGCAGAAGGTCTGGTGTCTCAAAGTAGGCCTGGCGATTTCAACCAAGCATTGATGGAATTGGGAGCACGCGTGTGTACACCTCAGGGGCCTGACTGTGGAGCGTGTCCAATCAAGGCACAATGTCATGCTTATGCACAGCTTGAAACTCACTCACGGCTAAAAGCAAACGGGTTTTGGAAGGCGACACCTGCTGGACAAAAGCGGAAACGCGATATGGAACATGGTAAATGCCAAAAGGAAAAAGGAATATTCATAGCCATCTTAAACATGGATGTCATTTTTAGAATGCAAGTATTGTTTGGAAATCCAAACCGATTTGACAGATGAGGACTATGCAGTGACAAGGTTTGAGGAAAATCATTTTATCCCGAGCCTAAACTCACATCCCCTTTTTCGTTTACAGATATCCAGCAAAACCAGAAAAGAAAAAGCCGCGGGATGAAGGTAAGATACATGAATGCTAACGATTAATACATGACGCTTATGACTTCCATTTTTATTCAAAGAATGTGCAGTTTATATCCTTCAATCTAATCAAGCCAACAATGACCGATACCTGATATCCAAACGACCTGAGACAGGTTAGCTGCTAATGTTAACTTTTTCAGTCAAACAAAAAACTGGTTTCTGATGTTGTTTTTAGGTTTGTTGGCTGGGCTCTGGGAGTTTCCAAGTTTGGAACTTGATGCGCTGGATACGACTTATGATCAACGAGCAGCCAAAGCGACCGAATTTCTGAAGGAGCGATATGGCATTTCAATACCATCATCAAAGGATGCTTCCTTGCAACGACATGACCTTGGCAACGTGGTGCATCTTTTTTCTCATATACGCAAGGTGTATCATATCGAATGGATCAAAATGGATTTGGATCAAGAAGCGATGGATATGGCTGTTGCCATGGCTGTATCAAAGAGCGACAAGGACCAAGCACGTTGGGTCGACCTGCAAGAATTGAAAAAGTCACCTATACCCACAGGATTGAAGAAAGCGATTAAGCTGATGGAGAACTTTGAAAAGGTAACATGAGCACATGCATAGTGAACCTTTGTTCTTTTTACTAATGAATGAATGCTTCTCATTGTATCGATGTGTGAATGATCCAGACCTCAAACAATGGGAAAAAGAGCGCAGCGACAAGGACAATGCGGAAGCAAGCATCCAAAACATCGTCGTCGGGAAACAATGCGGACATTTCGACGTTCTTTCTAAAGAAATAATCATGCAAACGATAGCCAGTGTAAAACGCCAAAATGAAGTTTGGGGGAAATACAATATCGCGTGCGTGTCTATTGCAACATTTTCACAGACCGTCCAGGGTGAATATTGTCAAATGTGTATGGTGCAAGTGTAATTTAAAGAGAGCATCCGAAGCAAGGAGACATTGAGATGGGCTTGCGTGTGTATGTGTTAGGGGTTAAAAACGAGACAAGATACAATGACACGGATGGGTACATTGTAAGAGAGTGAGGGAACGAGCATGGAAAAGGGAGGGATAAAAAAAGAGGTGAATAAAGGGGGGTGGTAGGAGAGTGGATCGTTGTTGCAGATCGACGAAAATATAAAGCCTAGACCATTCACTATGCCATCACATTTAAACATCCCCACTTCTTCTCAATCTTCTTTCTCATCTATTTTACTTATCCTCCCTTTTTCATTTGAAAACAATTCGTCATGAAGAGCTTGTATTTCCTATGCTTGACAGCTCTTGCTTTAGCCGGTCAAGTGGAAGCTAAACCAATTTCTAAATTGCATCGTCGTGATGGTGATAAAGTAGCCTGCCGTAACTACAAGACCGATTTTTCCGAGGGACTTGATGGATGGGTAGCAGCTTACGCGCCCGACAACACCTTTAAGCAATCAGACCGTGGACTTGAAATGTACTTGATTCGACCTGATGAATACAAGGACCCTAAGCACTATAAGGCTTTGGATGATGGAGACGAAGATGGTAGGTTACATAGTAAATCATGCCATGGCTTTAAGATCACTCAACATCCCATTGTATTATAGGTCCCCATAACGAATTTGTCGGTGCTGGCCCAACATTTAATTCGACCACCTACATGCATTATGGCACTATAACAGCTGAAGTGCAATCGGCTTCCGTTGGTGGTGCTGTCACCGCGTTTATTCTTATGGGCGATGGCAACGACGAAATCGACTTTGAGTGGGTAGGAGGTAAATCTACAATGGGCAAGAGAGAGACAAGTTTTATTTTACTTGATTTGGTTTTATAAGGGGGTGGAGGAAGGGGTAAGGTGATGATACAATTGCTAATCGATATCTTGTTTGATAACCATATCCGATGTTCCACGTGCAGAACAAGGAAATAAAGTCCAGTAAGTATGCATAAAGTGAAAATAGCAACAACAATCCTTGCTGACCATGATGACAACCTCCTCTCCTTACTTTTGTAGAACAAATTACTTTTGGGGACAAAAGGTTGTAACCGGTGTAAACGATAAGGAAGTCGATGTCAACGGCGAACCTTCCCACAAAGCTTTTCACACCTACAAAATCGAATGGTACTATTATACGAGGATGGCTTGGGTTTAACGTACTCACACACAAAGATGTAGGACCCCAGAGCATATCAAGTGGTACGTGGATGGTGACTTGACGCGCACCAAAACAAAGAAAGAAACTTGTGAGGATAAAGAGAACGAAAAGAATTGCAAGTTCCCAACACAGCCATCGTAAGTATGAACCCTTTTATCAAGCACAAAGCATATCATTGATGATCGTTTCCCTGTTCTAGGCGTATCCAACTCGGACTTTGGGATGGTAGTAAACAACCTGGCACAGCAAAATGGGCGCGCGGACCAATTGACGTAAGCTGAGATGCAAATGCAGCATAAAATGTGTGTTACTTACAAGCTTGTTTATCACTAGTGGAGTAAGCATTCTTCCATTCCTGCATACATCAAGAGCGTTACCTCTGAATGTAACCCGGAATACAATGACATTATAAACGACGACGAGAACGAGTGATCCAATAACCGCTTTGACATTATTACTAGTAGTACGACCTTGTAGTCTTCATTTCCTTTGCATTTTCTTAATCAATGTAGTGTTAATTACTCTTCAACCAATACAACACGCATATCCTGTGATGAAATTACATTCGATAGAAAAGATAGCCTATATTCATATTGCTGCTACGGTATTATTGTAACTGCCAATGCATATGCACGAAATGCTCTCGGGGATTTTTTCGTAGATGGAATGCGGTAAATGCTTTTCCTTTTCATTTGACTTGGGTCATTTGGTTCCTTTGTTTTCTTCTCCACGACTTTAATTCTAACATGGATAACTTGCAACAGCTCTCTGCAGAGATCCACGACCTTTTAAGGTCTAGTAAATATCATTCACAACGACTTCAGCATACATCATCCGCGACAATGAATACAATCCACAAATTTTTGGTGTCACGGAACAAAGGATGGCGTAAAGGTGGTGCTCAGGTACAACCTGTCGATGCTTGCAAACAAATCAAGCCACCACCACCAACATCACAAAGTGCCAACCATGAGCTATCAGACATACCATCATCCAACCATGGGGATGAGAGTGAGCTTTCATCCATGTTATCAGAAAAAGGGGATTCATCAAGCAGTGAGCATCATGAAGATGCCTTACAACAACAACATGCAAGCACAGAAACAGATGCCACCACCATCACTGGTACAGCAACATGCCTAACACCAAGCTACACAGCGCCCCACATAAAACAGCAGCAACAGCGTGATGAGGAAGAAGAAAAGTCATCGTTGTCATCAACAGGCACACTTACATTGCTTGAAAATCCTCCAGCAAAGTCGTCTTGGCGATTGTTGCATCAACATCAAGGCCTTCGAAGAGCCGTAACTTGGATTGGACAACCCCTTAACAAGATACTACGCATGGGTGCTGATGCCGCTGCTCTTGATGTTGCCCTTAACCTTGATCGTTTCATTGTCTATGATGCCAACAAGAGTCACTTGCAACCATCGAGGTACGCATTAAAATTTAAAAGGATGCTTCATTATTAACATGAGGAGTTAGATCTGCAACTTATACAGCACGACAACTCCACTGCAGGGTACTTCAAATTACGAATTTCACGTCTTCACGTGGTAAGTATGTGGAGGCAGCTGACGGACGTATACTAATAGGCTATGTATGTAAAGAATACCAATACGAGTTAGCTGTGCAACTCAATGGCGAGGTGATCCATACCATTACAGGGTTGACCAAAAAGGTGACGAAGGGCGTGAGTGCTGCAAGTCCACAACAAACGTTTACATTGTAAGTGTAATCCAACAACAAGCGCATGAGAAGTTGAGCATACTAAAAGAGCATGCCATTTAGTATGGCTGATGGGCCTTTTGAATTGAACCTTGTTTTAATGGGACGTCCCGTTATACCAACAAGCCTTGCAGATGGCATTGCACGCGTACGAAATGCATGTAGTAGCAATAACCACCATCACGTGCCACGTCAAATGCCTATTCTTGGATCCAAACAATTACTCTCTGGTGATTCGTTGGATGCTTTTGTGTCCCAAGGGATTTGCCGTTACACACTCACACCGCCATTATGTGCGTCTGCCGATCATGCCAATATGGAAGTGATGCTTATGTTTCGCCTCGATCATGAAGAATCATCAGAGCATCATCATCAACAAAGCTTGTATTCCAATGCAAGTCTTCCTTTGACAGCTACTACAACAGCCATGGCGGATGATACAGCAAGTGATGCCTATAGCATCACACTACACGATGCTCTTGAACATTGCAGGCGAGGTGATTCATTGACTTTTTACGTGAGAGGACAAGGTCATCCTGTAAGTGGATGGAAATGGGTTGGGGAAGGAAAAATGAGTAAGAAAAAAAAAGCTCACATCTTGACATGACTACAAAACCAGGTGTGGATCCGCTATTGGGTTAGATTGCATGATCGACATATGCTGTTGTACAACACATCATCCCAGGTATAATGATAAGAGGGCGTTTTATGATCCACCCACCACTCATAGCATCGATCATTTCAGGAAAAGCCTGTGGATACCATCCCACTGGAATACATGCGCTTTGCAACACGGCCTACAAGCGATGATCAAGAACGCGTCTATATGAGCTCATGCTGTGGCATCGTGTTGCAATTTGATCGCAACAGTGCTACGTTTGTTGAACCGGCACGATTGGATGATAGCGAAGTGTTGGGTGGCAAAATTTACTTTTATGCCGATAGTGATGCTTGGGCGGCATGTTGGCGACATGCCCTTGCATTACAAGCCAAACCTGGTGTGATGTTGAAAAAAGACCATCAACGTCGAGATGGACGTGTCAATTTACGTTACATGTGGTGAATAATATCATAGTACTCTTTATATAAGAAAGTCGATGATGGATACAGTGAAGGAGGTGGGGTGGTGGTGGTGTGAATACAAGCTTTTCCTTCTAAGGCATTTTGCATGTAAAATCATAAAAAGGGCGAGAGGTATAATATGCGCGTATATTACATTGCATACGATGGTGATGTTTTTTTCAACGATACGTATCATTTTCCACAAAGCATTGCATCAACGCTCATATTGGTATTGCTTGTCTCGGATGGTGATGATCGATTGACGGTACGACCTAAACCATGTTTTCGTGCATCAATGATGTCCATTGGTTTGAGACCCCTTAAAGGCTGCTCGTTATCAGTGGATGCTATTGGTGTGGGTGGTGACTTGTTGAGAGCGAATTGGCTTGTGAAAGGAGCAACTTCTTTAGGCACCATAGGTTGAGGGGATTTGATCCTTGGTGGTGGTACATGTGTTGTTGTTGTTTCTTCCTCATCATCATGGTCATCATGATCATCATCCAACCTCCTCTGATGTTTCTGCCGGCCATCAGCTTTATCCACCGTATGTTTCAAATGTGTGATGTAATCGATAGCACTTTGCAAAATAGTCATCTTGTTAAGATGCTCTTGATCAGCACACGATGGTATCAGCTGCCGTAGCTGGATAATCTTGTCGTTGATCCTTTCACGTCGCCTACGCTCAATAGCGCTGTGTGACACCTTTCGAGCTAACTCACGCTCATCCGCTGTGCTGGGTCTTGATGCAGGTGATGTATGTAAAGCTGTTGTTGGTGGTGGTGGTGGGGCTGGATAATATGCCAAGCCGCTACCACTAGGTGATGGTACATCACCTGCAGGTGACCTTGGTGGTGCTTGTGATGATGGTAGTGCTGTAGCAGGTGTGGCTGTGAAAGGTGGTGATGTCGATGAGGGTGAAACAGAGATGTACACAGGATGATGTGGATGATGATGATGGTGTGGATACACTGGATAAAAAGGAACAAGATGTGGGTGTACTGAAAGAGGCTGTTGGGTAGGATAAGGGATGATCGGCGGTGGTAACACGCTACTGCTGGAAGGTGTTTGTGAAGGAGATGGCCTTGTACTAGCACGTCTCCTAGGACTTGCTGATGATGAATGAGTTGTGGATGATGAAGAGTCACTTGTAGTTGACACACGTTTACGCTTGCTGGTGGTAACAGTGGCCGTATTGCTTGTCCTGTTGTCTGCAACGCTAGTTGTTGGTGGTGATGATAGCGTGTTGCTTGACTGTGCTGGTGACGAAGACTTTGGAGGCGAAGGTGGAGTGGTGGGTGAAGCGGTTGTCGACATTATCAGCTTGTGCGAATCATACGAGTGTCGTTAATATTGTCAAAAAGTGAAAGAAAGAAAATCAACAACCCCTAGGGAGAGAAAGGAATCATATATGGTACACAACATTGCAGCAACAGAATGATGGGATCGACCAGTAAAAATATAAAGAGTCAAGTGGTCTGGGATACCAATCGCATGTCTGATCCAGCGACACGTGCCATCATGGCTGGGTGTAAACTACCTATGCTATGAAATGTGAGATTTCCAAACATTCCATGGTGCCGGTGGGATTGATTAGCGTGTATGACTTCATGAGCTAATAAACGTGTGGTAGTTTCTTGAAGAATAAAAGGACTACAGCAAGTCCAAAGAACAAAGAAATGGATATGGGGCGAGACTTGGAGGTGTTGATACGGATTGTTGGAGAAAGCTCAGGCCAAGTTATTCGTTCCGCGTAATCCAATCAGCTTCATTCTTCGAAACACACGCATTTTTTCAAGCCTGGGATTTCACGACTCTAATTTTCCCCGCATTTTACGCCATCGCCCTTCCGTTAGCTATTACAGAATGACACCCCAACTCTACACCACCATGGCATATGCATGCAACTTTGATGAACATCATATTACGTCATGCATAAAGTATACTATTGGCAAGAAATGGTCATGTGATGAGCCCGCACTTTGATTTTCTGCATAGTAGCAATTGTCGATTTATGCATAAAGGATGACGATGGTTATCATATACGTCTAGTTAAACATGAAGAAGGGCATGTGCAGATGTTGGATCTCTATAACTATATACTACGGGGAGTGAAATTGGGAGCGACAAAAACAAGATGATACAAGAAGGCAAATGCATGAAAGAGAGGAACAATGGGGGAAACCAAAGTGCAAAAGTAGATGCAAGTATAAATGACAGTGATAAGGGAATATGACAAATGTGCATAAACAAACGCTTTAAATGTGCCATGCGTTGAAAATTTGGTCAATAGCAGGCATGCTGGATCGTCGACGAGGGCTACGAGAACGTGGAGAATGGCGACGTTGATGGTTGTGGGATTTTACCGTACTTGCTTTGGATGATACACTAGCACCATCTTCTCTTGCAGCTTGTTGTTGATCAAAGGCGCTGGTACCAAATTGGAAATGATTGTTCACAAAATCATTCAACAATGAGCCTGAAGAGCTGCTACCAGTTGAGCTGCCATCCATAGAGCTAACGGTGGATGATGAACTCCATGTACCAAATTTGCCTTTGCCATGGTGATATACGGAGTCTTCTGAATTCTTTGCTGATGTATGGTATGATTGACTTTGCTTGGGCTTGTAACGTGAAGGCACTTGTGGCACGGGTGGCAAGCTATGGTATCGATCATCAAATTCTTCCTCATCAACATCGAGTGATACAGCCGACACCGAATGAGTGAGGGGTCGAGCATAACCAGTAGGCAGTGTCAAACGACGAGGCATACGACCAAAGACTTGAGTGGAGTTGATGGCTTCTCCTTGTACCATTTTAAGATATTGCTGCTCATCAAACATCTTCAAAGCTGCCCATGCTGGGTTGAGGAAAGCAAATCGGCGTCTAATAGTGCCTAGTTTTTCTAAAAGGAACGGCGATGGATTAGCTTTTTGAAATAGGAGCTATATTAAAACAAAGTTTTACATACGTTTACCAATACCACCTTGAGAGGAGATACCGTGCAATGGCTTGTCGGGTGCAGGGATCGTACCTTTGGTACCTTGACGCAAGGGTGCTTTGCCTTTCACCATACGGCAAATGTTACGAGCAATACAAACACCAGCGAGTGTAGCAGCATAGCCTGTTTTTTCCTCCGCAATGTTGGTAGCATCACCACCAGCAAAGATGTGTTGATACTTGTAATGATTGATTTGCAAGGTTGGCTTTACACAAATACGGCCCCAGTTGTCAACGCAACAATCGAGGTCGTTACTATTTTGGAGCAATTGGCTGTTGGGACGTGTACCGGTTGCCATGAATACCATATCATAGCCTGTGTATACTCGGCCGCTAGTGCCACGATACAAGCCAACATTTTCACTGCCTTCGACAAAGAAGATACGTTCATTGGTAACCACCTCGATACCAAGATCTGCCAAATAGTTCATGGCCTTATCACGCTGTGTTGTTTCACTCCGATTGATCACTTGGGGGTGTGAGTCGACCAAAGTCACTGCCTTGTGGGGATACTTGCCGGGAAACGTGCGCAATGCAATCTCCGATGCCAGTTCACACCCGACTAATCCACCACCTTTTTTTCATTGGGGAAGAAAAACAAACACAAATTGCATTAATAAATGGTAAACAAGCGAGCCTTACTGAGTATGGCGGCACTTTTGTTACTTACCCACAATGAGCACCTTTTTGGCATTCAAAAGGTCGCTATGTGTTTGTTCCAGACCGGTCATTCGATAGAGAACAGAAACATCGGTGGATTTGAACTGCGAAGCATATGAACTACCGGTAGCAATCACGAGGTAATCGAAACAAAGCTATGGTTTTTGTCAGCGTAAATGAATAAAAAAGAAACCCACTAAAGCAACCTACAGTTTCACCATTGACTTGAAGCGATTTGGCACCATCATCAATCTTTGTAGCATAGCCAATGATCACCCGCCCATTCCTGACATAGGCATCGTGTCGTACACGCATCGAGCTGGATTCTTCAGGATTCACCAACCGCTTGATAATGCCGGGGGTATATTCAAACGAGTCTGCATTGTGTCGATTGTATTAGCATAATCGCTTCCCACAGCTTCGCCTAAATTATTTAGGTTGTTGGGGGGTACCTTTAGTATCAATTACAGTGACATGGAACAATGGCATGGGATCCAAGATAGAAGCCACCGTAAAGCCCTACATGCCATTTCCACGTGTAAGTATGCAAGGTGTTATATATATCTTCATGTCCTATCTTTGACATGCTGTGTAATTACGTACCGAAAAACCGCCACCAATGATGACAACTCGCACTTGGTACTTGCATGGAGGTTGTTTGATGGACCTTGAATAGAATGTCTCGGTTAAAATCGATAACAATAGCGTTAGCGAATACCCGCTTACATGATGTTGATTTTCTTTGTACGGATAAACTCGTCAAGCTTGGATTGCTATGGGATACGGTATAAGGATTTGGGGTTCATGTTACGTTGAGCATGTATATCCTTACCAATACTTCAAGCACTTGTTCCTCTGTTTCAATGAGCACGGCTACAGCATCTTCTCGACGAATGATGGCCCATTGAAGATCCTCTATTTCTGCATTGACTTTTTCCTTGGTAGTGATGTTGGATAATACAAGTTTTGAATCCTCTGAGAAGAACGATTTATGGATTCTAATCAACCATGTAAGTCATTGTTGTTGTAAATGATCGCTTGACATCATGAGCAGGTGTACCTCCTTAAGGCGATTTCGGGTGTTTTTGAATAGTCATATCGCAATTGAGACATTGCTTCAATAAACAACAAGTTTTGGTGTGCATTGATGCGATGCAAATAGGATTCAAACGATCGTAGTAATTTTGGATCTGAAAGCACGCTTTGTAGTAAATGGCTGTTGTTATTGGTGTTGGTTGTTGACATGTGCGTATGTGCGTATGAATGAATTAAACAACAATGAAGGGAAGAGTAATTAAAAAAAGGAGAGGAAAGATGTTCAATGACAATGGGACAAGGAAAAAGTTTCGGTTTTTTTCTTTTGATGACTCGTCCCTGGCAATTTTTGTACACAGCGGAAGCATTCAGGGTTAGCTGGATGTCTGTGCCAATGCTCAATGCACGACGTTCCCCCCAAAGGGATTTTGCCCCGCTCCACCATAACCATCCAATGATTGCCCGCACAAAGGCACTAAACAGAGAAATAGTCCGCGCACAATGGGTGATCGAAGCGTGTAACATGCTCATGCAAATGGCATGATTTCGCAAGCCAATCAATGAGCGGTCCCGATGTCAACTTGACACCACGGGAAAGACAGCACCTTGGCGGTTGCACGCGCTCCTTGATTATCCGAAATCCGATTTGCTTTCCGATCCATCGCCAATAAAGCTACTTGTCACAACCCAAGACATTGGAATAACATGCGTCATAGAATTCACGTTATTACACTAGTAGGGGTGCTCATTTCCATCATTGAAATGAAAAAGAAAAGGTAGAAGGTATCCATATGCCCATCAATAACCAGATTTACGTCTTGTTTAAATGTTAAATTACATAATCACGCGCGCTCATTTACTATCTGGAATCCGTGCCTGAATTTCTTATGCCATGTGCTCTACCACGTTCAACATGTTTTAGATCTCAAATACCAATGCTGACATTTGCGGCGGGTTTATTTGCTATATTATCCTAAGACATCCAACCCAGACAACACTATTACTTACAATGCCAAACTCAAAAAACTACTCTACACAGGAACACGTATCTTTGTACACTTTGGGTCCCGGTACACCGGAAGAGGGGAATGTAAAATAGCATGATTTACAGTGTATTGTGGTCTTTTTTGTCCAACAATCAGCTTGATGTCGTCATTAGAGTAACTTCAAATGTCCTGTCACTTGATCGACCAATTCCACGGGACCTATATGTGTGTATCATGCATCATTGTGTCAATCATATGGCATCATTTTGTTGAGTGAAATCGAGATTTTCTCGCTTACATACCTGGTCCTATGCCCAACACGGTACGTGAGCCCGCGGCAATCTGTGTACGACCAGCATCACAAATGCTTTGTGCTGTCAAGTTGAGACTCAATGCGATTGCTTGAAGATCCAGCCTTTAATAGGAAATACCGCCTCATCAGTTATAGCTCTACCCGTATCTTGTTCCACAGAGTGTAAACTTTTCGGCTGTCACCGTCAAGAAAACTTACATCTTATCCTCGCTGTCACACTTTAAAGCAACCTTGGCTTGGCCAGTTCTTTCCCATATCCGAAGCACCTAAAGGATAATAATAATGATTGGGTTAACTCCAAAAGTGGGGTAATGCCCATCGATCCTCTTATAGATAAGTATACCATACCTCAGGATTGGATTTCATAGCCGACTTGTAGCATGCAAGCGTAGCGTGTCCACACTACATCATCTACAATCAATGGGGATGTACAATAAAAGAAAGAGTCATCGATTTCCTACCTGAGCTGCAACTTTGCCCTTAGTCATGCCGAGGTCTGTGCGTACCACAAGCACCTACAATTCACATATACAGGGCAATGAGACACGAGTGCCAAAACATCCAAGAATCCCACCTACCATTTTAAAATTGTCGCCGTATTTCCCAACATCCACCTTGCCGACAGGGGCCTCATCGAGATCCGAATCGCTATCCGCTTCTTCAGCTTGAGCTTTTTTGGTTGGCATGGCATCGGCATCCTTTAGAACTATATAAGTATTGAATGGCGTCCCTTCATGTTGCTCTTTTACCTTGCGATTGGAGAACTTTTGACCAATAAAGAAACCCGTCAACAAGGCAACCACGGTTGTTGCTGTAAGCTGCAGAATGGGAAGTGACTCGAGTGGTGATTCACGCGACATGTTGACAACTTTGAAAGGGCGGAAAGAGGGAGAGAGTAGAGAAATCAGCCACTGAGTTTGGATCCGTATCACGTGCATTAAATGTATCCATGCGACCAAGACAATGAATCCCCCCACAATACAATGAAACCATGAAAGTATAACATAATAATGAAACTTGTTTGCTTTATGTCTTTTTTTGTAAGATGCTATGACATGTTTGGATTATCTTTATAACGGTTGCTATCAGCGTTCGCAATACGGGGGGTTTTGCTTTCTCTCCTTGTTCTCATCATCTAAAGTGCTTCGTCTTCTTCCATCGTTGCCGGCAACTCTGATGGTTTCACCATGCCAGGAATAGCCAAAGCCTTTTCACGTTCTTCCTTCCTCTTGGCTTCCATTTCAGCTTCCTTCTCTTCGAGGTACAATTCGGCATTCTCTCCAGCAAATTCTTTCAATTGGATAAGGAAATCACGCACTTCCAACTTGAATTTGGGTGGCACATTGTTGTATTCGAACATGGCCATAACGAACACCTTGATTTGACCACTATTGGGAGGATCATGTCATTAGCATGTTGTTTGAAGAGGGAGAGAGACCTTGTAATAATAAAAGCCTACCTTTGCAAATGTGGGAATGCATTCTGGAGCAAAGCCGTAACATAGTTTTCCAAGAATTGAGCATTGGTGATGTTTGGATCGCTGACTGTTGATGGGTCGAAGAGTGGAACTTGGATGCGGTTGGTGGTGACCAAATTAAACAATTGAGCGAGTACTTCGGTTTGTCCCTTGAAGCCTATTCATCATATCCCAAATCAATAATCCCTCTCAAAAAGATGTATCCATGAAATACCAACCGCTCTTGTGATCACGATCTGTGAGTACAAAGAAAATGTCTTGGAGAATGCTTCGATAATATGACTGATAGAAGGCGCCTGCAATGGCGGGATCTTGCCTGCTGATGTTGTCGATAAGCTCACCACAAATTTGTAAACCAACATCAGCGATATCACGCATCGTGTGCTTGAAACCCCAGACCACACTATCGATAAATAGCTTGAATTGGGCAGGTGCAAGCTCCAAAAGTGCTATAGAATACAAAGCATCAGAATCCATGATAGTGAAAAAAGCATCTGGCAGGCACTTACCAGGGAAGCAGTGAAGGTTGATTGCCCGTAACATGTTGTAGAAACCGGTACGATGCTCAGGGTACTCCGTAAAGTCCTTGGTGATCATATTCAAGGTGGGTTCGAATGTTGCTTCCAGAATGGATGGTACACGTGGGGTCATTAATGACTATGAAAATAGGCTTTAGTTTCCATGGAGACCGTATTTCACCCTGTAGATGGATACGAACCCGAAGCTTGTTCACCATGGTAGCAAGTACATTTAAGACCTCAGCATCTCGTGCAATATCGACACTGTTCCTGTAATCACCAAGTACTGCTTCAAAGAATGGTACCACCATGTGCTGATCAACACGTGTCAAGTCGTCTGCACACTCCAGGTATGCGTCAATCAACTTCAATATTTCTTTCTTGATAGTCCGCAGGCCACGAACTCGAGGTGTCTTGATAGCAATTTCTCCTATACCATCATGTAAGCGCTCATTATACATTTTCAATGGCATATAGATGTACCTTGTGATGCGACAGCTTGTGAAACAAGGTTGCCAACGACACCATATAATGATAGCAGATCCATGTAGATATTCTGCAACTGGAAAATGTAACCAGGGCCAACAGAGATACAAGCCGAAACATTGGTCTTGATCACGTTACCAAGGATCTTGACTTCATTGGCATTATCCAGCACGCTGACATCTTTCTTGACTTGCTCCATGATTTGATTCCACTAAATTTGTGCGTTAATCATCTTGATATGGATACCCACGTTTCCCTTTACTTACGGCAGTGTTGGGCAAATGCATAAAGTTGGCCATGAGACGCTCTTGTGCAGGTTTTTGGTTTTGTGCAGAGATCATGTAGCCGACAGCTTCATAGAATGTGTTGATCTATATCAAGTTAGTCTCATAAATCATGGCCAAGGCGAGGGGATATGTATATACCTGTTGAGGCATGAGATCGGATGTGATGCTGTCAATAGATTCGAGAATTTCATCAATGAAAGGTCGAAGTTCGCCTTGCTTTTGCTGGATAAAGTGGCCCTTGCACTTCTGAGAAATCTTGATGAACGTGTCACAGGCCATGTCTTGTACACCCTCGTGGGATTCATGCATGAATTCAAAGAGCTTGTTGACAACGGTCTTCAAAAACTTCCAATGGGCCTTCAAGAACCGAGGATATTGACCAACCGTGTACATGATGTTGGATGCCACGACAGCCTTGTTATCTTTGCCACTCTTTCTCTCACACAAGCTAAGCAACTCCTTGATCACCGTCACCAAGAAACGCTTTTCAGTCTCCTCATTCATAGCACCCGAAATGGAACCGATTGCCCAGCAGAGCTTGTTGAGATTTTGCCAAGACCACTCACTACCATCCATCTTGAAGGGAAAAAGCAGGGTCAGCAATTGTGGATCTTTTCATCGTCTCATTCCTCCTTTAAATTACCTGGCGGGCAAGCTTTTCAGTCATGATTTGTTCAGTGTCTTGGACATCAAGGTTGGTGAGGTACACGAGAACTTCCTTCATGCTCTTGTACAAGACAATGGTATCGCTCTCCTTGACAAATTCACGGACAATCTCGCCTTCATCATTCTCAACAACAAGCACCTATGTATGACTCGATATCAGTAACATGCGTTCAAGTAGTGTTTACGTGATAACATACCTCTTCGGGCTTGACCATGCGTTCAATCATGACTACACGAAGACTTGACAAGACATCCACATAGCGAGCTTTACGTGGGCGGTATCCTTGGTTCATGCCCATCATGCCGGTGTTGAGCTCAAGCAAATGTTCAGATTGTGGCATTGCACGAACTTCCTCGAAAAGCTCTTGAACCTAGTCAAATGTGGAATGCGGGAGTCAATATGATTGATCCGGTCATCCTATTTCCCTCCCCTCTTTCACTTACAAGTCCTGCCCAATATTCGAGACAAATCTTGAAGATTTCTCGGTCCTCCACGCTTGAGATCTTGATTAAATAGTAGTGTGCGTTGATCAAGAGCTCTTGAGTATTGGGAGCTTGTTCGATGATCTATAAGTTCACTATCAGCATCCGCATCATCCCCGATCGAATCATTTTCATACCTTGAGATGAGCTGCCAAGAAGCTTGTCAAGAAGAGAGCGAGGTTTTGAACGAATTCCTGATCATCATCGCTGCTGTTTTCATAGACGTTGGCAACATCTAATATCAAAATGGTCAATGGGTGTCATCATCGGGCAAAGGGAGAATTGTTTGGCTTACCAGTGTTGGGTGGTATCATAACGTTCACGGCGCTCATTACGCTGGTGAAGAGAAAAGCGAGCTTCTCATGGTATTGTGTGTCGACACTGAGACCGCCAATCTCAGTCAAGCATTTGAGCGTAACATTGCGGAACTGAGTAACCTCAAAGAACTGATGAAAAAGAAAGAATGAGCATGATCTCATTCATCCGCATGATCCCATTGGTTTTGACTTACTCTTGTGCGTAGCGTCTCGATAAGATCGGTTTCAAAAATGTATCCAAGAGGGATCCAATTAAGGAAACGTAACAGAGTCTCCAATGTTGCCTTGATAAGACTTGGCTTTTGAGCCTTGTCGAGCACCTCTTTACAAAGTTGATAGATCTCGGAAAACTCGCCACACATTTGGTTGCGCAAATTGGATGTTTTGATCTGGGTCATTTGTTCTGCTGAATAATCAAAGATTTCCTCACTAATAAAACCGCAGCCCGGTCAGTTTATCCGCATAAACCCAGCCCCACATCCTTCATCATGCATGTATGTTGCTTACTCACCTCAACAATTTCAAGATGGCCATGTTGTTTTCACACAAGGAAAGATTGGATTTGCTTGATGCCACAATTTCAGGAATGAAAGATGGCCAATTGCGGGGCCATTCTTGCTTGAGAATCTATAATAATTTCATGTGAGACACGCGCTCTCTCTCTCTCTATGGTGTGTATGAAGGTGTCCCATGTCCCTTTATCTCTCTCTATCACTCACCTGAACCAGCACCATGTTGAGTTTGTTGATATAGGTCTTCTCCTTGGCCAAAGTAGTTTCATCTGATGACACCTTGACGATAACATTGACAATAAAATAACGGATGGCTGATCAAAGAGAAATAAGGGCTGTCAGTATTAGCTATATCCATTGTATATCCCTAAACTATGTATTACCATTTCGACTCTCAGGGACAAGGGTGTTCCATCTGGTTTGCACGAATTTCTCAAGAATCTGGAGTGCGATAAACTAGTGAATAGGATTCGCGGCGTGTTAGTTGGCATGGTGGGAAAAAAGGGTCATGGAGTCGTGTGTGCGGGTGTGTGTGTGTGTGCGGTGGTCATGTCGTGCGTGGGTGTGCGTGTATGGTGTGTTGTGTATAGGCGTCGTTTGCAACCCACCTTTGTTTGCGATACATTGGAACGTTCGAGAATGCTGTCGACGCGAGTCCATGCCTCTTCATGATCTTGGAACTGGGTCAACAGTTGCTGTGCGATTTGTTGCTAAAAGGGGGAAATGGGTAAAGAGAGAAGGGGAGAGAAATGAACATGGTGAGCATTGTTACCATAGTAGACTACTAAACGAAACACGTACCTCAGCGCCATGACCAGTGAAGAAGGTCATGACAACCTGATCAAGGACTTGAACGTCCAAATCTTTGCTAAAGTCTAGAATGCTTTCAGCCATATTGGAGTCGTTCTTTGTGAAAGACGGCGCGCCGCATTGCCGAATCTGTAGGAAAAGGTCGACTCGGTAAGTCACACATGACGTGTGCGGAACAAAGACATCATTGTCGCTCGAGCCATTCCCATTCATGCTTGTCTTTTAGCAACGACGTCGTGCCATTATGCAAGGACAATGAAATGCATTTTATCCCATTCTATAGTCATAGTTTACCTGAAAAAGCTATCTTGTATATAGTCATCACGTGATTACTCATCAGCCCTCCCCCTTCTTCACAATAAAAAACCTCACCTCTCTTTTGCAGCAAATGATGGTTTGCTTATGTAACATGATATATTGGATGTTATCATTCTCTCTCTTTTCCTTTCCCTCCCTCAGCTTATTTTTTCATCACTCTTCCCTTACACACAAATTTGCTTTGGATCGTGTACCACCATCAGCAGCTAAACGGAGCACAATGCAGAATGATAGCTCTACCTATGAAGATTGTTTTGAAGGCCCAGAGAAGCTTTTGGAGATATGGTTCTCAACTATCGAATCCATTGATACGCACAACACCTCACGTAACCTTCGCAGCATCGAACGACATGTTTGGCAGGACATGCTACGCGTCTCCGTTAAATGTTCGGTACTTAGCGTTATCAGCAATGATTATATGGATGCGTATCTTTTGAGGCATGTAAAGTTTGACGCATCGTATTCGATACGTACATGCAATGATGCTTCTCTGACTCTCCTTTTAGCGAGTCATCCATGTTTATCTATCCCCACAAGATGATCATCAAGACCTGTGGGACCACCACCCTGCTTGCTGCACTCCCTCATGTATTCACAATTGCTCACAAGTATTGTGGATACGAAAGACCTCTTATTTGCTTTTACTCGAGAAAGGCTTTCTTGTTTCCTGAATTGCAATACGAGCCTCATCGAAGCTGGAAAGAAGAAATAGGTTTCATGGACATGGTTTTTGGTAAGCACAACGAACAAAATGAAGCCATGATGCTGAATAAGAAAAGGGGGGTTATCAGAAAAGCGCGGCCAAGTATTCACAATGGGAGACACCAATAGCAATGCGTGGTATCTTTATGTGATGACAGGAGGATCTCATGATACGCTCAATGCAGCATCCACGCTTGATGATGAGACATTGGAGATATTAATGTCGGACCTTGACCCTGGTATTGCAAGAGACTTTTACTGTGACAATGGCAAGATCACTGGATCAGAAGGTGGCATGCAAGTAAGCGAAAAAACAGGTATCCTGAAATTGTATCCAAATGCCAAGATGGATTCGTTCCAATTTGAACCTTGTGGCTATTCTGCAAATGGGCTAGTGGAAGATGGCTACTTTACAATACATGTTACCCCAGAGCGTGGGTGGTCTTTTGCCTCGTTTGAAACAAACATTCCTGCAACACGCTCACATGGCGATCACCACCACCAGCAAGCCATTGCAAACAAAACAACGTCAACAGCCTCACCCACATTGATCCGTCATGTAATTGATATCTTTCAACCTGGATCTTTTACAATCATTTTGCTTTCTTCATCATCCAAGTTGGAAATGCTTGATGATATCTACCAGGGTTACGAACGTCTCGTCCACGTTTATCGCAGCTTTGATCATTACAACCTTGTCTTTGTGCAATACGAAAGGATCATTGATAGTAATCATAGCGAATAAAGCACAATGCTTCAACAATCAACATTGCATTGTTCATGTATTCCCCTTAAGCTCCCACCACACAACTTTTACAACATTGCTTTTGACGATAACAAAAGGACTGATAGTGTAGTAGCAAAGTAAAGCACGATGCTTCAACATTGTATTTAACATTGTATACATTTAAAACTCCCACCACTTTTTCCGTGCTTGTCGTTCATTGTATTCACGCACTGCCTTCAAAAAGTCGCCTGATTGTGCACTCATATCTTCGAATTTGTTTTGCAGCTGGTCAAGCTTCTCACCACGTTCATTCATCTTTTGGCTCAGCTCTTGGAAAACACCACCAACACCACCGCTGCTACTTCCCTCGGCATTGGATGGACGCTGCTGCCGCTGCTGCTCCTCGTTCGACTTTGCTTTGCCAGGTGCGCCTAATATGGGCCTTTTACCCACTATGCTTCTTTTGTCAACAACAATGCGTTTATGACATCCTATCCTTCACTTACTCAAAGTATCCATTTCAGCCACAGTGAATGGGCCTTTTTGAAACGCTCCTTGTACAGACTCAAGCCATGACTTTTTGGGTTTTTGTGTGGTTATCGCTGCTGTAGGATGGGGTGGTATCCGCCTACTGGGATCGAAAAGCATGACATCTTCACCACAGGATCTACAAAGGATAAAGGTCAACGACTTGTTTTTACCCCTTTTTCCTCTTCGAGTATACTTACATTGAATTTTGTAACAATGAAAGGTATTGCTCCAGCTCACAAAGACCTGTCCACGCCACAATACGACCATCCGTGCTCAATGACATGTTATCAAGCAAATCTCTAGCAGCCAACTCCTCGGGTAAACTGATCCGGGCAATAGGAAGGAGATGAGGCAGAGAATAGTAGATAATGGCACCACTCTGTAGTACTACAGCAAGGCATGCACCCACTAGAAGAAGAAATGTACTTAGCCATGTGCTCCTTATTCTCATAACAATGTTGATTTTTACCATTCTTAACCACCATCACCTGGCTGTGTATGATCATATCCTCATTACTGCATCCATCAATATCATGAAGATGTGCTGTGAAAAGGCGAATGTTGTAGCCTGATAAGATTGTTGCAACATTCCTGGATGTTGATACGACAATAAAATGAGGATGAGGTTGAGGTCTGTATTCCCATTTGGATGCGTGTGGCGCTCGTTTGGTATGTTGTGTTGTTGATTCAGCACTTTGAGACTCAACCGTGGATGCTGATGGAGGAGAAGCGTCTTCTGTAGGCAAAGGAGGTGGAGGTGGAGGTGGTTCTTTGTTGGCTCGTGCACTTGATTTCGAAAGCTTACGTGTTGTTCGACGAAGTAAGCCCATGGATCCACTGGATTTCTCACTCTTGCTACTAGCACCATCCTCGTCTTTGCTCAAGCTGGCACCCGATTCATGAGATTTACGTCCAGCGGCCAAACTCTCTTCCTCTGGTGAAGTTGTCGAGGTCGATGGATGTGATTCCATAGCTTGCCCCTCTTGTTCCTTTGGCTCAGGATCACTTGGTGGCGCTTCTGCTTTTGCTGTTGTTTGTAACACTCCTTGGATATCAAAGACATGCGTATCGATCACTGCTGAGGTCGAATTGTTGCTGATAAGAATAGGCGGTTTATCAGGGGAACTGATATCGTGCTGGTATACAAGTCCATTGTCCAAACCAACAAAGAGCTGTAAACTTGGCTCAGTGCCTATATTGATGATGATGAGAAAAACAGATCCATAATACAAAGCCATGATTCACTTACTCTCCAATGAAGCGTATGTCCTATAAAAGCGAATGCATGATATAGATGCCGTGCTCGTTTGCTTTTGTTTTTGATGGTGTTCTTCATTGTCTTCCTCTTTGGGTGCGTCTTCTTGATGCTCCGCTTCAGCTAAATAAACAATGAGACTAAGAAGCCTATCCAAGGACGAGCACTGAATCGATTATTTACCTTGTATATCGGCGGTATATACCGTACGTCCAAACAACGTATTGATGACAAACACCTTTCCATCCGCCGTAGCCACAGCCAACCTATTATTGCTATGTCAGGCCATAAATCACATGGTAAGTATTGCAGCATACGTACATATCTCCACCAGCAGCGACAAGTTGTTTAACAGAAGCATCAAACTTGATTCGCATAGCAGGGGCAAAACAAGGTGGGTTGATGTCGCCTTCCAATAGCTGAATATCAGGCGTGGGTGTTGCGATTGATTCAGGACCATGTGGAGGTGGTGATGATGCTTCGGCCTCTTGTTGTGGTTGCCCTTGTGTTGTACCCTCTGTTGTTGTGGTGATGGTTGTGGTGGCAGGTTGCTGGGTGACGTTATCATCATTGCTCGGCTCATCCGTAGCTGCGGTATGTTCATCATCCTTCCCAGCATTGGCAGGTTCCTCACTTTCCATATCTTTGAGAAGTTCAGAGATCTCTTCGATTGTATTGTCACAATTCTTGATGAATGCTTCTTGTGTCGTTTGAGAAAGTTGATGTTGGCTGTCACGTGGTGGATGATGGGTATATTGTAAGACTGTCCCATTGTCAAGGACAACAAACAAGGATGCTGATTGAGTGTCGAAATCCACTTTGATGATCTTTGCTTTTGAGTCTTTTTGGATATCCTCAATACAATCGATGGTGAGATGAGTCAATGGTCGCAGCGAAGTAAAAGATGCATCCCAAATATGAATGATACGATGGGCATGAATGGTAATGAGCAAATCGTTCGAGTCAAGGCGATACACGTGACCAGTGCCAGCAACACCTCCTGTGAGAGGGAGATAATGAGTAGGTGGCATGTTGATTTGATCCATGGCGTTTATCCGTTGAAATGTTGACTCTGGTAGCTGAGTATAATGATATGCATTTGAAACGGGTGGATCAAGAAATTGAAGAGCTGATGGCAAGGTAAGCTGTGGATATCCATGACCAAGACCAAAAGCACGTATGGCACCATCACAACCCACCACCAAGAGGCCTAGCGGATTATTCATTCCAAGGAAGAAAGGGTCTCGGCTGAGCAAAATAAAGTCTGATACATCCACGGAAGTTGATAAAATGGTTTGTCGTCGAGCATCCCGTTGGTCGCTTTCAATATCAAATTCCATAATATGCAATCCTCGAATATCAGGAAGATCCGATCCACCTGCCACCACAAGAAATGATCTCTTGGATGTATCATCCACATACCACACCATCCGGTAAATAGGTTCACAAGGATCCGCTGAAGGTGATGTAGAGGGACTTGCATGAAACGCTCTTCTTGTCAATACCGGTTTATGATCGGAGCGCGTATCCCAAAGTCGCATGTATCCATCATCATACCCGGCCATGAACCGATTTCCACAAGGACTCCATGCCAAACAAGTCAACTGCGATGGCTGCTGAACCGAGAACCGTTTCTTGATGGTTTGTTCACGAATATTCCAAAGATAAACAGCTGATTCGTATCCAATGAGTATCATGCTGAGATCCGTTGGATGCATTTGAAGGGCCACCACTAAGCTGCTGGTCTTTGTTGTTGATGGTGGATCCTGATTCGATCGTGTTGCCTCTTCGAGTAATAAATCAGGGATGCCGTACTCTTCCGAAAATCGACCTTTGGTGATATCAAATACATCCACATTGCCATCAGCAAATCCAACAAAGAGCCAATCGGTACCGGCGCAGTATTCAAGAGCTGTAATGATGGAAGGTGTTGTAACCACGTGCTTTGCTCGTTTGGTCTTGAGATCATAGGTGGTGATGACATTCTTCGAATCCACTGCCACCAAGATAGGATATCCAATCTTGAACTGAAGATACTTGATACGTGTAGGGTTGTTGAGAACCAACTCGGCCGAGATCCCTCTTCCGAATAACCGGATGAACGTGTCTTGCTCAAAGCCTCCGCCTAACATTTGAAAATACATACCATTAACATAGTACAGGGCAACGTTTATACACTCTTCAACTTACCCACAGCAAGCAACCCTGCAACAGGATCAAATGCTACGGCTGAGACCGTACCCGAGACACCAAAGGTGGCCATCTGTATAAACCGACATTGAGTTATCGTGGTCGAAGTGGGATAATAGAGAGTGTATGTGTGTTTCACACCTTTAATAACCCGATATGAGCTGCCTCGATCGATTCCGACATTGACTTGTCGAGACGCTTGTCTTTTGCCAGCACCGCTCTCGATAATGCATTTTCCTTTGCCTTTTGGGCGAATCCAGAGATCTTGTCAAAGATGGTCATCAAAGAAAGCAGAGTCGGTTCCTTTCCTTTCACGGCCGCAGGATCAAAGTAACAAGCGTGTTTGAAATGCCGCCTGTTTCGAGCTATTCCCGCTTTGAGAATCATGGACCCATTGGACCCTCCACCAACCACACCCCTTCCATCGACTCTTAAATAAACGAATACATACCATACAAACAAGCTACTTGGACTCCATCACATGATCACATCAATAAAGCATCTTGATTGTATGCAATGCAACTGGCTATTGCTTGAAAGTTTAATGAGGGTCAATGCATAATCCAATGTCATCTGGTTACTACATACCCTTGTGGTTGCTATAGCTACATGTCTCAAACAAGCATCCACCTCCTAGATACATGCACTTTATGAAAGCAAGCTTATGTGAGCATAGCAGCCTGGTATACTCTCTAGCAAGAGGCTTTATCCACACGTAGCCAACATGATAATGAAATAGGACCCCTTTTATTTGCCCCCATTGTTATCATTTCCATGGAGATGATGTGCTATGGATAGTATGCTGGACAACGAAGATGTTGACAATGAAAGATAGACTACTGGTTTTCCTCCCAACGCTCCAGGTTATAGATCGTTTCCAATATACTGGTAACGCGTGTATTCGACATGAAGAGTGGTCATTGACTTTAGCAGCAAAGCTGTATCCAAGGAACAAGAGGTGTAGTCGAACGAGTCTTCGTCTTTTCAACAATGCCATCACATGAGGAGTAGCTCAATCAGACAGGCTGTCCCTTCGAATGCTGGATGCAGGAATCGCATGTGGTTTGACATGGAAGAGTAGGCCTTAACTTTAGGAACGAAGCTGTGCGCAAGGAACAAGAGGTGCAGTCGATCGAGTCTTCTTTCAAGGGCAACATCGCATGAGGAGTAGCTCAATTAGAAAGAGGTTGCACTTTAGACATAGAATTATATACGTGGTTGTTGGTTCAATAAAAAAACAATGGGCCAAATCTCAGGGATACAAGAGTTTTATTCCACATCTTGCTATAATACAACAGCCAACAACTATGCATAGAATATCACTTTGTGCATTATGGAGACAATGACTATTTAGTGATTGCAAGGGTATTTGTCTTGGTAACGATAGAACCGATGACGGCTATAACCAAAGTCATCACCCCCATCGCGGTGAACAGTCCCTTCAGCTTTTAGATCATAAATCCGTTCATCGGTTATGCTTGTTCCTTCATAGTGGATGGCTACGGGTCCGACAAGATCGAGCCTGAGAGTTTTGTCACCGTTCTTGGCATCATTGTTGTTGATGACCGCATCATATGTACCCTCTAGAATGGCGTTGTTGTCGTACTCAATCGTGCCGTCTGAAAATCTGGTACCGCGCATTAACCCGTTCAGCTCGAAAGTTTGCAGGATGATCTCGTAGATAGTATCAGCCACTTTGGTGCGAATCTGATACTGTGGTGGGTATACGCCATCAATTCGCGAGAATTTGAGAGTGACTCGTTCCTTTGCAGCATTCGCAGCAGAGATAGCAAAGACTAAGATAGCAGTGAGGAGAGCAATAAATTTCATGGTGAGTGAGAGAAACCTCCATCTATCGTCGCTTTCTTTATATCTTTATTATTAAAATAATTGAATATTGATAAGATAAAGTAATCCACAAAAGGAATAAGAGATAACCAAAAAGGAAATGAAGGCCAAAGAGATCACGGAAGAAGAATCATAGTAAGAGAATGTTGTTAGTATCAACAACGAAAAACCACGATACCCAAATACCATCACTTACCCGTACTTGCAAAGCAAGCTCAACAAGCAAGGAACGCAGGGGTAAACCCCGCACCCGTCAGCTTCTCCGTGGTTAGGGGAGGGCCTCGGTAATGATGGCTGTGCCGTTGTTCTATCCTTGCTATTGAAAGATGTCAACATAAATCATACATCAGACATCAACTTGAAGACTTACCTTGCTGTGGATGATGGGGGAAGGGGAAAGTGCGGAGGCGAGTGACAAAGCTAGTGGCATTGGACTTGGTAGCAACAGGTGGCAGCAAGACGTTTGGGAGGGTGGCCGGGCTATAATGACATGGTGGCAATGAGTACATGGAAGAGGTATAACTTGAATGAGCCAGCAATACGAACCCCCGAAGATGATGTGTGTGTGTGTGTGTGTGTGGCCAGAGAGATGAAAGATAAAGGAGCGTGAGTTAGAGAGCGTGTTCAATATTATATATCGTTTCTCAATGAGCACGGTCCCGCGGAAGGCGCCAGAAAAAAAAAGTCATCCCGTCATTCATGCGTCAATCCACACAGCATCCGAGAGTGCAGAAAAATAAAACAATGAGTCATCTTTATCGCACCTATCGGTTCCCCTCGCAGAAGCACACGATAAGGGTAAAAATGACATTTGTTGGGGATCAATGCATGAATTCAGGAGCATCACGAGTGACAAGCGGGAGAAAACATGAGTCCAAAAGTATGCCTCGACCTACATGGTCGCGTGTACAAACAAAAAAAAAGTGTCATTGTTGATCCATCATTGGTGTACGAGGAAGAGATAAGCAATGGGACATTGCGGGAATAATGCATGAATCCAAAAGTATCAGCAGTGACAAGGTTGGGGGGGTTGTCTCCAATGACCACATCTTGGAGGAAGAAAACCGTTGTTGATGATCCACCATTACTTTGTGAGAAGAAGACAAGCGAGGATGCGTCATTGTTGATCCATTGACGGTTGGCATCAAGGCGTTACAGGAATGTGGAAAGGTCACTACATGAATCAAAGGATGCCAAGAAAAAAGTACATTGTGTCAAAATCTAGGGGTCAATCTCCCCCTCCCCACAAACACAGAATCCCAACAAGAAACACTATTGTTGATGCATGAATCCATTGGTTCACGGTGCTACGAGATAAGGGTGGCGTGTCATTGTTGATGCATGAATCCATAGCTCAATGAGTATACGAAAGTGGAATGTGGCGAGGTCATTGGATGCATTACAAGTACATCGAGTAGAGGAAAAGGTTGTATGCGTCATTGTCTGATTCTCGGCCCACATAGCCAGGTGCAAAGAAAAAAACTATACTTGATGCATGAATGTATTGGCTCATGAGAAAAGAGATAAGGGTGGCATGTCATTGTTAAATCATGGATCCTAGGCTCATGCATGAGAAAGGGAGTATGTGAGGGGATCAACACAACAAAAATTACCCCGAGCAGCGAGAGGGAATATCTAAATCTACATCTCGGCTCACATGGCCCACGTAAAAAAGGTTTTGTTGATACGCAGGTATGTATGAGATAAGGGCGCGTCATTTTTGATGCATGAATCCGTAGCTCATTGGGTAAGGGAAATGGAATGTGGATACCCGACAACAACAAGAATAAAGACATCATGTCATTGTCTCATTCTCGGCCTGCACAGCACGCTGTAGAAAAAAAAAACTATGGTTGATGCATGAATGTATTGGTTCACGGGTGGGGGTAGCATACAATGCTCATGCACGAGAAAAAGGAGTATGTGAGATCAGCACATAAACAAAAATTTTCCCAGCAGCGACGGCAAAATATGAAATGTCTACATCTACATCTCGGTCGTATGGCCTCTGTATATATTGTTTATGCATGAGAAAACATGAGTTGGAAAGTATGCCTCGACCTACATGGTCGCGTGTACAAACAAAAAAAAAGTGTCATTGTTGATCCCTCATTGGTGTACGAGCAATAGATAAGCAATGGGACATTGCGGGAATAATGCATGAATCCAAAAGTATCAGCAGTGACAAGGTGGGGGGGGGGTCTCCAATGACCGCATGTTGAGGAAGAAAAAATGTCCACCATTACTTTGTGAGAAGAAGACAAGCGAGGATGCGTCATTGTTGATCCATTGACGGTTGGCATCAAGGCGTTACAGGAATGTGGAAAGGTCACTACATGAATCAAAGGATGCCAAGAAAAAAGTACATTGTGTCAAAATCTAGGGGTCAATCTCCCCCTCCCCACAAACACAGAATCCCAACAAGAAACACTATTGTTGATGCATGAATCCATTGGTTCACGGAGCTACGAGATAAGGGTGGCGTGCCATTGTTGATGCATGAATCCATAGCTCAATGAGTATACGAAAGTGGAATGTGGCGAGGTCATTGGATACATTACAAGTACATCGAGTAGAGGAAAAGGTTGTATGCGTCATTGTCTGATTCTCGGCCCACATAGCCAGGTGCAAAGAAAAAGCCTATACTTGATGCATGAATGTATTGGCTCATGGGAAAAGAGATAAGGGTGGCGTGTCATTGTTAAGTCATGGACTCCAGGCTCATGCATGAGAAAGGGAGTATGTGGGAGTCAATAAGATAGAGCTCTTTACTGCAAGATAATATGACGATCCTTTATTTTACTACGAAAGATGACTAGAACATAATACTGGAATCGAGAGAGAAACCAGAGGATAAATATACGAAGAGACATTGACCTATGCTAACCGAGAAACCGATTATCATGACATCCACGTGCTCACGTGACTCACGTAACATACGACATTTGATAAACATGCAACACGAGAACGGAAGTCGCCATTCCACGCTAGTGAATAGTTTAATGATGTGACCATAGAGAAAGGACAAAGACAAGGAAAAAGAGTAGGAGGCATCAAAATAAAAAAAAATTGATGGTATCGCAATTGATGGTGTCGCGGAGAGGGGACTATGTTAAAAGATTCATGCGCGTACGTGTTGTTTTGTTGTTGATCCTTTACTCCTTCTTTTCTTTCACAATGGTCAATTTCGAACTCCTTGATCGCTATGCTGACACACACGAAATCGAAAGCTTTCAATGGAAAGGTACTTGCCTTCATTTCGTTTGGCATTACTCGATTCTTAATAGTGAACTGCAGGGAAAACATTCCAGAGTATACCTTACTCTGTCTTGAAAAGGAAAGCAGATGAAGTCTTTGGTCGCTTACAATGGTCATCAAAAGTCGACTGTATCAAGGAAAACTATGTAAGTTACTTTCATCGTTGAAATATTGATCATACCACTCATTATAACAGCTCGAGGAAAAGAACAACCGATATGACAGCATGTATACCATGAAGATGTCGATTACTGTCAAGGATTGTACGCACGAGGTAGGCGAATGTATAGATGGCGAATTAGTTATAACATTAAGTCGAATACTAGGCGTATGGTAGCGCTGCCGTTGAAGGCGCGGCATCAAAGAACAGTGCAATCCAAACCGTAAGTGGATGATCATATTACCCATCTTCACGACACGCTAATAAAACACTCGTTGTACCCTATAGGCCATGACCAAAGCAAAAGAGAATGCAGCCAACCAGTGCTTTGCATCATTTGGCAATTACTTCAGCATCCAGGGCACCCAATCAACTCCACTACCATCATCTTCAGCACCACGGGCATCATCCACCATTGACACTAGTATCCCCACCACCAGCCAATCATCGCCACCACGGGCATCATACACCACTGACACCAATATTCCTACTACCACGCAATCATCACCACTACCTATATCTTCAGCACCACGCACATCATCCGCCATTGGCACTAGTATCCCCACAACCATCCAATCATCGCCACCACGGGCATCGTCCGCCATTGGCACTAGAATCCCCACAACCATCCAATCATCGCCACCACGGGCATCATCCACCACTGACACCAATATTCCTACTACCACGCAATCATCACCACTACTTATATCTTCAGCACCACGCACATCATCCACCATTGACATCAATATCCCCACAACCATCCAATCATCACCACCACGAGCATCATCCACCACTGACACCAATATTCCTACTACCACGCAATCATCACCACTACCTATATCTTCAGCACCACGCACATCATCCACCATTGACACCAATATCCCCACAACCATCCAATCATCACCACCACGAGCAGTAGTAGCTGCCACTGACACCAATATCCCCACAACTATCCAATCACCACAACCACGCGCAGTACTAGCTGCCGCTGACAACATCGTCCCCACCACCCAATCATCACCACAACCGTTAACATCATCACAACCGTTGCAAAAGTCGACTAATTATCCTTCAACGTCATCCCAACCAATGACAACATCGACTAAAGCTTCACCTAAAGCTCTCCGATCAGCGGCAAATTCATCCATACCAGTGAAAACAAGAACCAAAGCATCACAAGAGGAGGCATCTCATTCAAAAGTTGAAACCGCTGTACCCAAAAGAATGACAAGATCTATGCAGAAATCGGAGACAATTCCCGTGGATGACCTCGCACAGAATCCTGCCACAGCATTGACACCAAAACGTACATCTGAACGCAGACGAAGAGTTGACAAAGAAACCATTTCCAGGGAGCCCAGCAAAGTCCCCGCCAAAAAGAAACATAAATCTACAGGATCTAGCACCGTTGATGACACTAAAGCCGAGGGATCAGTGGAGAATCGTGTTATCGGTTGGGAAAAGAACGATGATGATTTTGCTGATAAAGAAGGTTTGGAAAGATTCCTTGAGAATACGCCCGGTGAAATATGAGTGGTATGACTTTGTAACACAGTTTAATTGTCATGATGTAGTAGTATTCCCAACATTGATCTTACCTTAGTGACCAACAATTACCCCATAACCATCGTCAGATGTTCGCTGTATAAAACATTTATCCTTCATCGTGATCTAATTCCTACATAGTATCTGTGCTGGATTTAGGGATGTGTGTGTGATGTGATAGAATCTCTTACATGTGTGTGTGTGTGTGTGTGTCAAGCCCCGCTGTAGAGTATACGCTCTTTTCAACGTAACTACCAGCCAGCAGACTTTTCTTTTTGCTTGTTTCCTTAAATGCATGAGCAATCTATAGTCTCCATCTCTATTCTTCAACGCTCAATGTAGTGGAAATGGCAACCAACTACGTCAACACGACACGCGAATACTCGATATGATCACGCACCAACTCTTTGTTCAGCCAACCTGGTGCATAGCAGTTGTATAACAATCCTTTGCATTGAACAACATGAATGCGTTTGAACGATCCTTGTATTGAAGTTCAATAGCGACTCATCAGTACGGTATGGTTGTCTGGAGCTGTAGCCATTGTGAACGTCGCCAGGTTGCATACTTAACGCACGTCTTTATTTACAGGTATCATTCTCTCAACTCTATTGCTATACCGACCAGAAAGTGGATATGGAGGAAATGATCAATGGTTTATGCCTTTGGCGTCAGCAAGCTTTCGATCTTCTGGTGGTTCTGGTTATTGGCGATTCCTTTGATGGATCTCTACAACTATACGCGTCTTATGGATGGATCATGTCATCAACAAGCAATGAGGGTCCGCGTTGACATCTTTGGTGTGACCAAGGTCATTTATGCATCTCCTCAAGGCATTCATCGTCAAGCTGCATTCGATTTCCAATGAAAAACGATTGCCATTCACATCGCTCTTTAGCCATATGTACGTCACTCCGCAGCTAGGATCTGGTTTGGGCTTTTCGATGCACAATGCTTTCTCGATTTGCATGTGGTCTTGGGCAGCAAGGATTGTCTCGTTGTCTCTCTTTGTAATGGCTCTTCGGCATCATGTAAGTATGCTATCTTTGGTGGTATAAGTATTACTCAACCTTCTCACTGCATATGCCCATAAAGTATCGTTCCATCGCTTTCAAGCCGAGTGCCACCGTAGCGGGCCTTATCAACAAGCGGACGATTGCAAAGAATCGGCTTGATTTGGATATCAGCAGGATTTCGTGCATATGGCTATCATTGGTAATAGAGGATGATCCGTTTTTTGGCTCCAATCCCAACCAACATCCTCTTTTATTATAGTGTGCAGACTATTCAGCAATCTACTTGTCTTCTGGTTCTTTGAGATTTTCATGGATGAAGCTGTCATTGAATGTCGACATGTTTTCGTGCATATGGCTACCATTGGTAAATAGTGATCCATTCGTTTCTACGACGCCTGCCAACCTCTTTCGTTTGTTGTAGTATGTGGTCTACTCAGCAAGCTATTTCTCTTCTGGTTCTTTGGGTTTTCATGAATGCAGCTATCATTGGATGTCAACATGTCTTCGTGCATACATGGCTATTATTTGGTAAATAATGATTCGGGTTATTTGTTCGAGGGCTAATACTTACATGAAACCTCGTGTTGTTGTTATCGACCCAAGTGTAAAGGGTATTGTTAAGGTACACACTGTAACAGGCGGGGCGGCGTAGAGGGCACAAACCAGAAACAATGAAAGGAACGACCTTCTCCCACTCCCGCTTCACAACGATGCAAGGTAAGACCAACTTCATTTACACTCTCCACACCACTAACTTCTGGCATTGCCAACAATGCACACCGTCAATGGGTGAACAGGTGGTCAATGGCGACACATTCAGCTACAACAAGCACGTGCGGGATCTACCCATGACACAAGCTTCCATTCCAATACAACATGTAAGTTCAATCGCTGCAATTCCTTTTATTGTTCAAGTCGAACATTGTGGTACTAAAGTTCGCGTGTAGGTTGGTGTTGTCTCGTCTATACAAGACCCAATGAGGCGTCGTGTGCATTCCTTACCGAGTTGTCCACAATGAGAGTTCTCAAGACGTCTTTACATTGCCTCTTTTGGGTATGCTGACAACAAAAGCGTGTGGGTTGGTTTTACTTGTTATCTCACATTGCGTTTATGGTAGGTTGAACATGTTGGATGATGGTACCTCTGGCAGCAACAAGACACGTATCTCAAAGCAAGAATGCTGTACGTTGGCTCAAAGGTATGCGTGGCATTGGATGTACAAAGCAAGACCTGTTAATTAACAAGACTTACAGTGAAGCAGCAGCAAGGCAATATGGATGACATGGAGATACGGTTTTATTCGAGGCATTGATGCTATTGAGAAATACCACAAGGTAAGAGTGTTCATTGTGGGATTGGTTGGATTCAAGTGGACTTACCAAACACCATATAGTGACAGAGCCTCTTTCGGCGATACTCTTATTATCAAGGCTGCACGTCAAGGATGTCATTGTATAGTACTGTGCTCTCCTGGGGAATTTTGGCCCGGAAACAGTGTGACTCAAGATGCGGCCTCAGGGATTTAAAAATGCATCCGCTGTGCACACGGCCTCCATCCAAGTACGGCTATTGATTTCCTTGCCTACAGAGAGAAGGTGGATATCTCTTATGATGCCAATTTCAGGATCCAATGAGAGTATAGTACATATGGTGGCATACCTTGGCGCTGCAGGTTGATTATTGTATTGCCTTCGGATGGTGTATTTGGTTGCAATTCCTTGTGATCACCATGGTTCAGGGCGTCGTGTGCCTTCCTTACCGAGTCGTCTACAATGAGAGTTCTCAAGACGTCGTTACATTGCCTCTTTTGGGTATGTTGACAACAAAAGCGTGTGGATTGGGTTTGCTTCTTATCTCACATTGCGTTTATGGTAGGTGAACATGTTGGATGATGGTACCTCTGGCAGCAACCAGACATTGATATCAAAGCAAGAGCGCTGTACGTTGGCTCAATGGTATGCATGGTGTTGGATCTACAATGCAGGGCCACTTAATTAACCAGCCTTACCAAAAAACAGCAGCAAGACAATATGGATGACATGGATACGGTTTTATTTGAAGCAATGATGCTATTGAGGAATACCACAAGGTAAGAGGTTCATTGTAGGATTGGTTGGATTCAAGTGGACTTACCAAACACCATACAGTGGCAGAGCCTCTTTCGGCGATACTATTATTATCACGGCTGCACGTGAAGGACGTCATTGTACTATACTTTCCTGTGGAGCTCTACATGTTGTGCCCGGGGACAGCGCGACTCATGTTGCGGCCTCAGCGATTTAAAAATGCATCCTCTGTTCGCACGGCTCCATCATTTTACGGCTATTGATCTCCTTGCCTTTAGAGAGAAGATGGTATCTCTATTGATGCACTTCATCGCGTCGATCCATAGGAGAGTACTGGTACAATGATGTTTCTTTGGCTGTGCGCTTTGATTATTACTTTACATCCTGATGGCCTATTTGGTTCCCAAGTCTGCTGGTGATGATTGTGTGATTCAGGTATGTATGACTCATACTTTTTGGAGTCCTTTGCTGAAACGCCTACCATTATTTAGAGGGACCAATGCAGAGAGCTGCTTGTCTTTTGGTGCTTTGATGTTTACAAGATCACAAGTATGAATTGCTAAGTATTGTTGGATGAGTTGGGACAACTGTTTACCATGCATCTTTTATACGTAGGTGAATCAAGTCAGCAATCGGGAAAAGTGCGTTTATCTCTTGGTGCCGTCAATCTTTATTTCATTTCTGGTGGTTGCTTACCAAGCAACGGGTGATTTCTCTGCATCTCTTGTGAGTGGATTGTATCAGCAACAAGCAACAGCATCCATATCGTTGGTTCCATATCAAGCTTTATCCCATCATCTGGTTCTTCTCATTATCAGCAATTCGGTGAGCATCCTGAAATGAAGGTCTCTTATCGATTGATCACATCAGCAGCAAGGAGCTTTGGGATTGATGCCATAGCAACGACAGTTTGCCATTGTCAAGGAACCGGCTATTGTCGAGAAATTTCCACGTGTCGCTCCATATTCCAGCACGGACTTGAGCAAGGTCGTTATGAAGAAGTATGAATGGATGACTACACCAAGTGCAAGTGATGATGATCCCTATCAACACCAAGCGGGCTCTTATCGCCGACATGGATGATGGCATGGCGCAGTAGTATGAGTGCAATAAAGGTAATGTCAAGGAAAGGGATAAGGAATGCAGGCTCCAATCACTTACGGCATCGATATTTCGGCTATAGAACACGGATCTTTTTATACGATTCACATCCCTGTGAAACGAGGAGGACAACGAGGAAAACGCTATTGACATGGATGAGCCAAGGAAACGGCTGATGAGTGGGGAGCGATAAGCGTCTTCATCAACATACTCTGCATGCGTAATTGGAAAAGATGGACTTCAAGTTAATCAGTTGGTCGCCTTTTTGGAGTTTTTCCACACACATGACAACAGCGATGTACCTTGATTGGTATCTGGATATTGGACGCTTCAACTGGATAAGGATGCCGAGAACTACCTTTGGATTGGATGATGAGTACAATCAGCGCCAGGGAGACCTGAACTTGGGATTAAGTTGCATGGCAACGACAATGAATGGCCGATTGTATGATTGAAGGCAGCAATGACGCCACAAACAATGAGAAGATGAGCACCATAATCGATCTCCGTTGTCAAGATATGCTCCTTGTTAGCAGCTGAAGGTATTGGCGTGATTTCACATTGTGCTCTCTATCGCTCATTCCATCCCATCAGACAGTTGGTTTATCATGCTCACTCTATCGACATCATCGGCAAGAAGATGGTCGTGTTTCTGGTTTCGCAAGTTTACCTCCATCACATGAAGACAAGCTTATGGATCAATATCTCAATACTATCCCGGAGCGCTATGGAACAGCACGCATGATAGGATAACGGTGCGACAAGGTCTTTTATGACGGCCCATTTATCAAGGTGAAGAGGACTTGATCTCACATTCGCAAGCAAAAGTAAGATCTCACTAAATATACTCTTATAGTTGATGCATTTCGAGTGGCATGGATCCTGTAACGACGATACGACCCCCATCCCATTACTCGGCAAAGCATATCATAACCGGATCGACGAGCGATGCATGATGATCACCGCCAACGATTGCAACGTGCCGGGATTCAATGATTGTTATATCTGCTACGATCACATAGCGATGGTTAAGGAATCACCACTACAGGATCGGATGAGAAGGACTTTGATGATATGCTATCACTACATTTGCCTTATGGTGCTTGCCAACAACCCTAACAACGGATAACATGGATGATGTGAACGGCATCTTCTACGATTACTTTACCAGTCTTATGAGGAACATCGATAATGATCCAGTACCGGCGGAATAAGGATACAGTGATATACATTAGAAAATTGTAGTCATCAGCGTTTACTTGTTTATTAAATATTCTTGCTGAACCCGACATGTTAAAATGTTTGCAGCGTAGTATATCTTCATTAGTGCGTGTGTAATAATGTGGATAACATGGTTGTTTTCATTTTCCGTTGTAGTGGATAGGTTGGATGACGCAGAGAACTATGAGGCTTCGCATGATGAAAGCGTTATTAAGTTGATAGAAATAAGGTGAATAAGGAAACCGGGATTGGAATCAGTAACCATAGCTTCAGATCAGCTTCTTTCTTTAAAGCCATCAGTCATCAATAGGTGGTACATGTGGTAATATTGTTTAATTGCAACGACAATAAACGGGTGATACAACGATGAATCTGTGATTCGACAATGGAGAAATGATAGAGTAACTAGTAACATTGATCGATGATTAAGTTTGCATTAGATTCCATTGAATGAGAAGGTATCACATGTGGATCGCCACGCGAGAGGAATGCAATCGATAAGAAGACAATGAGCGAAAAGCATAAAGTGACTTTTAAGATTGAGAGAGGAACCGTGAATGATTATACAAGCACTGTTGTTGTGCCAAATGGGTGGCCAAGGAGAGTAATGGTGTTGTTGAGCGTCGTAAGGAATCATATTGACGATGATGGAGATATTTGGTGTTCAAAAACTATTTGCATATTGTTTGCAAAAGAGTGACGGGTTAGCTCTGATTATCGTTCTCTTGAAAGCTATGGATATGCCAACTTACCTACAAATCGTATTCAAGTGGTGCTATTTTCACGTTTTGAGTGCGTGCATACCCCTTGATCAAGATATTAGCTGCAGCCATCTGATCACGCCCGGACGTAGCGTGGCGGTTTTTGTAAGATACGCATCGAGGATTTACACATAGAGAAGCACCGCGTGATCGTTTCTGGTTTGCGCTAGCGGGTCGAATCACCTGGTGGCCACAAAATGCACAAACTTGCGACGTCCGATACTCGTTAACCACGGCTACTGGCCAATATCTAGCGTGTGCTTCCCTCATCCACTTGCCACCATAACGCAAAAAACCTTTGATACGCGAACCATATCCCATTCCAGCGTGGCCAATCATGAATATAGGGCGATGTTTCAATGGTGGTGTCAATGGCTTTTGATCCTTCAATCTCTTGCTTATCGTCTTACGCTCGCGTGCGAGAATTCGGTCTTTCCATTTTCTTGTTTGATACTCTCTCTGGCGGGTTGCCCTTTTCATATACGTGCCATTATACCATGCTCTCACGGTACGTCTTTGACTAGTAATAGCCTTTGGAAAATGTAAGTATATGGTAAAATTGATGTGGGAGGCAATCCTTACTTTGTCAGCGTCGTTTATCTGAGATGGAGTCACTGCCTTTCTCATAGAGCATACGGATAGAGCTCTTTCTGCCTCCGTGACACCCTTTCCTTGTATAGTCTAGAGCGAAATTAGAACATGCATGAATAAATTCAATGACTACACTTACGTTCTGCTTCTTGTATTCGAGTTTTCGCCTTCTCTCTCGTTCGCCCGTGGAATCAAAGATGGTCTCAGATTTCAACGTGATGGCTTTCGGTAAACGAATAAATCTTTCAGGAGGGTGATCAGAGGTCAACATATCCAAATGATATTTTGCTTGTTCTTCTTTCATTGGAACACTCGTAGCAAGCGTTCGAAACCCGTAATCGACTCCAGTAAATCCAAGTTGGTGTTCATCGCTTTGTAGTTGAGTAATGTCCATAAAATGGGCTGGTGCCAGACATATGGGGTTATCGGATGATAACACTATCTTCTCACGGTCCTTCTTCTGGTCCTTGTTGCTTTTTGTGTTCAAAGACTACTTGCATTCATCTCAGTATATGTCCCATAATAATGATGTTTCAACCTACCCTTTTGGTAATTGCAATTGTTTTTTTGTTCACTCGTAGACTTTCATCGTTGTCACACAGCTTAGATTGTAAATCGCGGCACTCTTGCTTCAGATCACGTACCACCTGGTGATCGTTATCAGGTTCGTGCCGAATACGTTGTAAATCATCCTTTTTGGAAAGAAGATCAGATTTTGTCGTATCTGACGACTCCTGTAGTTGCTGGCGTTCGATTTTAAGCTCCTCGATATGCGACTTAAGAAAAGATTGGGATCCTTGAATGATCGTGGGTGCAAACTTTGCTGGTTGGTATTGAGGAACAAGCCTTGATCGATCACGCACCTTCCCAATAATACGAGCCATCCCGTTGGATGTCATGATGATACGGCGAATCCAATCCAAGTTGTGTCCTTCACATTTTTCATTGATTTTGTCAACGGAGAAAACCAAAGAAAACGTATCATTCGGGCGTGACGTTGCTGTTCTCGCACTGTTGATACCTCGCCGTTCAAAGTCTGGGATCAGGTCATTCACATTTTCATACAGCGATTTAGCTGTGATGGTCAATGCATGGATATCACCTGATGAAGTATGTGGAACGAGTGCTCTCATCTCCGATGTAACGTTCGCCGACTTAAGGATGGCGTTTGCCAGCACACAAAATGGTACTTGCGATGCGATGGAACATTTTGATGGATATACATGGCGTAGAAAAGGTCGAATGTTGTTGTATATATGGACAATAATATCGATCTCTTTGCTGGACAAATCCTCAGGCTGTTCCCAAAATGAGTTGATTCCATTTGCTGAAACATCTTCTTCTTGTAGGCATATTTTCATCAACAATCCACGGATTTGGTCTCTTCTTTTCTTTTGAGAATCACGGCGCTTTCCTTCTTTCTTTTCCTTGGTGTTGATCTGAGTCTTGGTGATGGGCAGAGTCCTTGTCGCCTCCTTGGCCTAATACGATTTCGTTAGAAACAAATATGAATCATATCCTGTTTTGTTACTTACTTCTTCGTTATATTGCTTCATCTCATCCTCCAATCTTTTTAAACGTTCATTGGTTTTCTCCTTCTTCTTAATTTGTGCAATGGTTAAGGACTCGGTCTTTTCCAACTTTTCCAACTTTTGTAGCTGTTTCTTTGTTGTCTTGATTTTGCTGTGAAGTGCGTTGCGCTTTGATCGCCGAGACAACAGCTTTGTTTGACTCTTGTCAATATCCTTGGCTCCCAATTGCAAATCGGCTAAAGTATTGGCAGTTGTATCGACTTCATGACATGTCATCTCCTCGTCTTGGTTGATACATGTGCCAGGAAAATCTTCATCATCGTGGAGTTGATAAAGAAGGCACGGTTCTTCCATTGGCTGATAGATCGGATACTCATCATCGATTGCACGATAAGCAGGGCATTCATTTTCCATTGGCCTGTGTACAGCACAATCATCCTCACTTGCATGGAAAACGGGGTACTTATCATCAAAATGACCCGAGAAATCGCCAAGTTGACGCTTGAGAAGTACATCAATCACCGAACGCAACAACGACCTGGTAATCCGAGCGCCTGTGTACATATTCTGTACATTGGTGGATATTGTCGAGATGACCTCATTGGCGGTTTGAGAACTCAAACCATAGAACGACTGTGCACCATCGCCCTATGTATGTTTCAAATCAATAAACATTCATCCTCATAAGTAGACATCACCATTTCTTACCATGATTTTCTTCCATAGAGGGTACTTGCTATGGGTTGGTGCCTGTGACCCCATGCCGAAATGATTGGTGTATAGATATTGTATGTGCTGAAAACTGAAAAGCAACTTGCTATCTTCTGATGATTGAGGATCAGAAGACGTGAATCCTTGGTGCAGGAGACTTTGCTGGTGGTCGATGTTCAAACGCAGTTGCTGGATGTTGATCATGGTCGACCCGTGGTCATTCATAGCTGCATAAGAGATCATGTTCAAATGGATCACTTTGCACATATCATGGTAAAGATCCGTGCATTTTTCAGCAATCGCATCCAATCGCGGCACAATTCCAGCGGCATCATTGGTATCTGACAAAGATTTATGAGACCTTTAATATAAACGATGACAATTTGATACTACCTTTCAAAATGCTTCTGAAAGGCGTTGACACCGTCCGATAAGCATCGTCTTCTTGTGTGATATCCAATTCAAGCATATCCAAAGTGAAACCATTGACTTCGGCTCTGAATATGGCTTCGATATCCATATCTGATATCCATCGGAGTATGGATTGTCGCAATGGTTTGTCATTGTTGAGTTTCCTCCCCGTGGTTCCTTCATCGATGTTGAGGATGTTGTCAATGGCAGGATTAAGACCACGCGGAACATGATCCTTTTTTAGCTTGCCGCTAGAGGTTGTTGCATCTTTATCAATCGTAGATGAGGTCCTAGCCCTTGCTAGATGCTCGTCCGTAATGTCACTCGTTGGTAAATTGAGTCTCTTTAAAATATTTTTTAATGATGTTTTGGCGTGATCATGGACCATGGAAGTGATGGCCTGTCGTACAATGTCGGGTGTAATTGTCATCGGAAAATTTAAGAAGAAAAGGGTGCTATGATGATTCCTGGGACCAGAATCCTTATTTTGGACCCATATGGTATGGTTTTTAGGGAGCAAACTGTTGTTGACGGATATACAAGATAAGAACGTTATGTCATTGTTACATCATGGATGTAAGGTTCATGTACAAGAAGAATGTGTGATATTGTCAACACATGAAAAAATAGGGAGTAACTATAAAGGGAAAGATAAATCACAATTCTGCTATGTACATACGGTCCACATAGCCGTTTACAGCAAAAAAAAAACTATACCTGATGCATGAATGTATTAGCTCGTGGAGTAGGGGATAAGGGTGGTGTGTTATTGTTGACTCATGGATCCCAGGCTCACGTAAGAGAAAAAGGAGCGCGTGGGTGTCGGTATGTACACACAATCATCATCAATAGCGAACGCAAAAAAGGGAATGTTTACATCTACATCTAGGTCCGTATGGTCCTGCAGCAAGAAAAGCTATTGTTTATGCATGAACATTGACACATGGCTATAGGATAAGGTGGCGTGTTATTGTCCATGCATGGATTCATAGCTCATGTAGCATGAGAAAAAGGAAAGTGTTGGGTCAGCACATGAAGCAAATGTATCCCTAATAACAAGACGGGAAAAAGAGGTATGACAATTTTGTTACATCTTGGTGCACATGGCCCGTGAAAAAGCCTCGCATCACAATCATGCATCAAATTACGTTTATTGTTAGCTCCTTCTCCTCGATAACAAAGCGCTATCAATTGAAGAGGATAGCAGCAACAAGCGATGATGGTTGACTCTCAATGATATTTCAGTAACCGCATTACATGGATCAATGTACTGGAACTGCATGAGCGTGTCCAAAAAAAAAAAGGGATCCCGGAAAAGCAGCAGCATCAACATCAGCAGGTGGAAGTCTCAAATGCGGGCGTCTTCTTTTTCATGCTCTCAAAGAAATGACTCTTTTTTCTCCCATCACAATGGCGCATCAGATTACATCCATTGTTTGCTCCCCCACATTCTTACCCATCGATTCCCAAAGGAAGGATACTTTTTCTCGCATGACAATGACGCACGAGAATTACAGTCATTGTTGCTCACTCCCCCTTTCCTTATCGATAATAAATCACTCTCATTTGAAGAACATAGCAGTAATCATTAGCTATGGGTGATTCTGAATGACATTTCGGTATTCTCATTGCATGATTCAGTGTGTTGGAAGTACAAGGGTGTGTCAAAGGGAGGTCATGTAGCAATCAAATGAAATGTTACATTGCATGTATGTTCGCGCATAAAGAACCTCTCCTCTCAACCGCATTATTACAAGTATACAAGTCAATTATACAAAAAAAGAAACCCAGATAAGACATCGCCATCGCAGCAGACATCTTCCAGAATACTTCCAAGCGAATCCTTGCAAGCGAATAAAAGCAACATATAAGTCACTATGTAAAAGTAAAGTAAATCTCATTTGGGGGTGGGTGGGTCATTTGCAGCACACATAGTGATAAGCCGTTCCACACAAAATCGACGTTCGCGAGCGAAGCGAGCCAGTTGGCGGCCTAGTAATCATTGTTTGATTACACGATCTCGGTGTTCTTCCTATAATAGATCGTAGTTGTGACCTAGCGGGCGTAAACTGTACCTAAATACTCTTCTCTTTCTTTTGCTTCACTGTTTCATGTCTCTTTTTTTTGACAGGATGTCTATGTATGTAAGTCAAACCATCTGCTATGGCATAAGAAAATCCAGCATAGGAATAACGCAGCATAAAGATGAGTAGGCTATGTTTATTAACAAAAAGAATGCTGTAAGATGATCAAAGGGCGGATGTATCCTAATGAGCTTTGTTTGTGTGATGCACACGTATGAAAGTACATCAATGATCACGGTTGCTTTATCATTAAACATTTGCTCATCACATTTTTTCTTGTTGAAAACCGATTGTCTATTCTTTATTCATAACCACCAGTCACCCAGATGATCCACGCGAGCTAATAGCAACCCACCACTTGATGGGAATTGTCGAGAAGACGAGATACAGAATGTGTCCCATGACCAGAGTGAAGCAAACAAACAAGATACACAAGGCGTACATTTCTCAAGGTGCCACTCATGAGGAAAGCGTCCCTGTTTCAGATCCATCATCACCTTCACACCACCACACAAGTTAGTACAATCTTGGTCCAATGAACGTGTTGAGCAAACGGCTAGAGACTTCATGCACAAGGAAATTTAACTTGAACACAAAGAAGCCATCATGAGACAGCACCACCAGGTTCAAGAGGTCCGTGCAGCTTACCAAAACACAACCACTTACGATCAGAGCAAGAAAGAGGACGAAATCATACCATCCAACGTGCCTATATTACAAATCAAAGGATGCCATTGAGAGACACCAAGATAGCTGCCACAGCAGTGTGCTTTTATCAAATTAGGATATGCAGTGACTTGAACAGGCCCGGTGATTGAAGCATGGCAAAGGGTCGAGTCATTGTGGTTGAGGGAATTCATCCCAACAAACATGCATTCACCTGGAGATCGTGTAATAAAAACATGCCAAAACCACATCACCATGCAGCGTTGTTTGTGCTTGATATCCAAAGGATTCACAATAATAAAGGTTACGGATCATCTTGCATAGTATGCCGAACAACACGAGGCTGTGTTATTGTACTTCCAGCAATGCAGGTTGACATGGTAGTAAAGGACGCTGTGTACAAAGGATTAATGGCATGTGGTCCATACTATAGACATTGAACAAAAAAAGCAATGCAGGAAGCATGACTCAAGTTGATTGGGATGATTAGGAGGTGTTTATAGAAGTCATCGTGATAAATCACAATGAGAAATTGTGGTGATTTTATTAATAGGGGTATTGGTTGTGAATGAATGAACATAGATAACAACGAGTATCCATGGCAACAGGTATGATTGTGGGTGGATGGATGGATGTCATTGTTGCTGCGGGAGACTGACTGATGCCAAAAGGGGAGTCACGTACTTAAATCCTTGTTTTTGCTGGCAGTATACTTTCTTTCTATCTCGCGACATGTCTGACAAAGAGAACGACCCAGTTCCCGAGCAAATCCAGGATGAGGAGGTACGGCATTCTACACCATGGAAAGCACTCTTTCATATATAATAACCAACAATGGCAACACCAACAACGATTGTACAGCCTGACTTCTCCAAGCTCAAAAAGAAGAAAAAGTCCAAGAAAAAGGTTGACTTTGACGTTGACGATGTAGCAAACGACACAAAGGAAGAAGGTAGTGCAGACACGCCAATGAGCACTAGAGAACACAAAGACTCACACCATCGTCATTTAGCTGCTCCTGCTGCTCCTGCTGACGATGCTGAAGAGGATCCTGAAGCTATGTTTGCCGATCTCAAGAAGAAAAAGAAGAAAAAGTCCAAGAGTCTACCAGTACGTTGAGGATACATTAGATGATGTACAAGGTTTATTGACAAGTGGGTATCGTTTAGGAGGAGGATGGTGAGGCAGCAGCACCTGCAGAAGGAAATGAAGAAGATCTTGATTTTGGAGCATTGAAGAAGAAGAAAAAGAAAAAGAAAAACATGGCCGAATTCGAAGCAGAGCTTGCTGAACAAGATGGAACTGATACCACTGGCGCTGCCGAAGAAAAGAAGCAAGGTGGCGAGGAAGCATGGCTTAACAGCGACCGTGATTATCAATATGAAGAGGTAAAAAGATCCACATGTCGTATGTTGAAGAATGCAATGGCTTACAACAAGATGTCCTTAGTTGTTGGGTCGTGTATTCAAGATCTTAAGACAAAACAATCCTGAATTGGCAGGCGAGAAGAGACGCTACACCATCGTTCCACCCTCCATTCACCGTGATGGTAGCAAAAAGACTGTGTTCGCCAACGTTGCTGATATTTGCAAGCGGTATGACAATAGCCAACCTTGTTACCATTTGGGTCTATGACTAACCATGTGCAATAACAATAGTCTTCATCGTCAACCTGAACACGTGATTCAATTCTTGTTCACTGAATTGGGTACAACTGGTTCCGTGGATGGTGCTCAACAATTGATTATCAAGGGTCGATGGCAACAAAAGCAAATTGAAAACGTGCTTCGTCGATACATCGGTAAGTGTTGTTGGAATATCATTCTCTTCAAAAGTCAAAAGCTTACAAGATGGTTTTGCCATGTAGTTGAATACGTTACTTGTAAGACTTGTAAGAGTCCAGACACCATTTTATCCAAGGACAATCGTCTTTACTTTGTGCAATGTGAATCATGTGGTTCTACACGATCTGTATCTGCCATCAAGACCGGTTTCAAGGCCCAAACTAGAGATGACAGGCGGGCGCTTAGAGCATAAGCATAAATCCCTTTTCATTCAACAAAAAAATACACACACGTTTTTGTTTCCCGCAATTCCATCTTTTTCTTACGCTTACGCCATTCCTTTAAATTATCAATGATTCCTGTTCTTCCTTATCACTTTCTCAACTCTCCTGTGGTGCAGCATGAAGCATCGCCAGCATTCGTTGCAGATGTCATTGTCCAATTCTCAAAGCAAGTGATGCGTCCAAGAGTCATGCTACCATTGCTCGCAGTCATCATACTACTATTTGACCTCGATGACGCTTTCGATATGGATGACGAGTTTTTCTTAGAAGACGAGCAAGACGCAAGAGACGAACAAGATAACTAAACGACCTGTAAATAGCACCAACCTTTGATTGTACATACATCTTTATTAAACCCACACTTGAGCCTTGGAAACGTTGTTCTCATACTGGGGTTGCCATGGAGCGTATCCATGCAACGATCATGGATGGATGATACCTTTTTTAATGCACGTATACAGATGTTGGTTATTATAGCCGCTGCCTTGCATAATAGCATGTGTTTGAGAGAGAGAGAATATAAGGGATTGGTATGCTCTATATACAAGTTTATTGTTATTACACTCTAAGCACGCTTAACGAGCTTGTCAGCAGAAACCAGTTGCTTGCTAACAAGATAATCAATGATTTGCTGAACACCTTGTTCAACGGATACTTCGTGGGTCTTGATGTGGATCTCGGGCTTTTCAGGTGCTTCATAGGGAGCTGAGATACCAGTGAATTCCTTAATCTCACCAGCCTTGGCCTTCTTGTACAAGCCCTTGGGATCACGTTGCTCAACAACTTCCAAGGGAGCATCAGCATAGACTTCAACAAAAGGAATACCAGCAGCTTCGTGCAATTGTCTAGCGGATTCACGGTCTTGACGATAAGGGCTGATAAAGGAGGTGACAGCAATGGTGGTAGCATCAGCGAACAACTTGGCAACCTAAGAAAATTCCCTCCATAATCAATACCTCGCCTTTGTGGCATCATCAACATCATCATCCTATTTACCTCAGAGATACGGCGGATGTTTTCGGTGCGATCGTCAGGGCCGAAACCAAGGTTCTTGTTCAAGCCAAAGCGGATGTTGTCGCCATCAAGTCGATAAGCAGAGATGCCCGAGTGCAACAAAGTTTGCTCAAGAGCAGTAGCAAGAGTCGATTTGCCGGATGCGGATAAACCAGTGAACCAAATAGTGAAGCCCTTATGAATGAAGAATGCTTGTTAATACCAAAGCAAGGATGATGATGGTGACGTTACATGTAAATAAATACCTTTTGACCAAGGAGGGTTTGACGCTCAGTCAAAGAGACAGCGCCTTCGTGCCAAGTGATGTTGGTTGCCATAATTGAAAAGTGAGAGAGTTGTGTGTGGAAATGAAAAGCTCAAGAATAAAGCGAGCTATGGACCCAGAAAATAAATACGACAAGATCGGGGACGGAGAAACTGATTCTCCTATTGGCTGCTCGGCCGATTGCGCCATTGATGCTGTCAGGCACTGCATCTCATTGTGTCTTAACTTGAATACCCATCCACCACACTTTCCGGTACCTCATGTCACATGTCACATTTCACTTCACATTTGACACAAATCAATACTTCATCCTGATGAAGGCGCATCACCACTCTATCAGTTCAAGTTCAAGGGCACCACCTTTTTTATTATCAGCGCATGCACCAACATCCGTTCATGCAGCATACTTTCCTTGTTTACAACGCCATGCACAAAAGATAAAGGGATGCTGTCATGCATGATCATACTTTCATACATCTCTTTCATCTATCGGACATACGTATGTTACCCATAAAAAATCCACCTTTTAAAGCTGCAAGTGGATTTATCAGCTGTGCTCCAAGATGCTTGAACACTTTATCAATTCGATCCATCGTGACGACACTTCTCACGCCCACTCACATATAAATAAGGCTGTTGTCACCAACACTATCACACGCCCTTTCTTCCATATTATCATCAATGACCTTTGGTAAGTCTCGAGGATACGTCTTTATGTGATTCCAAAATGAGGGTGCTCATGATGCATTCATCCATGTCATGTAGCTCACTTCATTGCTTTATGCCTACGTAATGACATTTGGCTGGTTGATGGACCATTTGTGGTAGGTATAGCTATCATTTAAATTGATGAATGTTATTAAAAAGATGCCTTGTACATTTGTAGGCAAAAGACAACCCCATTCTAACGGGAAATGTGGGACTCCTTTGTTAACCAGGATATGGAGCCTCGTACAAATTTGCTAACAGCATTGGGTTCCATTGACGATAGCTGGGTCCAACGTCGCAAGCGGACTCAGCGGCGTAACATACATCATTACATCCATCGACCACAGGCGCTGCTGTATGCGCACCAGCAAGTACCTTTGTGGTATCATGGCGTAGGTGTACATGCCGTATCAAGATCAGTGACAGGCATTTGTCAGAAACTCAAACGGTAATCGATGCTTACGAGAAGTGGAAACATGTCTTTGAAGAAGCGATCTCGGGCTTTTGAATTTCTGAAGCAAGCATTAGCGCAATCTTTAGAGCTGATCAAGAGAGGGTTTTTATGGAAGGATTATGGGAAGAGCACCAAATTGCATGGCTTTGATGACAAGGATGACGAGCTCATTGAGCTGATTCGGCTTGTGCCCACTGACTACACGGTGAATTGCATCAAGCCTAACCATCCAACAAAAACAAATGAGCGCACTCCATTTGTGGAATCCATCGTGCCACTTTTTAAATACCAGTCATCTATATATCCAGTGATCCATCTCGTTTGTGAGGTAAGGGCGAAGAAAGGAACGAGTGTATGGATTATTAAGACTTGTTTCGTAGGTGTGAAAAAGGGCTTGTGATCCCCAAGACCACAAAATTGATGGATGGCATTGGAATGACTACCACTGACCACAAAGAGCGAATCCTAATCGAGTCATCTGGGTAAGATTATCGACGTTATTTGAGGACGTTGATGCTCATAGTGCTTGTTTTCGAATACCAGGTTTAGGGATGGTTTACACATCGATGGAAGACTCTCTGAAATTTGTGGACATTCATTCCTCGATGATGCGTTGTATTTGGCAATCACCAAGCGACTGGATAAAGAAGAACTATCATCCATCTGCGGTTAGGATTTACTCAATGTGGCAAAACGCGAGGTGGGGAGAATACCGGGATGCGTTTGACATGTACATAGCAGCGGATGGTGTGATCGAACCTGTGGAAGGACCACTGTAACGGGTTGATTCTTGAGTGCTGTTTTCAAAGAAGACACAATGAGATAACACTATGCGCAAGTCCTCAAGCATAGATAATGTGTTCGCTTTTTACCCTATCTCCTTTGTTGATTTCCCTAGTTTATTATATCCCTCATCATTGTAACTTTTTAATGCTCGCATGAGCGAATCCCTGGTGCCTTGCTATCTATCACACACATGCATACACATACGCAATGAATGTATTTTATCAGAAAAGTCATGCTGAAAGTAAAGAGATGAGGAATGATGATTGTGTGCAGATGATCCATCACTTGTTGGAAACCTTAACTTGGTATGGCGTATGAGTGCACATGACAACCAGCATTTACCTTGCATGGCACGTTCTCCGCACGCCCATTGGGTACAGACGTCAGCTGAGAATAGGGCTATCATTGTTGCACTTGGCAACCAAACGATAAGTGGGAAAATCCTAGCCAACGTTCCTGCACCTTTTTCTTCGTTTCTTTTGCTTTCTCTTTCTCCTTTCTTTTTGACGCCAAAGGGACAATGCCTGTTCCAAGCAAACATTCTTACACTGCAATTCCTTCAGAACCCAATTCCGAAAAGGAATTCCAAACTACACGTCGCAATGCTGTAAGTTTCTCCACGGCTGCCTCTTTATTCGTTGTCATATTGACTCTTCTCTATAGAAGCTGCGTCGTTTCCTTGGTTTGGCTTTACTCGTTATCTTGGGAACCACTGCTTTATCAGCATTGGTTGGTATTTCAAAGCATAAAAAGAGTGAGTGGATGAAGCTATATCATACCAAGGATGAGCAATGATGTTGACATGATGCAATAGAACACCACAAGCGCAATGTTATCATGATGATCAGTGATGGTTTTGGACCTGCATCCGAGACATATGCACGTCAATATCATGCATGGAGAGAAGGATTGGAACCCAAGGAAGCACGTTTACCATTGGATCATGTACACGTTGGCCATAGCCGAACACAAAGCTCTTCTAGCTTGGTGACTGATAGCGCAGCAGGTGCCACAGGTATGTAAACAAACATCTACGGATGACTCCTTCCGATGTATATACTAATAGCGGGCGTGTTGGTATTGTTTGATAGCTTTCGCATGCGGGCTCAAGAGTTACAACGGCGCTATCGGAGGTAAAACAAGTTGCAGGAGAGGGAGGGAGGACCTATAATGTCACAGGTGATTGATAAGGGTATGTCATCATTAGTGGATCCCGAAAAGGTGCCATGCGGTACTGTGCTTGAATCGGCCAAGGTGCATCATGATATGCTTACAGCTTTGGTGGTCACTTCCCGTATTACTCATGCAACACCTGCTTCCTTTTCGGCTCATGTTGATTGGCGCGATGATGAGAATACTATTGCTGAGCAACAAATCGGAAACAACCCATTGGGCCGCACCGTGGATTTGATGTTTGGTGGTGGCTCATGTGAGTTTTTAAGCAACACCACTCAAGATAGCTGCAGAGCGGATGATCGTGATCTTTTTACCGAGGCTCAAGAAAAGTTTGGATGGTCTGTGAAGCGCACACGTCAAGAGTTTGATGAAATCCAATCCTCTGTTGATCTCCCATTGATGGCTATCTTCTCTCCTCAGGCAAGTGGTTATCCTCCCCCCTTTATACCCCATCTATCATCTCGAGCATATAAAGTTAACGTTTCATATGCAGCACATGGATTATGAGATTGATCGCAACCCCGCCGAACAACCCTCTCTCAAGGAAATGGTCGAAAAGGCTTTGGCTATTTTGGATGAGCAATCACAAAAGACCGGCAAGAACTTTTTCCTCATGATTGAAGGAAGCCGTATTGATATGGCTGCTCACACGTACGTGATGATGGTGGTGGTGGAGGGGGAAAAGGTGCTTCATGTTCTAACATGTATATAGGAATGACCCTGCAGCCCACTTTTATGAAATCTACGAATATCATCAGACAGCTGAAACAGTATTGCAATTCGCCAAGGAACACAAGGGCACTGTCGTCATCTCCACAAGTGATCATGAGACTGGTGGTCTCACTGTGGGTCGTCAGGTCACTGAAGAATACCCTGAATACAAATGGTACTTCGTTTTACTTCTTTCTCGATGGCTATGATGAACTAACAATAAGTTTAAAGGAACCCCGAGGTGATCAGCAGGGTGCGTAATTCTTCTGAAGCGTTGGCTCGTGCGTGGGATGCTGCACAACAAAAGGAAATCGATGCTCTCAGCTATCTTCGTCAAGAAATTATCGTCAACGGCTTGGGTATTGATGATGCTACCGAGGATGAAATCCAATCTTTGGTTTCTTGGAAGGACAGTGGAAAGGATATCACCGATCTTGAAAACAGGCTTTCTGATATGGTTAGCCGTCGTGCTTTGATTGGCGTAAGTTATCTAATCTCTAGGGGGTGTTGTTGAAAAATAATATCTAACACGTCCTCGTAGTGGACTACGCATGGTCACACAGCTGTGGATGTCAATCTTTATGCTTATGGCAAGGGCACCAAGGCACTTCGTGGTAGCCATGAAAACATTGAGATTGGTGAATTCATTTCAGATTATCTAAAGTTGGATTTGCAAGATATCACCTCGAGATTGAACGCGTAAGTCATCCACACTACATCATGTGACAAAAACAAGGCACTCATGATACACTTTAGAGATCAACCATTTGCAGCTGCCAGCAAGGAGGAATTGCCTAGAGTATCCAACCATCAGCTCCACTATGATTAAGCACAAGTTTTGTGGTGTTTTTCATATTCTGAATAAAAGCCGTGCATATACCATACTTGCCGAACCTTCGTTTCTAGCTCTATTTTATCATGACCCAAACTTTTTGAAGCTTGTGGTTTGTATGCTTATCGATCAAGGTGCCATCGACCTTTCCTTTCTGAGACGTACAATTACACACAAGCATCCTCGAACAATGCCTTCTTATGAGTGGGATTGAACACATCAAGTCATTTGCCATCATAGTAGATAGGCATCATAAGCTCCCTAGTATGTATCAAACAAATTAAACGAGAGGATGATCCTTTGCCATATCATTATGAGAGTGTTGGATGTACACGAATGTCTCGTTTTGGTACAGCGTAAAAGTGTTATCCAATTTGGGGCTCATTGTAGCTACATGCAAAGACAATGGTTTCTTTATTATCGTCGCAAGTTGAAGCATTGATAACCTCTAGTATTGGATCCATCTAGTCCTAAATCTGATAGCAATAATGGATCATGGTTTCCAGGAGGATTCAAGGGTAGAGGCAACGAGGTTGATCATGTGGTGTGCGCGACACAAGCATCAAAACGTGGAATCACAAGGTCAATTACGATTGCTGCTGCTGCTGCTTCTGGATCAACATCTTTATGGAGAAATACAATGCATTGTTGACAAGCATGGATCGATGAATTGTAATAGCAATAAGGCACAGTGGATAGTAATATTTGCGGGGATTGGAACATTGGCTACACACACCCACTTCTTATTTGAAAGGCAAAAGTCAGATAACCGCGTCTGCGGCTTCCTTTACGACTTGTTTCTTCTCTCCTTCACTCACCATGGCGAACAATGTGGGTCAGCAACCGCCATCTCCTTCAGCCATGCATTTGTATCAGAGCGCATCACCCACCACTCCAACACACGTTGATCACGCACGTCATAAAGGATACACATTAGAAGAGGTGCACAGTTGGTCTGAAGCCAAAGTTGCAGAATGGTTATCGCATCTCAACCATGGCCGCCATAGAAACAAGTTTATTGGTATGTGGTTCAAAACAGACGATAGAATGATAGCAAGATAGCTTATGGTATGAATTGACGATATAGAAAACAATATCACGGGTGCTGTATTACTCGACCTTGACAATGAAGCGTTGAAGGCTATGGATATCAGAACAGTGGGTGAACGAGTGAAGCTATTGGTGGCTGTACGATCTCTACGACAAGAGTGTTATGCTGCTGTTGCAAATGCAGCAAGGGCAAGAGTAAGTTTTAATTGGGAATTGAGGATATAGGGACAAGGCTTATTGATCTCTCTCTCTCTCTCTTTCACTCCTTAGATTGCCCATGGCGACCAACGAGCCGATTACCGCATGCATAATCAATCCAGCACATCCATAGCAACAGCACAAACATTGACAGCTGGCTCTTCACTATATCATATTGATGGACATGGGAAGCACGAAGGATTCAATGTCACCAGCCCACATTCTGAAAAGTCATCAAAGTCATCTGAAGGGAAAAGTTTGCTCAATCGATCCAATTCATTCTCACGCTTCCTGGGTCGATCCGATTCGAAAAAGTCTTCTCGTTCTGGTCAAGATGTACCACCCATGCCACCCAGCCCAAAAACTATTCAGAAGGTAGGTGCGTGTTTTATCAACCAGGGGAAGAAAAAGGAGATTCTACATCCAAAGAAAGGTTCTGATATTATTGTTATAGCGCAAGTCATTGGAGAAAGGCATCATGTCAATGGAAAAAGTCAAGCAGGTATGGATTTAGAAGAGGATGGAAGGATTGTACAAGGTGAATTGATATGGCAATTGGCTTAGACATGTGTCAAAGTATTTGGAGAAGAGGGCCAAACTCGGATCGTCAATGTGCACAATACATCGGATGCAAAGGCTATCATGGCCAAGGTGTTACACAAGTTTGGTATCGACGAATGCAACGCAGATCGATATTGCATATTTGTTGGATCAAGTACCAATGGAGAAGGTAATGGGTTTGGTATATCTGGAAGGAGAAGGAAGGATACTAATACTAAAGGAATGTTTGTAGCACGTGCATTGAAGGATGATGAGCTTGTTGAGATTTGTCGATCAGCTGACCGGCCTGAAAAAGAGCGACTGATTTTAAGGAAACGACACATGTATCCCACCCATGAAGAATTCAAGCGCAAAGGAACCACCAATTGGAAGTTTCCCAGAAACCCAATGCAATCCGATATCGACAATACAAGTGCATTCAGCATTCATTCTCCCAGCATATCAGAGACACCTCAACCATGGATGCCTGATAAACAAATGACCCTCGACATCATCACCGGCTCTTCATCCACCGACAGCCTTAGTTCACGAGCGAGCCGACGTCCTCAAAATCAAGCACGTGTACGCCGCTTCTTTGGTGAACGTCCGCCATCCGAAGTCATTTCATCCAACCTCCCATCCTTCTTTCCCAACCACAAACGTGAAATGCTTGAAACAGCTGGTATCAATGCGAAGCGTATGTCCATGACTAGAACATCATCCATGGCACGAAGAGAAAGTCGAGCTGCTTTTCGTAACAGTGTACTACCCGAATTGGTGTCTGTTTTGGGTGTCGATCTCGGCAAATTCTTAGAAGAAGAGGAGGAAACAGCTGATAATCAAACATTGGAGACAATGAGCCAGGATATGGAGGATAAAGAAAAGGACGAAGACAAAGAAGAGGAAGCAGCCACAACAACAACAACGGCAACACCACCAGCAGAGGAAGAAGAGAATGACCACAAGAGCATCCATGTACCAAGCATCATTGAGGAACCTGAAACTCCCTCTTCGAGTACAGTAACACAATCAACAACAGTGACTGAGACAACAGGTACAATGAAAAAGACATTGTGCTACAACCAGCAGCTAATCTTGGGTTTAGACACTCCCGACTCAAATGAACCTGAGCGTGACGCACCAATGATATGTAAGGGATACAACCAAGTTTGGGAAAGGTCGATGTGTGTATTGACACTTTACATCCATAGCCGATGACTCGCCTCTTGCTTGGATGAAGGGATCACTTATTGGCAGAGGAACTTTTGGTGATGTCTATCTTGGATTGAATCCACTCAATGGAGAGCTGATGGCGGTGAAACAAGTTGAATTGCCTGTCGAGAACTCTGCTACGGAAAATCAAAAGCGTTCAATGGTATGTTTGGAATCGTATGCAAGGTGTAGGATGGCATGCTAATGATTGGGTAGGTGGAAGCTTTACAGCGAGAGATTGCCCTGTTGAAGGAATTACAACATGAAAATATTGTACAATACCTGGGTATGTGTATACTTTTGGGGTAGTACATGGAATGCTGATCGATATTTGGTTAGGCTCTCAAACGGATATGGCGCATTTTAGCATCTTCCTCGAATATGTGCCAGGTGGTTCAGTGGCTGGTCTACTCGCAAGCTATGGTGCCTTCCAAGAACCGCTCGTCCAAAGCTTTGTACGTCAAATTCTCAAGGGCTTGAACTACTTGCATGGCAAGGACATTGTACACAGAGATATCAAGGGTGCCAATGTACTAGGTAAGAAGGGCATGCTTTTTTATTCAAATGGAAGCATTAACACATGTCTCTTTCTTTATAGTTGATAATAAAGGAGGCGTCAAGATCAGCGATTTTGGTATCTCAAAAAAGGTGGAAGAAGGTTAGCAACGATTATCAATTGTTCAGGTTGATGGCATGTATCTTACAATTAGGCGTAGACATTATGCAAGTTTCATCGGCAGCACATCGACCTAGTTTGCAAGGCTCAATATTCTGGTATGTATCAAAGAACAAAGGAACAAAGAGAGCCAATGTTACTTACCTTGTTGCATAATGTAGGATGGCACCAGAAGTCGTTAAACAAACGCATTATACCCGCAAAGCCGATATATGGTCTTTGGGCTGCATGGTGGTTGAAATGTTCACCGGTGATCATCCTTTCCCCGAATTCTCACAAATGCAAGCCATATTCAAGGTACATGTATGCTTTGTCGTTTTAGCTGGTATAGGCATTGACACATCGTAATAGATTGGAAGCTACACAGCACCGAATATTCCCGAGAACATTAGCGAGGAAGCCAAGGATTTCTTAAAATGCACATTCAAATTGTAAGTGGTGATGCATAATAGATCATTAGTGCATGTTCCTAACATGGATTGTTTGTAGAAATCACGAGGAAAGACCAAGTGCAAAGGAGTTATTGGATCATCCATTCTTGAAGATATAGCCTGTTTATCTAAAAAGCACACCTTGTATATAGAAGAGTAAAATCAAAATGTTTATTATTACTATTATGTGGCGGTGTGTGTGTGTGTGATTTGCTACTATGAGGTATGTGAAGTTGTGCGACAAGGTCTTTCCGACATAAACGGGCAACACAACAAATGAGACAGAGCGTAGTATATTTGTATTGTCTATTTGAATCGTGAAGAATGAAAGTTGGTTTATTCTTTTTGAATGCGATACATGTCCAGCCATGGCCGTTTGATTTTCTCAAATTTCCAAGCACATGAAGGTTATTGGGTTGTTTAAGCGGAAGCACCAAGGGATGGGAAAGCAGCAGCATCTTGGATGTTGACAGCAGGGCCATTGTTCTTGGCACCACGACGACCGTTACCACGGCCACGACGATCACCACCACGGCGTTCACCACGGAAACCACCACGGGGCTTTTCAACGAAGCGTTGCTCAATTTCAACAACAACCTTCTCCTTGCGAGGCTTCTCGGCAGACTTCTTGGGCTTGGAGTCCTATTGTTGTTTCGCTTAGTCACTCGATTTTTCCTTTTTGCAATCCCTTTCTTTTACCTTGTTAGTAGCAAAGTACTCAGGCTCATCCTCCTTGACAAAGGCAACAGCGTTTTCCCACTTCTTGTCATCAGAGCCCTCGTTAGCCTTACGGGCTTCAGGAAGAGCAACCTTCAAAGACTTGTTGGCCTTTTCGGCAAGGTATTCCTCAAGAGTCTTGACCTTTTCCTCAGCTTCAGCAGCCTCAGCAGCAGCGGCTTCTTCAGCAGCAGGGTCCTTGGGGGACAAGCTGTCCTTGGCACTATACACACATTCAATCAGCCATTCTCTTCTTTTTGTTTTGATCCTAATCATCCCTCACCCCTTCCACTTACGCTTCAGCCTCAGCAGTCTCGGGATGACCCCAACCTTGCTTTTCCTTCTTTTCGGAATCACTATCGTATTTTGTCTGTCAATGATGGCTGCTGGCTAGGCTGGATGCCATGAATAAAAAAAATACTCACGCAATACCGGTACCGCTGTGGCGGTCAAATTGACGACCACGTTGGGGACGACCGTTTTGGCGACCACCACGACGCTTCTCACGGGGACCTATATCATAAGGAACGAATTAGCATTGGAGTGTTGTGTGGTGTCGTGTGTGTGTTGAATGTGTCGAATGAAGCAGCCCTTTCAATTTTGGTCCCTGAGCAAACAATGGTGGGTTTCCAAGTGCATTTCTCGACAATGGTGGATTGTTGCTGCAAGTATGACCGAAAAGAAAGGGCTTTGTATGCAATGTTGAGTGGGAGAAAGGATAATTACCAGCGCCATTGGCCTTGGTGTTGCGCTTCTCGGCCTTGGGCTCTTCAGCCTTCTTTTGCTCCTTGGGGGGAGCAACAGGCTTAGGGATGTCGCCATCCTCGTTCAGGAGGTCGAAAATGTTATTAGAGAAGGCGGACATGACTACAACGACCTTGGAATCGATTTAGTTTGCGATAGATGCGGCCTCGAAAGGTGAGGATGGATGGATGGATGTTTCGCAAAAGAGGGAGGAAAGTGGATGGGGAGATGAAGCTCTATAGTCTAATCTGCTATTTCATTTTGGGATCCCGCCCAACTCATACACATATCTCAGTAGCAGCTTCTACAACATGCAGTACATACATACATACATACATATCATCTCACGTCATAATATCTCTCGCTTTTCCCTTTTACTATACAATACTCCATTCTAAATTATTGTATCCTGGATGTGTTTCAAAAATAAAGTTAAAAGGTTAAAGTCAAGCGCACGTTGCTAGGAAACTGCGACCTATGATGCATGCCATGGTGACCACCGAAACCTTAGCAACAACCTTTGATCGAAATAAGAACCTCGGGTGATTTGAAGACATTTATCTCGAGAACACCCCTTCCATACATCCTCAAATCCTATTATCAGATGTATGATCCAAGGTGTGCTTGCTGGCTTTGATGACTAATAATACCACCAGTATGAAGATTTGGGGTGCCTTAACTCGACGTCCTCATGACGAGAACGAAACGATGTTAACAAAGTAGTAGAGGATCATAGGTATTGAGGATGATGGTTGAGAATTCTCACGCCGTATTTACTTTTAAGGTATGCAAATACACAGCGAACAAGCAGACGAAGATGCGATGGGTATTGCACATGCCAGCACTTTGTGCAGAAACGACTCACTACATGGATGCATAAAAACAATGAACAAATTTGTGGACCAGCGGATCACAGCAGCTCTCCTTGATGCGTACCAAAAGATGACGTCTTGGCAATGTCAAACAATGTAATCACGAGAGCAAGGCACAATAAGGGAAAAAGAGATGTGCAATAATGGTGATGATGGAATCAATGGAAGAATTTGCGGACATTATCAACCTTGGTGATATGAAAGAATGAAAGCGCTTTGCTTCTTTATCTTCGATACCGCTGCATTTGATTGTTTTCGGCTTCAACTATTATTAGGAGGGACGCAGGTTGCATGAACAAGAATGCTACATGTACTTTTCAAAATTTCATTGGATAAGGGGTATTACTTGTTGGCAACATGGTACGACATGATATATCAAGATGAGCAAAAGCAAGACATATCACATGTATTTTGGCGGGTCATGCTCCTTTCTCATCACTGACAATGTCACACAAAGCCCATTTGGCTACTACACGTGTAGTCTATATATTGCTACAAGAGGCACTTTTTTATTCTTGGAGATTGAGTTGTTGCAGACAATGAAATGGTGGTGGTAGTAGTATAGTGGATGATGTTTGTGTATGCGAGATTGTATTGGGTTGGGGAGAGTGTAGAGTATTTACATTTACAAAAAGGTCATGACGACGGCCACAGAGAACAAGGCAGTGACAAAAGGTGCTGCCACCAAAGTGGCCGATGCACCTGTTGAATCATCACTGGCAGTGTTTTGTGCATCGCATTGTAAGGCGGTAGTGTTCTGGAAGGTGACATTGTTAAGCTGAGCAGCGATTTGAAGGGTCTGGCCTCGATTGTAAAAGTCGACAATCAAGAAATTAGGCGCTCTGCCAAATGTCTGAGTACATTCTTGGGCCTGGGCAAGCAATGATCCCTCCGAATTGGTCTTGTTGGCCGAGCCTGATTGAGGAACCTGGATAGTGTTTGAACCCATAGGCAAGTTGCCATACAAGTAGTGGTTCATGCCATACATCATTTCGGATGGGTTGCTAGGATCAGAAGGTCGATCAATGGTACAGCTGAAATCGGATGCATTTGAATTCTCGTAGGGTGTTTGGAAATTGTAGCTAAATTCAGGATGAAGCCTACAAGAGAGTACAAAGAAAAAAGCTTAATTAATACATGCTGATGATCAAAGATACCCCACCCATCCCACACACTTACCATGGGACACTCGCTTGATCAGCACCCGATTCAACATAATTGACAAGTCGCTTTCCTGAAGAAATCATTTCACCAAGCGTGGGCCATGTATAGTTGTTGGCATCTTGAACATGTGCATAGTCGAGCAAACCACTGGATTGATAGGGCGATTGGAAATCGGATGCTTGAAAGTCATGGTTGGGAATATTCCAAAAGATGCTGAGCACTTCATCGGGATTGTCTTTGAGCCATGATGCAATCTTTGATAACGTATCAGTAGCTGGTCCTGCATCAAGAATGGAACAAGAGGTGTGACATAGGTTCATGGATGAAGATGAGTTTTCGGCCTTGACAGCAGATAACTTTAGGGCTCGTACGCCATCTGCCAACTGCGAGGTGATGGCACACATTTGGGTGGACGCGGGATTGGCAGCATAAGCATACGAGTTATGCGTCAAGACGTATGTCAATTCGTTGTACGGCTTGGAACAAAATTCACTGTAACCATTGCATTGCTGTTGTCCAGACACCAAAGATATCGAACCCAGCAGTAATGCGCTCAAGAAGCTTGTACGGATGAACATGGTGGTATATATGTATAATACAAAAAAAAGTGAAAAGAAGAAAGAGAGAGAAAGAAAGTTATGAAAGCTAAAATGGTGTTTTCTTGGCTGTCTATTTTTATGTTGCCTTAGCCGGAAGACGTACCAAAAGCACAAAATTGACTTTTCCTTGCGTGGCTCGCCTAAAAAAAGAAGGTGTTTGAACACAATGCTGGACACCAACACGTCGTCCAATGGCCCAATGTCGTTTGAATTTCCATATGTCTTTGTGGTATCCTATGCTTTTGATTATCTTTTTTGGTCGTTGATAGCACGTTGTTATGTAAGGGGTGCTTGGCAACAACACCGGTAGTCAATTAATCCAGCAACCATGCTACTGAGTAGTACTAAACGGCACTATTGTATTTTGACACGCTAATGCCTTGTCTCAGCCTAAAAATTCTGTGTAGATCCTCTCCCCATCATGCTTACGTTGTACCATAGCAATGACCAGTTTTTGTTCCTGAGCGATCCCCCGCACACAATAAAGATTTACCCGTTTTCACATCTTTTTCTTTTTGTGTAAGCAATTAGGAATCTTGTGCATCTGATACCAATTATCTCACTGGGACGGTAGTTGAGAACGCCTTTTAGCCGAACGCTTTTTTATCTTCTTGGTGAAACAGATGATGCTATTTGGTGGTCCCAATATGCACACTAACTATCAATAGCTGCACATGCTGAACCTCCAGAACCCCGGTGCGTAGTAGTAGCTCCTCCACCCCCCACCGTAAACATCACGCTCAAATGAGCCAAGAACAAGCTACTGTGTATGTAATCCCCGTTTTTAGAACCTATACATACGTCATGCTTGCATAGTCCCGTGAATAAAGAAAAAGGCGACGAAAACAGAGGCTATGTAAACAATCTTCTCCATTCGATTTATTCAGCCCAAAAGACCCCAAAAAACATGTGATCTTTTTCTCTAGAGTCACTCGGCTATCTAACGCTTATTGGTAATGCAGCAAATCTACGCCCTTCATGGTCACGACAATCCACCGAATCATTCAGTGTTGCTGATGGCAGTTGCGATTGGAGCTATTTGCGTAGTCCACTCTATCCACATGCGAGGCACCCTTTGATTGCTTGTGTGTGCTTCTCCTCGAAACCCAAATGCTCCGGCAGCTACTATTCCCAGCTAGAAACAACCGCAAAACACCTCCAATAAACCTTCCTTTGGCAAAGATATCAGCTTCGATCCATTATTAGCCACACAACATTGCATAGTGGGGATATGCAAACGCCACTCTTTCCTAAGCTACATTTGTACTGCGCTTGTTGCATGTGATGCATGTGATATTATTTGAAGCCAGCATATTTATGCATGTCCTGTTCCAGCATTGGGCGTAGCAAAACCAACCATTGATCGTTTTCATGTTGCCTTAAGAGAGGATAATAATAGTATTGGGGATCAGCGACATTAACCTAAGAGCTGTGGTTGCTATGCCATTTGACCATAATAATAATAATAACATTAGGGCAACGTGGTGCTGCTGATACCTTCAAAGGCAGTGAACAGATCCAAAACGTAACCATTGTACCAAACATAAAGATGCTATTTTAGTTATGGATAAAGCCATTCAATTGTACATTCGCTTCACCTACTATCACATTGAAAAGATACATAGTAATTGCATTCTGTCGTATTTATCCTTCAAAACGACGACAGCGATGAATGATGTACAGCTCCCTACTAGAAGGTTTTTATGTGTGCTAAGATGGCTTGGATGGAAATTGGTCCGCGTGAGGTGCATGACGCGTGGGTAGTCATCACATTACTCGTTGCTATGGCACCATCATCCTATTATTGTTGCTTGGCATCATTCGCTGGATGGTGATGACAGCTTTTGATACATCATGTGAAGACAATAAAAAAGAGATACAATTGTGAAACCAGATACATCTATGTTATTATTTCAACAAAACAGCTCCATGAGACTATCTTACAAAACTTAATTCAGTGTACAGAATAAGAAAACTTTTCATCTACAGGGTCTTATCAAAGATGGCACTGAGAGAGGCCCAGACAGCCTTGGGGGATTGGGAAGCGTCAACGCCGTACCAGATACCCTTCTTCTTGTAGTAGTCGACAACAGGGGCAGTGGACTTGTGGAAAGAGTCAAGACGCTTCTTGAGGGTCTCAGCATTGTCATCGGAGCGTTGAATGAGAGGTTCACCAGTGACATCATCCTTCATAGGAGTCTTGGGAGGGCTAATAAAGAACCATAAGTATACGATGACATGATGTAAGTAGCATACGACTTACTTGAACTCCTTGTGATAGGTTCTGCCGGAAGCGGGGTGAATCAAACGACCAGTGATACGCGAGACCAACAAGTTGTCGTCAATGACCAATTCAACGGCCGAGTTCAAAGGCTTCTTACGCTTCTCCAACATGTCATCCAACTTTTCGGCTTGAACAACAGTGCGAGGGAAACCATCCAAAATGAAACTATAAAGTGGAATTTGGCATTTAGATCATTCTCTTGTGCAACACTGCCCCTGGGCTGTCAATTCGTCGTCTTCTCTCTCTCTCTTTCACTCCTCACACTCATATACACGTGCAAGTAGATGACTTACCCATTCTTGCATTCAGCGTTGTTGTCAAGGTTCTCTTCAATCATACCAACGACAATTTCATCGGAAACAAGACCACCAGCATCCATGACCTTCTTGGCTTCCAAGCCGAGGGGAGTCTTGGCGGCAACAGCAGCACGAAGCATATCACCAGTAGCCAAGTGACAAGCACAGAACTTTTCCTTGATAGCAGGAGCTTGAGTACCCTTACCAGCACCAGGAGGACCCATGATCACCATACGGAGCTGTTCCTTAGGGACACCTTGGGCGACCTTCTTCTCAAGAGCATCGAAGCGCTCATGGAGGGACTGAATGTTCTTTTTGATTTCCTCAAGGATAGCAGATTGCTTGTCGGCCATTGTTAAAGTAAAAAGTCGGTTCAAAGAAAAGAAACGGGTATTTAGTGCAGACACAGGGGTGGTGGTTATACAGTGCAAGTCACGATCTTGATGCTGCTGTGCTTGCATCCTATCGCCGCATGCACAAGCTGACATAATTTTGTTTCCTCAAGCGTGTGATAACTAATGTATCTTGGCTACACATACACATACACAACACATACACACATCTATCATTGCTGTCAGGCATGTCATTATGAATAAATCACTTTACACACGTGAAGACTCTTCTTTTACCATCATCATCAATCACTCCTCCTTTTAACCCATTTTCAATCATGAGAAGAGGTCCGCTGCTGGAACAATAACAGATGATGGGATGAAATGTGTAACCTTTGCAACCCAACAATATGCAGCAGCAGTAGGTTTAGGATAGAGACACCCCAAGATAGGCATATACCTTATGATTGAAAATCCCACTTGATTGTATACTTTAATGATTCACTTGTAGTAGGGGGGTTAGCTTTACATACAACAAGAGATGCAAGTTACATAAGCGGATTCACATAGCAGCTGGGATTGGCTCTATTTACAGGTCATTGCTGTATCCATCGCAGCATGTAGTTTAATGATAAAATGACACAATAAGGACATGATGGTGATTGCTATGCATGTAAATGATGTTTTTATTGTACGTTTCCTTCTCCCAAACAAGCCTCATCATGAAGTGGTGTGTGGCTGCATGATTCTCTATCTCTCTCTTGCGCGTTTAATAGATGCCTGGAAGGATGATCCAACGACCCTTGGGGAAAGTAGCTTGATAACGTAATCCGAATTTGGTCTTGTACCATTCCTCTGTGCCGGATGCTGTGATGGATAGATTGATCACCGTCCAAATGAGCCCACATACCAAGATCCAATTGCGAAAGCCATGAAGTATGCAAAGTGACAAGTATACCAAGATGTCTGCAAAGTAATGTGGTACCACAATCCATTCAAACCAATCTCCTCGTGGGATCTGATAGTGATTTTCCTCTTTTTTGGTTCGTAACGAAGCAAGAATGCAATGACATTGATGTTGGTGCATGGATGCATAGAAAAATAATAACGTTGCCATGACGACACGCGTACAAAGTAGATCACTCAAGCCTGAGACAAAGAGGGGGATGTGAGTGAGTCAAAGCATACGCTCACGCACACACACAACAAGCGTTACCTAATGCTGATGGTGATGGTATCCCAGACCATACGCCAAAGTTGGCTGCACCTTCCAACCATGTCGCCAGCACCATGGCACCATAGAATCCAACACCTGCCAAGTAATGCGACACATGCATACGTGCTTCCAGTGACGAGCGCTCAATATAGAATGATTCATATACGCGTCGCGCCAAGTGAAGCGTCAACAAGGCCAAGGCAACGAGGCTCTCCAATACAGAAATATGGCTGCTTGCTTGAGGAATATCCCACACCCGTAGACAATACAATACTGGACCATGCCCATGCCATTGGAGTAAGAGTACAATCTCGGCAAAACAATACAAGGCGGATATCAGGCCGACGACGTAAAAGTGAGAAAACCACGATTTAGGCACTGTCCACTGAGCAAGTTGTGAAGCAATGGTACTGGTAGGATGGACAGCTATTGATTGCAGTTTCCCATAGGAAAGAACAGATGAGCGTAGGAGAGGAATGCATCTCGCGAGAATGGCGAAGAAGGTGAGTGTACAGAGGCAAAAGCAAACAAAGGAAATCAAGTACATATTCTAGAAAGGAGAATGCTTTTCCTATCCCTTGGCCTTTAATGTCCTCTTTGCTACCTGAAAATCCTCACACAATCCTTATCATGATACAGCGTTTGGTATTGCATGGAATGTGGATATCATGGTTGGGTGGGTGGGATATGAGTCTTGTGTCGCACATGACCATCGTTGTATCGTTTTCCCCTCCTTTATGAAATCTGCTCCCCTTACAAAACAACTCGTATGAAAATAAAAACGACTGTATACGATGATGATGACGATGATAGAACTTGATTACTCATACAACAGATAAGGTGTGAATGGAAAGGGGTTGTCTTTGTCATTGAAAGTAACAAGTCCAAATTTTCTCCATCACGCAATGATTGAGTCGGGAAACAAAAATAGGCTACGGGGAGTGCAAGAAAAAGCTTCTCGTAACGTTTGACCCCCAAAATCAATACCGTGCAAAGGTGTAGGTGCATGAATGCGATAGCTCACTTGCCCTTTTCTTCATTCATTCTTCATATTTGCATTGTAGTTTGTGTATTGGATGTAGGAACAAATAAACCAAAGAGTGAAGCGATACCAAAACCTTGCGTACCTGAGACCCCCCAGGTACCCCGCCCGAAAAATAGGCTATTGTCAAAATATGTAGTCAGAGCACAGACCACAAACCGATCATTTCTTTCAATGCAGGTGGCATGGCGGGCTGTGCAACATGATCTTGTTGGTTTCAATCCAACTACTCATAACAAACAACCCTTGTTTTCATTCCACAACGCTATTCATCCTTACCATGAAATGACCACATCAAGATAACAAGGTATCAAGAGGGAAATGGAAGAGAAAAGAGGCAAAGAGTAAAAAGTGGATGGGGGATGTCAAAAGGTTCAATCTGCACGTTTGTGACACTCGCAGGGTCACATGGTTAATTTTGTGTGGGGGGCAAAAGTACTAAAAAACTCAGAGTGGGCCATGTACGTGAGCAGCTCTTTTCCTCTCTTCTCCTCCTAACAAAAACAGCAGTACATAACTCACAACCACCAAACGCACTCTTTTTCTCATAACAACGATCACACTCATTATCCAATTCGCTCTATGGAACAGGGTAATGTCAACAGCTTCCATTCACCCCCTTCAATGTGTGCTCTTCATTAACCCTGGTCTCTTGCTTTCTTTCTTTCTTTCTTTCTTTCTTTCTCTCTCTCCGTTCTCCGATTCTACTCCTTTCGCGTCATCAATCTACTCATTAGAGGTAGGTCCATGCTGCTGCCATTGCGTATACAACTGTTTATTCACTATCATGGTATCATAGCTATACTACTTGATCTTTCAGTTCCTTTCCTCGGGCCCTTGCCAGGAAGCTGCTCGTGCACTTAAACAAGAGCTACAACTTCAGTCTCTTCTCCCTGGTGAATCGGCATATAGTGGTGCACAAACATCAAAGTCATTCGAACGCTTAGTATGTATTACACACATATACATTACATCATTAGCATCGACGATTGATTTGGTATGCGTATCTATTTGTAGCAAGAGGAATACCCGCGCGTTGGTGGTGGCTATTTGCTTGACATCATTCGTGGTCTTGTCGATCATTTCAAACAAACCGGTGACCCAGAGACGAATGCACGGATCAGAAAGCTGCGCCATGGCGATGAGTGCTTGTTGACCCTCGCTCAAGCATTTGAACCCGACGTGGAAGACAATCGATCTACAACATTGGTGGATTATCGTTCTTTATCCATGGATGATCGTCGTGATCTTGTGGCATGTAAGCATCAATTGTGTAAAACGGATTTTTAAACTTTACTTTTTGACACATTTCATCATAGATGAAACCTTAAAGGCCCGTGAAACCAATTCCTTGGAATGGCATTCGGATATTATGCAAACATTCTTGGCAACAGCTTATCAAGAGGTACACACACATGCACCTATATACATACACACACTTGAGATTGCTCATCATGTCCTTTTCTTTCTAGCGTGTTACTCTTTCGGGTCATCGACAACATGCCTTTTGCCTTGCATTCGATCAAACAGACAAACGCATTATTACGGTATGTACATACATACTATCAGCCAAAGACACGAGTCCCAGTTATTGATGGGTCTTTTATAGGGGAGTGATGATACACTTGTCAAGGTGTGGGATGCAAGAAGTGGACATCTCATCCATACGATCAGAGGACATAAGAATGTTATCACCGACATTGCCATCAATGAAGAGAATACACTGATCGCTACTGCTTCGTCCGATGGATACGTGCGAGTATGGGCAATGTCAGACTTTGCTCCTATTGCTACTCTCAAATCTGGTGCAACGGTATGCAACAAAATTCAATGTTTCCATCAAAGCGTACTTATCCTTTTTCTTCATGCAGCGCAAACCCTTCACCACAGTGAAATTTTCACCTTCTCCCTCACCCGACACACGTTATTTGATGGCAACTAGTGAGGATGGCTCAGTACGGTTATGGAAATGGGACAAGGACACGCTGCAATTCTTGGATGTCGAATCACCTATTGCTTTTTACTGCAAATACAAGGGCACGGATCGAGCACGTTGTTCTTCTTTCAATTATACCGGCACACGATTTGCTGTCGGCGGTGATGATGGATTTGTGTATATCTTTACAACCGTAAAATCGGATGCTGGTAAGGAACAAAAAAATTCACACATTGTGTCCCTTGGCTATGGCTTATATTCATCATCCACCTATCTATACAGCTGGTCAGTCTCAATTACCTGCTGCCGCCGCTGCCACCACTAGCAGCCAATCCAGTATCCCCACAAGCCAAGATCCAAATGATCCACAACGTGGTGGACGTGGTCGTAGACGCATTGCCAGTGCTTTATTCCCAGTCAAGAATGCTATCGTGGAGGAACAAGCTGTGGTGCCTATAGCACATTTGGAAGGTCATCGTGGCAGTGTGACTGATTTGGCATACAATCATCAAGGCGATCGGATATTGAGCGGGTAAGGATTATCACAAAGAGGGACTTTTGGAGGAGGAGATGTTTTAACATCACCATACACACACACACTATAGGTCTCAAGATGGCACAGCACGGATATGGAAGTACAATGCAGTAGAAGAAAAATGGGAATCCTTTGTCCGTAAGTTGAATCTCATTTTTAGCAGCAAAATGAAATACTCAATTTATTTCATTTCATTGTAGTTGATATCAAAAAAGAGCACCATAATCCAATCATTGTCACTGACCGGATACCTCCTTTATCACACAATGGCAACACGGCAGAGGAAACAAAGAATGATGAAGAAGGCCAAACCTTGCCTCCACTCGACAACAATGAACGACCCCCTCCAAAAGAATCAACTCTATCAGATGTTCCAGACAACACCAACAACAATGAAAACCAAGCAGCACCTATCATGGACGGCCTCGAGTTTCAAGAACCTCCCAAAGTATCCATGATTACTTGGACGGCGGATGACATGCAATGTATCGTGGCAACCACACATGGCGACATTCGAGTGTATCAAGCCTATACCGGCAAACTTTATTGTATACTTCGAGGACACACGAATGAGGTGTATGCTGTTGATAGCCATCCAACAATTCCAGGACTCGTCATATCAGCCGGCTATGATGGTCGCATTATACTTTGGGATTTGGATAAGCGGTTAATGATCAAATGTAAGTTCAGACCATCCCATCCCGAGTATGTTGTGTCACTAACAAAGATTTCTTTGTAGGCGAATATTTTCAACGCATCTTTCTCGATTGCAAGTTTTCACATGATGGTCATCAGTATGCCGTGACAGATGAAGATGGCAGCTGCACTCTTTTCAGCGTCGACTCGAATTGTTCGGATTATGATCAAGTCAATACTTGGACACGGGGTCAATTCTTTTACAGCGATTACCTTCCACTTGTCATCCAAGATGGCATTGTCCTTGACGAACAATCAATGGTAGGTTGACACATCATGCTCTATATACAAGGATACATGCTTACACACACTTACACGCAAAATAGACACCTCCACATGCCTTTCCTTATACCCAGATTGTCAGCATGACTGGCGTTGCTTATTCTCGACAAAAGTTAGAAGGCTATGGTAATGATCATTACAACAAGAGGAGGGGGTCATTGGGAATCATTGTGCTCATGATGATTTTTATAGGCCGTGACATTGAGATCACCAATGCAGAAATGGAAACCAAATATGAACGATTATTGAGCTCTTACAGAATTGAAGAACGAGAGTAAGTTGATTGATGGAAAAAGATCGTTTCAATGAGAGGCTAATCCTTTCTTCATTTTAGGATCAAAAAGAGCAAGCCAATTGTGCCAGCTATTCTTGACAGAACCCATGTTGCCAGAATACGCAAAGAATTCGTGAGAACCATTGAGGAAGAAGAGCCTGAGCCGATTATACCTGAAGTTGCTCCACCACCTCCAGTATTACCCATGTTACTTCCTGATGACCCTGATGATGAGGATTATGATGAGAATTTGCATGCAGGCGGGGACACATCAGAAGAAAGTGATGGTGCCATGTCAGAAAACAATTATGCAGCTGAGGATGAAAACGAGAATGAAGGTGAAGAAGAGGAGAGTTCAGTGAGACGCACTCGTTATGGACGACGTACAAGACGCCCATCATCATCAACAACAACATTTGTCAGTGGACCTGTACGATCGACATCACCTATCAACACGCGAAGAGCACGTCATTATGGCCGTACGACAAGAAGTCGCACTGCAACTTCTGGTGGTGGTGCAAGCAATGAAATGCGTATCACACGCAGCAGCAGACGGCGTATTCATGAAGATTCATCTTTACAAAGTGATGAAGCACCCTCTGATAATGATGAACAACCTATACAACCACGACGCCATCGAGATTTACCTCGTCATGATTATCGTGAAAGTGCTGATGAAGAGTCTGAGGAGGAATCCGAAGAAGAAGAAGAAGAGCAGCAGCGGGAGGAGGAGGATGAAGAAGAAGATCGAGCCGTCAATGTGGAAGGATCCGAAAGTGATGATGAGGATATCAGAGCACCTAGAACATCCAAAAGAAAGCGACAAATCATATCAACCGATGAGAGTGGAAGCGATGACAACTTTGCTGAATCATCCAGTCGAGCTGCTAAACGTCAACCTGTTGGAAAGCACAAACCTGAAAGAGCACATGCTACCACACGTCAAGCAGCAACAGGAGGTCGTCAAAAGCCACGCGCCTTAAGGGTGGATGAAATCCCTGCGTATGAACCACGAGAATGGCTATTGACAACAGGACGTAACGTGCTCAAGTATCATCCTCAAGTGGGCGACAATGTGGCAGTGATTGTTCAAGGCCATCGTGATTATTGGCACTCGTCAAAGCTCAAGGACATGTTTGATGAAAACCATGGTCCTATCCAATCCCATGACCCTGTCGTCTTTGGCACTGTCAAGAAAATCATTTGGCGAGTGGGCCCACCTACCTATTGTCAGCTAAAGCTCGAACTCAAGGAACTTGTGAATGCGCGGGATGTCCTTATTCATGGCCAAGAGCCGACATGGATCGATAAGCGAGGCGAGGTGATTATTGATTATAGCGATGAGGATGGTACACCCGAGTTCCTGGTACTTTGGGAGCAGTTTTTGGCGTCCATGCAAGTCTTTAATACGCTCAAGGTGGGAGAAAGAGTGGATGCTTTGTACGATGTGGGCAAGTACACCGGCACCGTTTCTCAAGTCAAGCGAGATATCAGTGACACTTTACGTAATGCACCCAGTATTCCTAATCCCTGGCAACGGTATCACATTATATGGTAAGTAGTACGTTGTTGTTGTTTTACAAGAAAAGATGTTTATTTCTTCAAAAGGGATGATGAGGAATCAACGCCCGAAGATCTTAGCCCGTGGGAAATTGTGCCAGCCGGACAAGATTTCAACGCAATGTACAATGTGGGTCCAGAGCTTTCACCTCAAGATAAACGACGAGCACGCGAGATTCTCGATTGGCTGATGAATAATGAAGAATTCCAACTCTATGTGGAACCCGTTGACTATTATTCCTATCGACAATACCTATCTCTTATTGCATATCCGATATGCTTGCAAACCGTATCCGAGCGTCTGGAAGGCAATTTCTATAGGAGTAAACAGGTAATTGAATTGAATCGGATCATTAGGTTCTTGTGTGTCTCATATACATGTGGTGTTGTAGGCTCTCATAGATGATGTTGATCTTATTCGAAAGAATGCAACCACGTTCAATGACAGCCAATCGATTGCATACAAGAACGCAAACCGACTTGCCACCTTTTTCAAGAACCGGTTCAAAAGTGAGTATTCTATACTATAAACTTACAAGGTTCATGCTTACTAACGAGAAAATGTGATAGATCCAAGGATGGCTATATCAATGGGCCGCTCCACAAGAAGTACAAAACAAGGAACGGATGATGAAGACTACAAAGATGAGGGAGAAGTGCCTGAGGATGATGACGTTTTACCACGAGACGAGGTGGAAGAGGAAAGTCCAAACGACTTGAACAACGACAGCAACTTTGTAGTTGACGACGACGATGATGACAGCAGCTATAAGAGCGACTAATCGGTCATCATTTTTCACCACTCATATACACATGCACGTACAACAACTCTTTATATTGCACCATCACACACACACAACACAACGCACACACGCACACATATTTCCACATTTAGTTTCCTCCTTGTCTCTTAAAGCATCATTGTACATATATACAGCATATTGAAATTGAGCAATCAAACACAACTTGTTGGGTATAACGGGTGATGGAGTGGGGGTGGTAACCAGGGCAATAATGCATGGTGGAAGAAAAAAGAGCACCCAGCAGCAACTTTAAAAATATGTCGGTTCATTGGCATTTGAAACTCAGGCAACACACCCACCTCGAGGAGGGCAAGCAAAGCAGCGTGGGAAAGACTTGCATAACACCAAAAGCGTATAAAGCTTGCAGTAGCTCCCACATCTTTGGCTTTTGCTTCTTGTCTTTTTTTTCTCTCTCTTTTTCAAAAACAATGTCCTTCCTCCGTGCTGCTCGCCTCGCTTCTGTTGCACAAGCTGCTGCTCGTCGTCATTTGCCTTCGACTCGGTAAAGATACACATACACATGCATGTCAACCTTATATATGGATCATCCCCACTGACCTTGCTTGTCTTGTCTATTTAGCTCCTATTCCTCTGCCTTGAGCGCTTTCTCGGTTCCTTCCCCCGTCGAGAACCCCACCTCCCTTCGCTCTTTCACTGAGGAAGAGTTGATGTTGCAAGAGACTGGTAGGTTGTCTTTGTGTGTAAAGGGAGGGGGACGCAAACCTTCTTCTTTCTTTGGCTGACCTTTTTTTACACGCGTTATAGTCGCTCGTTTTGCACGTGAAGTTGTCCAACCCAAGGTCCGTGAAATGGATGAAAATGAGTTGATGGACAAGAGCATCATCAACGCCATGTTCGAGAATGGCGTAAGTATACATATACACATTTTGATTGCTATTTACTCAATGATGTGTATATCTATAGTTGATGGGTCTCGAGACTGAAGCCGACTTTGGAGGTGCCGAGTGCTCTTTCACTGCTGCCATTTTGGCTGTTGAAGGTAATCATCACCATTTCCCCCGACAACTACAAGTGACATTTGGCTGACACCTAATCTCAAATAGAGCTTGCCAAGATTGACCCCTCGATCTCTGCCTTGTGCGACATTCACGTAAGCACGAAAAAACCCAAAACGAAATGCATAGGTATACTAATAGTCATTATGTCCCTTATAGAACACCCTTACCAACACTGTTATCCGCAAGTGGGGTAGCAAGGAACTCAAGGAAAAGTATCTCACCCGTTTGGCCACCGATACCGTTGGTAGTTTCTGTATCTCGGAAGCTGGCGCCGGTAGTGATGCTTTTGCTTTGCAAACCCGTGCTGAGGACAAGGGCGATCACTATGTCTTGAATGGTGGCAAGATGTGGATCAGTAACTCTGGTGAAGCTGATATCTTTGTTGTCTTTGCCAACGCGTAAGTATTTGGAGGAAGAGGAAAACACATGATGGAAACCAACCAACCTCTATGGGTTATTATTAGTGATCCTTCCAAGGGTTACAAGGGTATCTCTGCTTTCATTGTTGAAAAGGAATGGGGTGTTGAGATCGCCAAGAAGGAAAAGAAGGTAAGCGTTTTTTTTTTCACATGATGACATATGCTATTTGAAAGCTAATCCACATTGATGATGACAGCTCGGTATCCGTTCCTCCTCCACCTGTGTCCTCAACTTTGATGATGTCAAGGTTCCCAAGGAGAACGTCCTTGGTAAGATTGGTGATGGTTACAAGTACGCCATTGACTCGTTGAACGAGGGTCGTATTGGTATTGCTGCCCAAATGATTGGTGCTGCTCAAGGTGCCTATGACATTGCTCTTCCTTACCTCTTTGAGCGTAAGCAATTTGGCAAGCCCATTGGTTCTTACCAAGCTATGCAACATCAATTTGCCCAAGTCGCCTGTGAGATTGAAGCTGCCAAGCTCATGACCTACAATGCTGCTCGTTTGAAGGAGGAGGGTAAGCCTTTCGTCATGGAAGCTGCCATGGCCAAGTTTGTCGCTGCCAAGGTTGCCGAACGTGCTACTAGCTATGCTGTCGAATGGATGGGTGGCAACGGCTTTGTTCGTGAAACTGGTGTTGAAAAGTTCTACCGTGATGCAAAGATCGGATCTATTTACGAAGGCACCAACAACATGCAACTCGAGACCATCTCCAAGATCATCTCCAACAAGTACAAGTAAAAAAAAAAGTAGTTTTCGCTTTCCACCATGTTTCTCTTTTAGTAAATAGTCTTTTTCCCCCTCCTATATCCCTTATTCCAAGGAACACAATACATATACATAGAAAAAAAAATGAAGGCTTGAATGCATACCTATGTAACACCAAATATCATTTTCCCCCCTGAACAAGAGTGATCATGTGGCTATCGTCAATGACGGATGTCATCACGTACATCATATCATGCCCGAAATAGAAAGTAGCTTTAATCTTTATCTAATCACTTGTAGTTCTATGCTACTACTATGTTCGACGAGCCATCCATTGTCGAGTTTGCATTTCAATCAAACGTGAGAGCGCCCTCTGTAATGCAAAAGTTTCTTCTTCACCCGTGAACAACGATGATTGCTGGCCCATCAAGAGCATTTCTTGCGACTCTGGATCTGGTTTGAAACATAAATCTTCCACGGCACACTCGGCACTGGCATAGAGACGAATTCGTGACTCATAAAGAGCATCAATCAAGGTGATGAATCTGCGTACTTCGACACGTTCCATGACAGCTGGGATATCGGTCAAGACGAGCGTGTGTAAATTGCGGACAAGAGCAAGATAATCAGCTGCGCTTAATGCTTCGCTACACAAGTCCGAAAACCTTGCTGCACCTACGCCATCCACATGAGCGGGTATACGAGCCGTACGATTCAGCAAGTCCACAACCAAAGGCGTCATGGGTTGATTGTTCGTCAATTGGCGTAATTGATCATTCATACGTTCACGGGTCGTTTCATTGAGTGGATAAAGAAATGCGTCATTGTCATTGTATTGCTCTCCTTCAAACATCCTAAAAGCACGTCGATAATCCACGCCACCATCAAGACAAAGCACCGTGAAATCATTCATGATACGTCGAATACAAGGATAAAACAATAAACGATGATGGCCATTCTCGTATAATGATGTTGGATGACGATTCGACGTTGTCACAAGCACCACACCTCGATCAATCAATGCATCCACCAATTGCCGTAAGAGCATCGCATCGGCAATATCCGTCACTTGAAATTCATCCAGGCACAATATACATGTGTTGCTAGCCAAATCATCCGCAATTTGACTCAAAGGGTGTTGCTTTTTGCCATTGTTGTTTTTGTTTTTGCTGCTGCTGCTGTTTAATGCGTGAATTCGAGCATGCACATCGAGCATCAATTCGTGATAATGAACTCGTTTCTTGTAAGGTGTCGGTAGTGTGCTGTAAAAGAGATCCATCACCATCGTTTTACCGGTGCCAACGCTGCCATAAATGTATATTGAACGAGGTACATCCTCTTTCGCCAATTGGGATCGAACCTAATCATGTGATTTAGAGTGTGGATCTCTTCAAGGATAAGTGATGATACTTACATCTTGATCATGCTTTGTATCCTTTGCGTTGTGGTGTGGTTCGCAGTCTTTGAGTAGGTGCCATAACTTATTCAGATGCTTCACGACAGCTCGTTGATATGGATCATCATAAAGAGTTGTTGTATTGTCATAGGTTTCTAGGGGAGCAGCTGCCAATAATGGTATGTGAGCGATTTGTTTACTACTTGTCCCAGGCAACTTGACCCCCCACCTGATCTTGTGCGATTCCCCACTGGTTCAATGACCGTTTGCAAATGTCGACGCTGAAATGCAATGCATGGACGAACATGGCGATAGCATTGAGGAACAAGTGGCCGAGTAGTCGATTGTCGAAAAAGAAAGGTGGCCAAAGTATTGTAACGCATAAAAGAGAAAAGAGTCAAAAGAATTCAAGTCGGAGGAGATGTCAATTGACTTTATTGACGGAATACATTGTCACTCTCTTTTCTACCGAGTAGCTCCACCCATATTCGTTCGTACTTGATCAACCTTGGAATATTGACTAGTAAATGTTAGAAGAAATGTCAATGCATGTAACCATAGAAACTTACTTGTCGTCCTTATAAACTCGATGGAAGTATTCTGCTACATTGGATCGACGTAATTGCTCCACAAACTCGGTATCGTGCGTGATAATGATCAGTTGAAAGTTGCCTGATGTGTTACGCCGCAATGCCACCAATCTATAACAAGGGGGGATATGAATGCCTGGATTGCCTCCTCTCTAACGCTATTCACAATTTACCTCGATAAGCTCGATGCAAGACTTTCGATATTGGAACGATCAAGGTTGGTGGTTGGTTCATCCAAGGTCAAAACACCACAATTGACGCAAAATGCTTCCGCCAATGCAAGCCGAATAATGATGGATGTCAGCACCTTTTGACCCGCACTACATCGACCACGCATGTTGAGCTCCTTTCCATTCTTGATCATAACCACCTACAGGGATTTGTATAAGCATGGATTCGAATACATAGCCCATCATCATCATCAAATATCCAAGTTACCCGGTAGTTATAGGATCGATTGGCAGCCACGCCTTCGTTATCAGCTCGGATTTGAATATAATCAATGTCTAATAAAAACGAATACACGTTATTTACGATAACTTTCTCTTTGTACTCTTCAAAACACTTACCACCTCCTCGATAAATTTCAATCCATAATTCACGAATGATCTTGTTCAGGTCCGACATCTTGAGCGTATGGTAACGCATAATGGCCCTATCATTCTTCGATTAGACGATCATCATTTTCCATTCAGCTGTCCATCAACATACTGCTCAAGCGCTTTGCAATATACTTCGAGATCATGTAACGCAAGTTCACTCATCTAAGGTGGCTACTTAGTAGCGCTTCTTCATATTCCTCGCTCATCACTTGGTACATACCTTGAGCTGAATAAATTGATCCTCGTATCGCTTCTCAATCTCATGATAATCGGTATTCAGGTCACTTTGATAACGATCAATTTGAACTTGCATCTGCCGTATTTCACCATGAATTCCTCCACGCTAACAATGCCATGTATTAGTTTGGAGAAAAGTAATGACATCATACATATTACCTTATCAATGAGCACTTCTTGTTTTGCTTTCAGCGTTCCCAATTGTCTTTCATAGGATGCTCGATCCACTTGTGATTGTTGTCGCCGAAGTTCTTCGAGTTGCTCTTCACATTCCTCAAGCTGCTTTTGGTAGGTGCGGTGTCTGAGATGATCCTTCAATTCTCGCTCAATACTCCTGCGATCCATAATTCTAGCTTCCAAATCCTTCATTCGCTTTTCCACATCGACTTGCTTGGTCTGGAAGTTCTCGAGCTTTTTCTCAAGGCGAGCCTTTTCTTCAGACATTTGATCCAAATCCTCTGCTCCTGTATTCTGATACCTATCCACCACCAATACCATGTTAGCTAATTCAAGCCAATAAAAGTGGATGCCCACTTACTCGGCTATTTGTCGATTCAATGATTCCAATCGTTCCAATCGATTGCGAGCTTGGCTGACTAATGCTTGGGCGTCTTCCTGCTTGCTTGTCCATGCGTTTTGTGTTTGCAGTAACAAGGATGATGTCTGGTCGATCTTTTTCTCAAGCGGTTCAACATTGGCATCCGAATCCTATAGCACAAAACATCAGCCTTCAAGAATGCATAAATGATCAACGGATACTTACATGGAGAGTACGTAGATATTCTTTTTGTTCTTTTTGGGCGGCTTCAAGCTGCTTTTCCACACGATCTCGGGATTGGAGCTTGAATTGGATATCCTTCACCTTATCACGAGCATCACGCACGGTGTTTTCAGCATTCTGGCATTCGCGTATGGCTGCTTCACGATCATCTTGAAGACGCTTGATTTCACGACGTACGCTTTTACTATGAATGAAAACAATCCAATGTGAGTGACAAAAGATGCTGGTACCCACTGTACACTGTACAATACCCTTGATCCGACAGATCCTCCACTTCTCTTTGGCAATCGGTAACGGTGCGTGTTGACCCAGAACTTTGAAGTTCCTTCTCAAGCTTTGAAATCTCACTGTCAAGCGTTGCAGCTTCTCGTCGTCGCCGTGAAACATCTTCCGCCTGCTTCAAAAGCCATTCGATGCGCTGCTTATCATTCTCCAATTCAATATTCTCGATGCTGATCTATAATGATAACATGAGCCCAATGATCAACATTGAATGTTCTCTCACATGCTTACATACCTTGTCAATCTCTGTCAATTTCTCTTCTTTTTGACGGGTATATTCATGGACTGTTTCATCCAAATCCTTGATTTCTCGTTGTAACGTCTGCAATTGAGTCCAAGTAGGCTCCAACTTTTTCAGCTTTTGCCGCCTCGCTTCCTTCTCCTTGACAATCTTATCCAACTCTTTTTGCTTCACGGGGATACCTTCAGTTGTTTTCTCGAGCTAGAGAAAGACAAAAGTAAGCATTTCAATTATACTTGCTGAGCCTAGATACTTACCGATTGAATAAATTGTTGAAATAGCTGCTCATCTTCGTCAGCATACATCCGCTTGCACAAGGCGCAGTTGTGCTTTTCCAAACTTCTTTTCTTGAATCTTCGATACATACTGGCAGCACCATCCAAAGAGCTCAATTGCCTAGAGAAAGACAAGGTCAATCGATCCTCCCTTCCTAAGACGATATAATAAGGATACTTACTCTCTCTTATCCTTCAATTCATCTTCAACCTTTCCAATCTCTTCTTGCAAATCCTTATCTCCACATTCCTTACGGATGGTCTTTTGGTATTCTGATATTGATGATGATGTCAATACGACCACACACATAAGACCCAAGCTACCATATACCATTCCCTTACCAGAAGCCTGCCCCTCCTTTTTGGATCGATTCTCCTTTGCAATGGATATCTTTGCTTCAATGCCTGACAGCTCACGATTTGCTTGATGAACAGCATTCTGCGACGTTTGAAGCTGCGTTGACTTTTTCCTAAAGAGCACCCATTAGCCTTTCTTTTGCCATGTTCCACACAATATCCCACCGTACTTACTGTAATAAAGATTTGGCATCCTTCTCCATCGTCTCCATGGTGGTCTCCTTTCCAAGATGCGAGTTCAATTCATCGGCGTGTTCATTATATCTAACAAACGAATATGAGCATCTTGCCCCAGATTCCATCACAACACCCTACTTACGTCGAACGAGCTGCTGATAATAATCGATCTCTATCGCTTTGTTTCAATCCAAGACGTGTCCTCGTATCGCCCTCTCGACTCAGCCGTGACATTTCATCATTGAGTGAAGCAATTTGCTCGTCGATATCCCGTAACTTTTTCTCCTTTTGGGCCATGACTTGTGACACATTTTTGGATGAGAACGTTTCTTGAACATGTGCCAATGCGCTTTCCTAAAAGGAGAGATCTCACTATCAATTTCATGATACGCAGTATTAGATCCTCCTCCCTTATCATACCTCCCGCGCTAGTCGATCATTGGCCAAGTCAAGATCTGTTTGAGCTACGTGGATGGTTGCAAGTTGGTCGCCTAGTTCACGGCACAATTCCCTTGATTGTTGCTAAATAAAACAAGCGAGATGAGATTTACTGCTGATCAAGCGTATATATAGGTCGACCTACGATTTGGCGTTTTGCTAGCTTTTTTGCTTCCTCCAACGCTGCTCGCTTTGACTTTAATGCCTGCAACTCTGTAGAGATCTCTGTTTGCTTCTTGCGTGCTTCATCCTACAATGTACGTGAGACCTCGTGCGATGATACATAACAAATGTAGGACCTACCTTGACATCTGCCAGATTCGCTTCACGTGATCGTAAAAGATCCCGAATGGTGTGCACAAAGGACTCATCCGAATGACTCATATCGAGATCCAACTCTTCACTCGCCGCTTGCAACATGGACTCCCTCTCTTTGATAAGCTTCTCGTTCGCTTCAGCTGCTGCTTGAAGTCGTCCCATGCTGGTCAATTTGCTGGAGATGGCATCACGTGTGCCTTGTACTTGTCGTTGCAACCGCATCTTTTCATGCTCGATATCCTGCCGTACTTCCTCATCCTGCTCCACTTCACGATTGAGAGCCGTCAACATGTCTTTGAGCTCACCATCCGTCTCGCTTCGTGCTGTCAAGCCGTTGCTGATCTCATCCATGCTCTCAACCAGGCCCGATCTCCGATGCTCAAGTTGCACAATTTGATTCTGAACTTGTTCAGCCTCTCGGTATTTTTCCAAAAGCGAATTGATCTCTGCTGCAGTCTCATCCAATTGCTCGTCCAAGTCTTTGACTTCCTCTCCCTTCACACTGGTACGGTTACGCATCTCATCCAGTGCTCTCTTGATCTTGTGCGCCTTTTCAATATCAGCCTTAAGTCCTGTCACAGCCACCTTATCCACACGAATGTCTTGTGCCTTTGCCTTCCGGTCATCCTTAATCTTGGTCAATGCCTTGGTATACCTATTTCAATAGTCAGTCAAATGCTTCTCTATCCCCTTTTCAATAATACTTGCTTTGTCGATGAAAAGATGTCATCAAACTTTTTCTTGAGATTGGCAGGTTCACTCAATGGCCTAGTAGATGATACGAGGCGTTAGATAGAATGCCATTTTCTTCCTGCAAAGATCATTGCTTACCAATTACTATCCTCTTGATGACAAAAGATAACATTTTCCAAGATGGCCTTTGGTACACCCAAATGAAAAGGCATCTCTGCATCCATATCACTGCACCGCGTACTGATGCTGGTCATCTATATTACATGATATCCATAAGCCAACTTGGCAAGCGTTCGCGCAAGGCTGCAGCATCCTTACTTCACCCGTTCTTGGATCAAATTGTCGCAATGATGTATCCAGTGTCTTTTGGCTGACGGTCGTCTTGCGTTGTGTCAATGACATACTTCGAGTGCATATCAACTTGTTGCCGTTCACGTTGTAGAATTGCAATCGAATTTGTGCTCGCACCTCAGAGGCTCCTGCAACCTAAAAAGCCTTTCTAGTTAGTTGTACTCCCAACACGATCGCGTACCCCGTGTAGCTTTACATGCCTTGACATCGTGAATAAAAGCGCCATTCCTGCTATTGGGTGGGAGATCACCAGTACATGCAAACTTGAGACTCTCGATAATAGTCTGGCAATAGCTTGTATTAGCTTATGGTTGGGAGAGTGTGAAAAGAGAGAGAGATCACTTGCTGTTTTGCCAGTGCCGTTGGCGCCATAAATAACGGTACATGGTGAGTTGAATTGGACATAGCAAGGCTCGTCCGGACTGAATGATCGTATGCCGAGAATGCCTAGCTTGTCGATCCAGGACATGCTTCAATGCGGGGTGGGTAGTGTGAAAGCTGCGGACAAGATGTGATGCCGCTGCATTATGATTTATTGATTGTGTGTGCGAGGTGCGCGTAGTAGATCACGTGTACTTTTTCCAGTCGCGTTCGCACACAATGAAATTCCCATTATGCAACCCACCATCATCCTGAGATGTTTAAAGGCTACCCTTTTTTTTACCACGGGGGTGGAAGGAGATGAGCTTTTCTTTCTTGTATCATATAAAAGTGTTGTCAGCAGACATGTACACAGCTGAGGAATGTGTTGACAACATCTACTTTTATTACTACTACGCAAATGTTTTTCTCTGAAACATCAACTTGGTACGTAGTATTTCAAATCTGAGCTTTCTTCAATGAATGGAAAATGAAGACCAAGTATGGTAAGCTTGCTACAATGATTTTTGGCCCCTTATCAAAGAGGAGAAAAGCTTCGTTATCGTTCTCCTCCTCCCATCACAAACAACCATATAGCTCATGAAAACGAAGCTGATGCACTAAATACTTCATGAATGATAGTACAAATATATCAATGTTGTTTAGAACAATGATAACGTATATTGTAAAAGGAGTTGGTGATGATGGTGACAGTTGTTTCTTCTTTATCTAGTGTACAAGGGCGTTATCGATGCATCACAGGATAGCCGTTTATTGTGATGTGGATAACAAGAGAAAGAGTTTACAAGTTGAAAAGCGTTGGATTTGGTTGTTCGTCGCTCTAGGGATGCGTTTGGTCGGTTATCGACGTTTGCCTGTTGCGCCAGAGCAAATGGGAGTTTTCTGTTTGGTTTGTCCGCAGCCAACTGGTATCGCGTACGCTCCTGTAAAGGACAAAATGGCAAGCAACAAGAGGATCCAGCGGGACGACATGATGATGGATGATAACAAAGAACAAAAGAAAGAGCTATGTGGTGGTCTTTTTTGGGTTGAGCTAAAGTTCATCCTTTTATATGGGTAAACTGGCCCTCAATAACCCCCTTTTTTTCTCGGCCTCCTTGTTACCAATGTACCATTTTTATCCGCCCTGAATATGCAGCATGCTCATCAGGCACATTCTCTTGACTTTCTTTTCTATAAATGTTTTTGAGTAACCATCATGCGTCCATGCAACGAATACACACACACACACACATCACATGATATGCCGTGTGCCACACCTTATAAAACAATGCATGATCAGCATTTTGTTTACATGTAGTAATGATTAATTGCAGAGCGCATGGCGCACTGTTACAAGTGTCAATAATAGGAAGCCTAATGCCATCAACAACCTCCTTCAGTAAATCCTGACGACGACGACGATGATGATGATGATGATTACCTACTAACTTGGCTTGTAATGGGTACCTAGAGTGTGTGGGGTTTCAGCTCTATTGATTGTGTGCAAAGTTGGTTTACGCGTTTGCAGCAATCACGCTTTTCTTTTCCCTTTTTACACTTTTTACTAGAAACGGTAGCAGGTCGTGGGGCAGCTAATACGAGCCTGCAGGCCGTTTATTGTGTTCATCCGTTGCATATTGGCGCATACTTATTAATTTCCAATCTCCGGGGTGTGGGTGGGTGTCTATGTTCTCCTTTGCCGATTGAAAGTGATGGATACGTTATCATCCTTCTTTGTGTATCTCTAAAAAGGAACCATCACCGATGTGCTCCGAGACTTTTTAGTAAAAGTGCCAAGAAAAGAATGGCGGCTGTCGTCATGTTAGAACCTTAACCACCATCAAAAAGATGCGTGAACTGAACCCCCTTTCTCGCGTGGTCCGAGTGTCATTGCTACTACCTTTGTATGTGATACCAATTCATTGTTACACTACATCAACGTGTTTTGGACCAAGTTGCCAATGGCTGATATGCATGATGGTTTATTTGATGTCTAGACAATCATTGTTTCAATTATGGCATGCTACTACTAATCTTTTGAGGATGGCTCAGGATCATGTTTGGCAAGGGCTCATAGATGTACTATTGAAAAGGACACCGTTAGTATCATAGCAACTTGCCATCAGGATGCTAATACTTACATCACGATAAAGTTCATTAAGCTTCATCCTCATCAAACACTTGCCGGGCACCTTACTTTGTTCCATAAAGTACTTATACATAGGATTATCCTCAGGTACGGCTTCCTTAAATCGCTTGCGTACTAGCTCCCATCCGCGGCCATTGTGATGAAGGTCGAGAACACGAATCAACCGGTGGAACTGGGAATGGAATAAGGTATGGTATAGCAGCTTGTAGCATTCTTCCATTGTCTCAGCAACCACTGTACTATCGGGCAACACATCCAGCTCAACACCACATGTCCTCTTTAGAGTTTCATTGTGTGCCTTGATGCCACCAAAGTCCCGAATGACAAATCCTTTAAGTTCACCAGTCTTACGATTGAAACGCACCATTGTGTTTTGACCATGTGCCTCAAATGCAACACCATTGTTGATTAATGGTGGTACAAATGCTTGCAAGGCTGTTTGAATATATCTGTTAATAGGATAGTCTTAGTCTCGATTGCATCAAAAAGTCATCCAAATACAACACAATGTAATACCTATCCATGAATGCAACTCGTTTTTCCTCTGTATCCAATTTCCATACATGTTTGACGAGTGTTTCATCGGTATCAGGCTTTTGTATCTTTTCAACAAGGGCAGCAGCAACAATATCAATGTCCTCATCCGATTCAGGTGCTTCACGTACGACACAACTGCAATGCTTGGCCATGTGTGGATCATCGTGACGATAAATAGCACTTGCCATTTCTCGTTGGATTGTAAGCACATTACGATCGTACGAAAGGCGTGGGACCACATTGGCAGAGAAGCCAGGACCAAAATGGGTACTAAAGGGAGAAACGATACGCAATGCCGAGGAAACCTTGATGCCAATGCATAGCTTGAGTGATAAGTTTTGGAGCAATCCTGGAACGGCCACGGATCGAATGGATGTTAATGCTTCTGCCGGTGCATTGTTCTCTGCCGGTAAGACGGCCACATTCTCGAAACGCTGTTGGATATTGGGGATTTGGAATTCGTGAACAGGGACAAGCACATCATATTGCGAACGTGATGCACCCGTTTTGGCAAGCATAGCATCCACCATAGGACGAATCAAGTCTTCAAAATCACCACGTAATTTGACCGAGGAGGAGGGGATGGATACCAAACGAAGCGAGGGATGCTCAAGGTTCACCTGACCAGGCTCCACAGATGGCAAAGGTGGATAGCTTAATCTTGCTTTATGCATCTACACATATACAAATCTCAGCCTTCCCTTTCCTTATCCACTCACTTTTATATACTTACTGGATGCGTAGCATGTCCTTCAACAATCGACTGTTCCCAATGAATAGCCGTCGACGCCAAATCAGGTAAAGGCTTGGGGTGATCATAAGTGTAGGCTACCAATGACTCATGAGCAACTGCATTGATAGCCATTCAATGTCTTTTCCACACTTACTCTGATGGTTCATTGAACTTGCCAACTCATCGCTGAGGACTTGGATAAGCTCTTTGTTGTCAACACCATAATCCTGTGCAAAATGGTTCCACAACTCCACAGCATCGTAATCATCAACCAGGGTATCCACGTGGACGTTCACATGCTTGAATATCTCGGTCACCGTTGCCAACACACTCATGGCATCCGTCATCCATGAAGAAGGAGCAGTGCCTTGTCGTCCTTGTGTCTTGGGTGCGTAAATGTAAGGAAGCATATCCCAAGGATCCACCAGCTCAATCTTGGGACATTGGATACCATTCAGCTCGGTTGTTTCTTCAGCATCCAATTCAGGCAACCCACGTAAAGGAACGGCGACAAGGAGTTCTTTGTTTTTGCGAAGAATCAAGCATAAGCCAACAATGGACGAGGAAGAGGAGGTGTAAGGAACAAAATGAGCCGTAACCAAGCCTTCGGTCACCATACACGAGATGAGGCGAGAGGTGGTAGCGAATTTGCCATAATGTCTATTCTTTTCTGCAGAATGTGATGAAACCATGAATAACAATGTAAAGCGAATAGAAAAGTTGGCACAACAACAAGGAATAAAAGAAATCGATTTTTAAATCTGATATGCTGTAATACAATTAAGCTGGTTGCACAATGAACAACAACATCCTGGTCCCGCTTTCTTGCCCCGGTCATTATGCACTCTATTCAATGTTTACCATCATAGCTAGTTGATAATGGATACAATGGCTTCATACACCTTGCTAGAATCACTCTATGCATGGCCCACGTGTGCCTTAGTTGATAATGATCCATGATCAATAAAACATTCTTTCCACATCCCCGGATTCTTTGTAACAGCGACTACTAGCGTCGATCGCGAGCTTGTAGTAATCTGATCCGATCCATGTAATACATAGCTATCGTTTCCCAGGGACCCTTGTCCTTTATGTTTTTTATACTTACTACCCAGGTAGATCTATTGCACCACCTGATCCGATCTCTTTTACAAGTCACTTGTAATAAAATTGACCTTCTCCACATGGGGTATATGTGGTCATAATACCATCTCTTACGGGTATACAAATAATCCGCCAATGACATCGCTATGTCCACTTGTCCCATCTCATGCTTAGGAAGAATGTATTGACATGATAATGGTATCAAGATCCAGTGTTTGGGTAATGTCGTTGTTTTCCATACCAAAATGAAGAGGATGTTGTGCTGCTGGTTCATTCAAGTAGAGTGCGTACCAGTTTTCTTGTCACTGTACGCATACCTGCTGCTGTTTTCAATGGCGTGCGGTTCAAAATTTAACCGCCGTCTTAGACCTCATTGTAGTTTTAAGTGATTTGAAGGTTTACAAACAAAGAAACGCGATCCTTCTACTCTAAAGGTCTCTTGGCTACTCTACAAGATTCATGTCGTGATAGACGATGAATCGAAGAGACCTTGATGTTAGTCTATGAATTGCATGATGATTGCTATGATCCAGATTTATGCATAAAAGTCATCCATGACGCACATCCAGGAATTGGCTAAGGATCCATACCATAGCTTGATTGTATCCTGTGAAAAATACTTTCTTTCAAATGAAGAGTATGTACTGAAGCCATTCCGTTTACAATATGATTGCCCATTGTTGTATTGGCAACATTGTATATGCTATCCCACGCATGGTGATGGCTTAGATACCATTTATTACTCTTTCATTTTGGTAACTATCATTGTATAGAATATAAAACATCTTGCATATGGAACAAGTCGACGAGCTTATTAATCCTCAGTAATCTTGTACCGCAGCAGGATTCTTTCAAGCCACCAAATTTCTCAATCGCTTTAAAGGGCAATCAGTTTTTGCTTCTTTTATCCCGCAGTAACTTTTTTGACCCACCCACTCTCCAACCATGGAATACCACCCTGTCGTTCAAGAACAACTCATGTAAGTCAATGACGTCCATTGGAACCCCCCCCCAAAGCCATGTATTAACTCGTTTTCAATTTAGCTTGGTAAGTACTTGTTCAAAAGCGATCTAGGAAAAAGTGAGAGAGACAACGACCCAGCAAATGACTGATCGGTCTGTGCATGCTCAATTGTAGTGTCCGGGATGCGGTGCTCCCACCCCACCCAATGCCGCCAACATGTGCGTCAACTGTATCCGTAACGAAGTGGACATTACCGAGGGTATTCCAAAGCAAGTGCATATCCATTTCTGCCGCAACTGTGAACGATATCTTCAACCACCCGGCATGTGGATCACCGCCGAACTCGAATCCCGAGAGCTGTTAACACTATGCTTGAAGAAATTGAAGGGCTTGAACAAGGTGCGATTGGTGGATGCAGGATTCATTTGGACCGAACCCCACAGTAGAAGAATCAAGGTCAAATTGACAATTCAAAAAGAGGTAACCATGGGTGATGATGATGATGGCTTTTTGGGATGGCTTGGATTGCTAACGACCCCTTTTTTCAGGTGTTTGCCAACACGATTTTGCAGCAAATGTTTGAAGTGGAATACGTTGTATCATACCAGCAATGTGAGGAATGTACTCGGTTAGCAGCACAAAACACATGGAAGGCTTCGGTGCAAGTGCGTCAAAAGGTCGAGCACAAGCGTACCTTTTTGTATCTCGAGCAATTGATTCTCAAGCATAATGCACACAAGGATACCACCAACATCAAAGAGGCAAAGGATGGCATTGATTTCTACTTTGGGCAACGTGGTCATGCAATCAAGATGGTCGAATTTTTGAACGCTGTTGTTCCTATCAAGTGAGTGTTGTGTGTTTGTTTATGGAAGATTGATGGAATGGAATCATTGACAGAAGGTATTAGATACAAGACGAGTGAACAATTGATTTCCACAGATATCCACACGAGTGTCAGCAACTACAAGTTTACATATTCAGGTAGGAGGATATGGAGGGTGCTTCAAAGGTTCAAGTATGGTCGATTAATAAGAGGGATGATCAATAGTTGAAATTGTTCCCATCTGTAAAGACGACTTGATTTGCTTGCCTCGAAAAGTTGCCAACAGCTTGGGTAACATCAGCCCACTTTTATTGTGTACTCGTGTCGGCAACACACTCCAACTTCTTGATCCCAACACACTCAATTATGGTGATATCAACACAACCGTTTATTGGCGTGCACCCTTCACTGCCCTTGCTTCTGTCAAGTCGATGATTGAATTTGTTGTATTGGATGTGGAGCCCTTGGGTCCTGTACGGGGTAAATATGTATTGGCAGATGTCCACGTTGCACGCATGTCCGATTTTGGTCACAACGACAACGAATTCATTGTACGATCACACTTGGGTGCATTGTTGAATCCTGGTGATACCGCCCTTGGTTACGACCTGTCACACAGCAACTTCAACAATGAAGAATTCGACAAGTTAGACCGAAGCTCATTGCCTGATGTCGTCTTGGTGCGTAAATCCTATCCTCAACGCCGCAAGAAGAACAAGCAACGTAATTGGAAGTTGCAGCAATTGGGCAAGGAAGAGAGTGAATTGTTGCCTCGTAAACAAGACCAGGCCCGTATTGAACAAGACATGGAGATGTTTATGCGTGACATTGAAGAAGATCCAGAATTCCGATCAACTATCAACATTTTCAAGAATGCTCAACAAAACCAACAACAACAACCCCGTGATGAGAACGCCATGGTGGATAGCGAAGAGGAAGAAGAACAAGACTTCCCTGAGATCTCTTTGGAGGAAATGTTGGATGAGATGAAGATCAATCAAGATGGCCCTGATGAACCTCACAATGACGACGATGTGATGATGATGTAAATATAGCACTTAGACATTTCCGCATTAAATCACATGTTCTTTGCATCCCATTTTATACGGTGAATCCCCATGATTGTAAAGTTTTGTCCGTGTCTTTATGTTTTTACTATACTTTAAGCGTGATGCTATATGAAAAGTGATCTTTGTTCATTGTCAAGTAGCTAGACCCTGAGAGAGCAAAAGATGCAGAGGGGCGTGTTTGTGTATCACAGCTCATTTGCAGGATTGGATGGGTCAATGCATGTTACTTTATAATTATAGCAACATGCATTAGCTGGCAGCTAACATGTATTTTTTCCCATTCCAAGCTGTTGACAAATCCATAACAGTGGAACGATGCGCCTGCTCCAGACGTTCAATTCCATGGTTCAAGTTTCTTGATGCGATCTGGTTTGGTTAAGCTACGGCCAAAGAAAGGGTACATCACTTTGCGCATGAATCATGGTCTATCTACCTCAGCTGATGTTTCTTGGTTTGAGCATAGCTTAGTCAAATCGGCCCGGATCAAGACAATTGAATCATGGAAATGAATGTCTGGAGCAGGAGCATTGTTCACCTGTCATAGAAAGGACAACAGTGCCGATTGTGAGGAAATGGCTGCTAGCTCATAGCTTATGGGCTATTATCAATAATGTGTAGGTATCATCCATCGATCCTTCCAGTCATGCAAAACAGCTGAGTTACACAAAGGCGTCCCTGAGCATCTTTTGCTCTATCAGGTCAAGCTAATTCACAATGAACAAAGACCACCCTTCATATAGCATCAAGCTTACAGTATAGTAAAAACATAAAGACGCCTGTATCTCCGAACTTTACAATGAAACACGGGGTTTTGAATAGAGCAATGTGCTCGGCTTGGCCAACTGCACCTTGGGTGCCAGTTTCACGATCAAGCTTGCCAATCCCAGATTTCGCAATGTCGCTACCAGCCAAACTGGATCTGGGGGTCGACCTCTTCGACGACGATGACCAAAAAATATTTTTTGGGATAGTTGCGACATTGAACGTGAAACTTTCACACAAGGTGCTGTTGGCCAAGCCGAGTCCATTGCTGTAATAAAAACCCCACGTTTGATTGTAAAGTTTGGAGATACAGGCACCTTTATGTTTGTAAGCGTGATGCTATGTGACAAGTGGTCTTTGTTCAATGCCAAATAGCTAGGCCCTGATAGAGCCAAAGATGCAGAGGGACGTGTTTGTGTACCTGGGTTAAAAAGTTTGGACTTCAGGGACCATGCATGACAGGTACGCAACCCTCATTTGCAATGCATGCATTGGCAGCTAATAGCCACTTTTGTGCATTCCCAACTTTTGTGTATTCTATTGTAGGTGGACGATGCTCCTGCTCTAGACATTCATTTCCATGATTAAAGTAGGTTGATCCGAGCTGATTTGGTTGAGTTACGCTCACACAAGATTACATCGGTTGAGCTACATCGAGCGTGCTTTATGTCCAGAGTGATGTAATCTCTTTTTGACCGCAGCTCAGTCAAATCAGCTCGGATCAACCTACTTTAATCATGGAAATGAATGTCTGGAGCAGGGGCATCGCTCCCATGCAATGGATCTCGCAACAATGATGATTGGATAAAAGTGGCCGTTAGCTAGCAATACATGCCTGTTCCTAGATGATCCATAAAGTAATTATACATTGACCCTTTCATTCATGCAAACGTAGCTGTGTTACACAACACGACCCTCTGCATCTTTGGCTCTGTCAGGGTCTAGCTACTTTACATTAAACAAAGACCACTTCTCATATAGCATCACGCTTACAAACATAAAGATGCCTGTATCTCCAAACTTTACAATCAAACGTGGGGTTTTTATTACAGCAATGGACTCGGCTTGGCCAACAGCACCTTGTGTGAAAGTTTCACGTTCAATGTCGCAACTATCCCAAAAAATATTTTTTGGTCATCGTCGTCGAAGAGGTCGACCCCCAGATCCAGTTTGGCTGGTAGCGACATTGCGAAATCTGGGATTGGCAAGCTTGATCGTGAAACTGGCACCCAAGGTGCAGTTGGCCAAGCCGAGCACATTGCTCTAATAAAAACCGCATGTTTGATTGTAAAGTTTAGAGATACAGGCGTCTTTATGTTTTTACTATGTTGTAAGCGTTATGCTATATGAAAAGAGGTTGTTGTTCATTGTAAAGTAGATAGACCCTGGAGAGCCAAAGATGCAGAGGGGCGTGTTTGTGTAACTCAGCTCATTATGCATGATTGGAAGGGCCAACGTATGATACCACATACACTATCTATGATTGGCAGCTAACAGCCACTTCCTCACAATCGGCACTGTTGTTCATTCTATTACATGTGAACAATGCTCCTGCTCCAGCCGAGCATTTCCATCATTCAAGTTTCTTGATCCGAGCCGATTTCACTGAGCTACGCCCAAACAAAGAATACATCAATTCTTGAAAGACAGACTCTGCGAATGTCTCCGTCTTTCAAACTTTTGGATGCACCCATTCCAAATTTTCAAATGAAGCATGAAGTTTTTATTAGAAAAAGTTGATCAGCATACTCGAGAGCACCCTTCTGACTAATTTTCAAGTTGGAGGTGGGCAACTTCGGGGCGGTGGCCCGTCCGCTCTTTTGTTCCCGTCATCCACCATTTGGACCTCCCCGCATTTTAAATCTTCTTAATGAAGTCAGCGACTTTTAAATGAATGAAGTTGATCAGCATGTCCCAGCGAACCTTCTGACAAAGTTTCAGGTTCGAAATGGGGAATCCCAAGGTAATGTATATTGTTTCGATAAATCATGAATCTGGGGCTGACCTGCATTTCCGACTTACATAGTAAAACCCACATTGTACCCTCCCATTCAATTTTTTATAATGAAATGTATGTTCTTTATTAATACAAAGTTGATCAGCATGCCCAAGAGCATCTTGTGTCAAAGTTTCAGGTTCGAGAGGGGCAATCTCAATATCAAGAATTGATGTACAGTGTGCATGCATTTATACAAGAGGTGTGTGGCCTATTTAATTTCCACTTCTTTCACCTCAACTTCTTCCCTCTTCCTCCCATTCTCAACTGTTGGTGCATTCAAGTATACAACTACCACCTACGAACGATTGTCCTGCTTCAACCCATCATGTCAATCCAACAGTTGTCTTGATCCGATTGTCTTTGACTGAATGGCAAGTCCATGGCGTGTACACAGCTTTCTTGTCACTCTTCTACAACACACGAGTCTCTTGACACAACACATGCTCTTGCACACTCCTTTACCACGACCAAACGTAACAGAATTCATGCCAGTAGTTGCTATTAGCAAAGGCTTTACTCCATTGTCTCAAACTACTTGCAGCAGCCTTTTCACGTGAGCAGCAGCTTTATTTACGCGTAGCAACTTGTTTCAATACAAACGGTTTCCTATGGATATGGACATGGATCTGATTATTACTTTGATGCATGGGAAGGAAGGAATTGGGTATATACAACGCATGGAAAAAGAGTGTATCCATTGTCAACTTGTCCTTGATGGTATCATCATCCTGAACTATCATGAACGATTCGCGCATCCAGCTACCCTACTTTGCATCCAACTTTCATGGCAACAACCATCATCGCCCTTTGTGCGACTTGTCAACCATGTCATTATCCAACCTATGCTTTCACACATAGCACGCACCAAGTACCACCTCACATCCATCATTCATCATCCACTTTTGCACAATGCTCATCAGAGTATAGAAGCTTCCCATACCAATGTATCTCCCCTGTTCGTTGCACACCTCTCTCTATTTATCTCTTATAAATGATGTTGTATTAAAAGGTTACTTTAGCGAATACGAGATTGTGTGGGTTAAGTTTCTGTAAGACCTTCCTTCTTCCTGAGCTGAACATGGCCGATGTGTGTGTACGAAACGCAATGTATCGTAAAACGATTTATGATATGGCTTACATTGTTGCTGCCGCATTCATATCAGAAGATGGCTGATTGTCTGTAGCACCTTGCAGCTATCGAACCATAACAATAATAACATCGCCATTATGAAGTAATGTCGTACGACTTCCATCCTCGGATCATGTCTTCTGGATTTGTGATAGCAGGTTAGTACCATAGCATTGTCTGATGATTGATGATGTTACCGCCTTGTATATCGTAAAAGCAATCAACCGCGTCAAAGCTCCTTAGACATACCACTGGTGAAGGCACACCATTAATCTATCAGCTCCTCCTAAACATTCTTAGCATACAATTTATCACTCTTTCCTTGTTTGTGATCACAAAAATACCCACGCCCGCTATGCAGATATAAACAAGATGAATGCTGTCATGTATCATTTCACTCCCACATGTATCCTCTTTCTTCTATCATATCGTTCTTTGATTGCTGTCATCTTCAAAGGCTGAGCTAATATGAGTCGTATCATGGTGGATGGTACTGAGCAGTCCTTTTGTGTGAGCGTTCTATGCACTAATTTTGCGACAATCTAGCGCTCCATTGTTGTATCACATTCATTGTTATGCTTGGTTCTTTTATCAGGTAGAACTTGACCACCTTGCTAGATGAAGCTCACACTCATACATTCTTTGGCGAAGCTGTCTCCTGAAATGCATTTGCAAAGCTGGATTGGGTGGGAAAAACCTATCACAACCACCATAGGCTATAGCAGCTTCCCTGCTGAAGCATGGGTACGAAGGGTAATGATCATAACAGTAAAGTAGAATGCTAACGGTGCCTGTTATAGGATACATTGCATGATATCATTGCCCAAGATATGAAGAATAATCATCCTCCCATGGGTTGGTCGTTGCAGCAACCTCACAGTTTTATCATCCACTCACATATGTTGACAACTCCACGACATGCAATATGATAGCCCCCATCACGTGACACAAGGAATTTATCGTTTGTGGGCAATACAAACAACAAAATCACGTCAATACCCTGATCGAAGACCGTACTCGAGAGGTGATACGTCCACGCTCTTGAAGAAATTAAGTACAGTTGAAGGAGGGCATTTGGATCATGTCAACAAACCATCAAGCCATCCTCTTGTGCAAGGGCCATATGAACATAGCTATTGACAGCGAATCTTAACCGGGTTGCTGGTCCCTGGAGATATCCTTCTTCACGTGAAGTCCGATAGAAAAGCAACCTTTTTTTATTGATGTGACCGAGTATATAAAAAAGGTAGTAGAATGACAATTTGATGCCAAGAAGATGGGATGATGATCATCACATAAGCTGTCTACTGCTCGCATGTGTTATTCCAGGAAATGCATTTTCCGCCATTGGTACTTGAAGCGCCAAGCTGAATAAAAGAAATCTTTGGGGCCATTTTTGATCCATACCAACCTTTTTTGGAATGATAGAATGTAACTTGTTGGGATGTTTACGCCTTTAGACACATGTAAGCCATATATGCCATGATGGCTTTTTATACCAACACCCCCTCCTTTGGGTAGGATAGATGCTGCATAGTGAATGAGAGGGTCCCAAGGTACATGCACCCAATGCAGGCAAAATGTGGATGAAAGTGGTGTGTGCCATGAATAAATGCCTTTGTGTAACAATCATAGCACAATATATAGAAGCCAAGCAGGCTGGTCACCGCCAACATCCAAACCAGGTTAATTCGCTGTTCTCTCTATTTTTGACCTGGCTTGACTCTAGTCTTTCTCTCTCTTCTCTCTCCTCCTCCACCTCCTCTCCTCTCCTCCTCTCTTCATTCCCGCTTCGCACATGGCATACGAATCCAGGCCTTTCGATCCTTCCGATTATTCCTATGTCATTGGCATTGGTAAGCGAGCTCACTAGATGAAGCGTCCAAGATGACGAGTTGTCGCGAACGCGTTATTGGGTGAAACTGGCATCACACAGACAAAACCTAATTATGGGTGTATTAGATTTCGGCACTACCTTTTCAGGATGCTGTTATTCCTTTACAAGAGATAATAGTGAAGAGATCTTTGATATCATTCGATGGTAAATCAGGGATCGACAGGGACAAGCTATTATATATATTAATGAGATGGGTCATTTTAGGCCACGACAAACCAATCCCTATCCAAAGACACCCACGGTTGCATTATATCCTCATGGATCATCGAAAATGACAGCATGGGGTCAAGAAGCACGCAAAATGGCAGCACGACGAGGCAACGACATTTTATTATCTCGTTTCAAGCTTCACCTTGATGAGAATCTCGACCTTCCTCCACTTCCCAATGGATTAACAGCACTCGATACCATTTCGGATTATCTCGAAGCTTTCCATGCTCATATTTGCAACGAACTTCAACGCAGCTTTGCATCCAATTACGATCAATCAAAGTTCAGATATTGCTTGACAGTACCAGCCATGTGGAGTGATCAAGCAAAAGCAACCATGCGTGAAGCTGCTATTCGATCAGGCATTATCAATCGCTACGACCATCCCGATCGACTCATGCTCATTAGCGAACCTGAAGCAGCTGCTTTGTATTGTGAAAAGAAGTGCGACCAATTCAACTTGGGCCATGGCCAACGCTTTATGATTTGTGATGCAGGCGGAGGTAAGGAATTAGGCATCCCACATCATTTGGAAAAAAGGAGATATTGATTATTATTCTATTATCAAGGCACGGTGGATTTGATTGTATTTGAGATTGATGACTCTGGTAGCAGGAGAGCTCTCAAAGAAGTGACAAAGGGTCAAGGTGACTCGTGCGGCTCAACCTTTTTGGATGCACAAATGCGTGAATACCTCAAAGACCGATTCTATGGGCTGGGTCGAGTGAGTGATACAGCAATGGATTCGATGATGGAGAATTTCATTGAAGGCATCAAGGTAATGTGACATAACCCCATGGATGGATGGTGGTGATTAACATTAAGACAACAGCCCCAATTCGAAGGAGACGAGGACCAGTTTCTTTTATTACCAGCAACACTTGGATTAGCCAACATGGATGATCCTGCCAATGGTATCGAGGATGGCAATTTACGTATCACTGCCGAGGATCTTTGTGAACATGTGTTTGAACCTGTTGTGCGTAAAGTACTTGTATTGATTGATGAGCAATTACGACAATCGCCTGTGGCCTTGGATGCTATTTTCCTTGTGGGTGGTTTTGGTCAATCAGAGTATCTCCGTCGTCGAGTGATTGACGAGTTTGCCAACCGAGTTGGTTTTATTGGTGTACCTCCTCGTGGTGAATTGGCTGTTGTACGTGGTGCTGTCTATTTCGGCCTTAATCCTCAAATGGTGACTGAGCGTGTTTCTCGACGATCTTATGGTGTGGAGACCCGTATGGTATTCGATCCTCGTCTTGATCCCCAAGAAAACTGTATCGCTGGTGATGGCGGTAGAATGTTTTGCAAGCAGCGCTTCAGTGTTTATGTACACAAGGGACAACGTGTCAAAGTGGATGAGTGTGTTTCCAAGAATTTCATGATTGCTTATCCCAATGACACAGATACAGGTAATGAGATTGGGATGATTTTCGGAGACTCAATACTGACAACATTTACACAGACTTATTCGCCTATGATGGAGATGGCACCATTCCACGTTTGACAACTCATCCACAAGTATTCAAGGTTGCTCGTTTCCCTATCAAGATGCCCAAATTTGCAGGTGTCCAAAAGGGTGAACCTATTTTCATGACCATCAAAATGTTCTTTGGCATGACCGAGATCAAGATTGAAGTACATATCCGCGACCGTGTGTTTACATTTACATCAGCTTTTGAAACACTGGAACGTGGTCTTGGCGGTGTGATGAATGGCATGAACAATCTCGATATTCATGATAAGGATCTTCCAGCGGTTCAACCTCGAGATAGCCTTTTTAGCAGCAATTCGAATCTTTCAAGTGGCGGCAACCAAACGTCACCACAACCCTCACTGCGCAATCATGATCCATACAATTATTCATCACCTGCTTCGCGTTACCCACGTAGCTTTGGTGGCGAGGATGATGGTGATTCAATCTATGATGGCGAATCAAAACATTCTGGCAAACATGGCACTGCTAGGAGATTACTCGGCTTCAAGTTTGGTAAACGTAAAGATAAATAGATATCCCCCCCCCCCAATCACGCATATTTAGCATCTCTCATAACTACTCTCCTCCTCCACTAACATCCTTCTTACACTTGCACCTCCTCTTTTCTCTTACATCACTCACTCTTTCTCATTCGAATATAATGGTCCATAATACATTACACAAAATCCTTTGATTCACCTGTGTGTGCGTATTTTCTTTTAATAGATGATGGTAGGGGGACTGTGTGCGAGGATAAGGAAAAATGGGTGTGTGTGTGTGTGTGTGTGTGCGAGTAATGGTTGTTTGCGGCATTACTACTAATACAGATCGTTTTGAGCATTATCGACGCAAAAACCTTGTTCATGTAATACTCGACTCCGTATCTTGTCTACGCGTTGTTTGGCTTCCATTTCTTCACGTTGTGCGATCAAGATATCTTCTACTGGCACTTGCCGCAAGTTCGTCCGGTGCTCCTTGTCAACATCCTAATAAAAGGGAATCCCATGTTATATACAAGCCCTCCTTGAACATCAAAGAATACTTACTATTTCACCCAAGAGAACCACGTTTTCACCTCGGATCAAGAAAATGCCCCTTGGGATGTCACCATAGCAGTTGCCCACATATATCCTTTCGATTGTATCCTGCAATACCAAGTTGGCTAAGGAGAGTTTTTCCCAAACCATACCCATGTATCCATTAGCTTTTGATGCTTCTTTTCCACTCGTACACACGCGCACTTTTGACATACCAAACTGGTCAAACGATCGTAGAATACCAATAAGCTTACGACCATCTCGCAATATCACCATGAGTTTTTCTACAATGGTCAAAATGGGAACGGTGGATTGGTAAAAGAGTTGGTTTATTAAAAGGTTTCGCTTACTGTCGACGCTTTCCAAAAGTCCTGAGGATGTTGTATAAAAGGGTCCACTTGTGATTTCCATGCTTCCAATCGTGGTGGTGGGGGGGAGGCTCGTGTATGTGTGGAGGAGGGAAAATTGGAGTTGTTGCAAGAAGTCGTTCTCCCAAATTTAGACCCCCTTCACTCGTCGCGTGCGTGTCGGCCCAAATGAATGAATGATGCAATGATACATGTATCTCAATTTTGACAATAAGCTCGTCGATGATGATCACAACCCTATGTAAAGTAGTAGACGTACCTATCAAAGTTTTGACAATGTTTTCATCATTCCTTTATTGCCATAGCAACATAAATAACACCATCATCACCATTTAAATCCTTCTGTGCTCCATGTTACGTTGCATAAAAGTTGTAATCACTTGATGTCCAACACTATTCAGCTGGGAAAGAGCTTATATAGTCACACTATTATGTAATGTTCTCACAAGCATTTTGGCTGTTGATGATCCCATCATCCTCCTTGTGTGTACCACTATTGTTTATGAAGGGATGGAGGGTCTTTATAACACCAGGTATTGTAGTAATGGCGACCATCCTCTTTCTCACCAAAGATGCGTGATGCGTGGCTAAGTAGGAGGATACCACGATCAAGTCATCAAGATTTATCTCATGTTCTCAAGTACTACCATTGGTAAATAGTGTGATCATATTACACAAGAAGCCTGATTAATCCATTGGATGGGCTAGATCCCCCGCCATCAAAAAGTCAACCCGAGATTTTTTGATCAGTGAGAGAGAAAATGATATTCAGGCCCAAGTTTTAGCTGTAAGGAAGTTTATTGGTGCTTGCTGATGATCATCTAAGTAGGCGGAAAATCAAGTGTCATCATACAAAGAATACATCTATTGTAGTATAGCATCCATTATCCAATACATCTCATTCCCAATGCATAGTGATGATCGTCGTCTTTGTTGGCATGGCAACAACAATGAATAAGGGGAGTCCGTGCTTGTCAACCATTTCCCGCCAGATGCCGAGTTGGGTTGCGTCGGAGAGCTTTACCTTAAACTGAAAATGGGAATTATGGTTGGTCTTGCTCTTCTGAAGCCCTTTCAATACTATGGTGCCGTCAGCAGCCTGTTTCGAACCTACTCGATATGCCGATCAACAACAACAAGAAGCATTGGAAGAAGTCCACCGTCAATTCTGGCTTAGCGAAGAATCCCTCCATGGCGTTATCGATTACTTTCAAAAAGAACTCAAGGCTGGTCTCCTTGACGACAGATCAAGCGACCTTAACATGATTCCTTCATTCGTTTCAGGTAACTCGTTTTTCGTTCATGAGAGGCTATATGAATGGGTGTGCGTATGCTTGTGTATATGTGTATATGTGTATGCGTGTGTGTATGTGTGGGTGTATGGTTTAGTATTGTATGTGAATGGCTGTACTAAAGGGAATCTGCGGGAAATTAATCAGGATATCCTACTGGGCAAGAGAAAGGGACCTATTTGGCACTTGAAATCATATCCATGGACATCTACGTTTGTCAGGTCTTATTGAAAGGCGAAGGCGGCAAGCTTGCTATCAATCAATACCAGTACAAGATTCCACAAGATCTGATGAGCGGGGATGATTTTGTGGTGCTCATCGATTACGTTGTCGAGTGCGTTGCCGATTTCCTCAACCGAGTAGGCACTCAGGAACACTTTGTTTATTCAATGGCATGTTCATTATGCTTCGCCATCAAACAAACAGCTCTCAACAATGGTCGTATCATGTCACTTGGTCACGGATTCAGTTACCCAAATGGTGTTGGTGTGGATATTGTTCAAATGATGCACGAACGAATGCAACTCAAGAATCTACCTATTAAAGTTGTCGCTATCACAAATGGTATGTAGTAGGATGATGGATCGATGGAGATAAGATATACCCTCCCCCTCACCCTCTTTTTTTTTCATTTCCAACACAGACGCTGTATGTGTATTACTAGCACATGCATATCAACATGCATGCACACGTCTTGGCATTGTGCATAGTTTGGGTACCAATTGCGCCTACTATGAACCTGTGGTGAACGTAACCAAGCTACAAGATCACGCCTTTTATTCTCAACAAACGGGCAACAACATGATTATCAATACAGAATGGTGCAACTTTGGTTCATCGCGACGGACATTGCCATGCACGTGGTTTGATCGCAAGCTTGATCGAGAATCTATCAATCCTCAATATCACGTGTTTGAAAAGATGACAACGGGCATTGCATTGGGAGAATTGGTGCGGATCATATTGATATACCTGGTGGATCGTGATGTGCTTTTTAATGGCGAATCAAGTGAAGCATTGAACAGGCCGCATAGTTTTGACACCAGCTACATGTACATTTGCGAAGCAGACGATTCACCTGAACTTGAAGATACACGTATTGTCATCCAGGACATGATGAATATTCAAAAATGCACATTGGGCGATCGTGAAGTAGTCAAACGTGTATGCGAACTTGTAGGGACACGCGCATCCATGTTGGTGGGAGCATCCATTGCAGCTGTCATCCGGCACATGGTTGAAAATGGAACCCCTTTTGATTCAGAAGATGGAGGATGTGCTATTGGTATGTGATTTGATGTGATCCATGTTTTGTATCATGCAAAAAGTGGCTTACATTTCTCTCTTTCATATAGCCATTAGTGGAGAGATCTATGAAGATTATCCATCATTCCATCCTCGAGTATGCAGCACCATCAAGGAATTGATACCAGAACACATCGCATCCAAACTTACTGTTGGTATTGTTAAGCATTCACGCATCGTTGGAGCAGCCATTGTAGCCATGATGGCAGAGAAAATAGCAGCAGATGCCATTACTAGTTCATAATCCACCGTTTCTATTACTCCCATGTATATTATAAACACACACACGCACACTCCTCCTCCAAATAGTAGTCTACCCTTAGATCACGTTACTCTCTCTCTCCCACCCTTTTCCTCAGCAACAATCATCGTCGTCGTTATCTCCGCACAAAAATGAAAATCCACTTGTACTCTCTCCTTGTGTCGTTTTCTTTCTCTCTTTGCGCTTTCGTTATTATACCACTCACTCCCACACATTTGCACCATGGTCAAAGGAAAAGTCCATCTCGGTGTGTCGCAACCATTATCACTTGTCGGCCCATCCGAGAAAGATCGCATGCTTGAAAAGCAGTTGGAAGCAGCATTACAAAAACACAACATGTACGAATCGCGCGAGGTCTCTTTATTAAGGTATACTCTATCTATCTATCTATCTATCTATCGGCATACATGGATGGTTGACTTTGGCTTCTTTTCAGGGATACTGTATTACAAAAGTTGGAGCTTTTGACCCAGCAGTTTGTGTACAAGGCAAGCATTCAGCTTGGCTTCACACCAGAACAAGCTCGTTTGGCAGGCGGAAAAGTGATGACCTTCGGTAGTTGTCGATTGGGCGTTCAAGCGGCCAGTAAGTGATGAGGCCTATGACGACAAACCACCCCTGTTCTAACCTTGGATCCCCCTTCATATTAGACGCTGATATCGACGCCGTATGTATTTGCCCACGCCATATTACGCGAGATCACTTTTTTGACGGCGTATGTGATATACTTGAAAACGAACCCGAAGTAACACAATTCACGGTATGTCAACTTGCGTTTATATATGCACTCGTCAATGATGCTGATCTTCCTTTTCGTTCATCTCTTAGGCTATCAAAGAATCCTATGTACCAATCATCAAGCTCAAATTTCTTGGTATCCCGGTAAGTGTGTGTGTGTGAGTGATAAAAGAGGGAATGACTTGTTTACTTATATACATGGAAACAGGTTGATCTCTTGTGTGCAAGGATCCCGTTGCCAACAGTGCCAAAAGATCTCGATATCGACAACAATGAATTGCTTATTTCGATGAACGAGAAAGACATACGCAGCATCAACGGCACTCGAGTAGCAGACGCCATTTTACAACTTGTCCCAGATGTCGATACGTTTCGTACAGCAGTTCGATGCATCAAATTATGGGCCATTCGACGTGGGATTTATTCCAACATTCTCGGCTTTTTGGGTGGTGTCGCATGGGCCATTATGGTCGCTCGCGTTTGTCAATTATACCCAAATGCATGTGCAAGTACAGTAGCAAGCAAGGTGTTTGGTATCATGGTGAATTGGCAGTGGCCACATCCTGTACGACTATGCGACGACAAGGAAGGTCCGTCTTTGGCTAATCTACAATCATGGGATCCAAAGGTAAAAGAATGCAACGTGCGATTGCCAATGATACTGATGAGGCTCTATGTAGAAAAACTACATGGATCGAGCACACAAGATGCCCATCATTACACCTGCCTATCCAACAATGTGTGCCACTCACAACATGACCAACTCAACATTCAAAATCGTCATTGGAGAATGTAAGCGTGCTGCACAAATCATGGACAAGATTATGGTTGGTAGTCTGCCTTGGGAAGCATTATTCGAGGGACATGCCTTCTTTCGCAACTATGAACACTTTTTGGAGATCGTGGTGAGCAGTGACAATGCTTCACGGCAGCTGAAGTGGTATGTCGTTGTCCTTTTGGAAATAGTCAAAGTCATTAACATCTTGAATTGTAGGACTGGTTTGGTGGAATCACGTATACGAGGATTACTCAACAAGTTGGAAAGCGTGAATGGTCTTGCATTAGCTCATCCTTTTATAGAAGGCTTTGACAATACGTACAATTGCACAAGCTTTGACGAGGTGGATGCTGCTACTCGAGGAGCAGGCATCAAGACTCAAGACTCTGGACAAGGCATGACAGTGTATACAAGAACGTTTTATATAGGATTGTATTTCAAGCCTGTACCAGGTAATTCGAGCTGGGTGTGTGTGTGTGCATAAACAAACGATGCTGAACAGGATATTGTATTATAGCTCGAGAACAAGTACGACTTATCGATATTAGCTGGCCGATCAGTGATTTTCGGAGGTTTTCAAGGAGTTGGGAACAATATGAAGAACAACACATGGATGTCATTGTACGACATGTGAAAAGGTCAGTGGTGTCTGTTCACGATTCATCTCTTTGTCGGCTGATTTTTTTATGTTTCCCTTCATTATCTATCAGGTCGATGCTCCCTTCCGAAGTAAGGCGGATATCAGTTGTCAAGCGTGCGAGCCAGGTTTGTGGAGGAACAAAAGCCGTGCGCATTTGATTTGCGTGAATGGTGATGGGTGGCAGGCTATGTGAGTGAATCAAGATCATATTAACACAATCTTTTTTCATAGACCGTAAGTGTGTCCTCAGCTTACAAGAAACCGAGGATACAGTTCCCGGCAACGGCTCCAGCTGCAACCATGATACCACGAACATGAACAATCTTTCCTTCCTGCAACATCATCCAACAATCATCAACGCACTCACAATCACAATCACAACACACATGGACGCAATTCACACAAACACCCATACAACGAGCTCTTTCTCTGTCACTCTCTCTGTCACACACACTCTCTCTCTTTCGCGAACCGAATCTTTCTCAGTGGATATGGCCCAATTGTATAGCACATGCATCCGTGCTATTCCAAGGTTTCAACTTTGGGCATGCTGAGAAAAGGGGTAAGGGGATGCGGATTTACATTACATTGGAAAAAAAAGTTATTGCTGTTTTTTTTATAATATAAGTTTTAGCGTAGCGACCAAGAATAAATTTGCTTTTTGCTAATCTAAACGAAAGATGCATACGACAAGTGATGGGGGGGTTGAGGGATGTCAAAGTAGAATGAAATCAGGCGGTGTGCCAAAAATTAGCTTTTATTTGATGTTGCCATGTAACGGGATGTCATTACAATATGTACGACGCAGCTACAGCTACCTTGAGCTATTATTATCATTCCCTTCTTTTTTCATCTATGAAATGACGGTGGAAACATTATTCAACACGGCTCCCGAGTTACATTTAATATCGGCTACTGAAGTGATCCACTCTACGGCACAACAATCAAGTCGAGAACAGCGTTTGCAGGCGTTGCAGTTTCTTCGGTACCAGGCAACGGCGCATGGCGACATTGAAGCCAAGACCAAGCTATGCACCATCTACAGCCAATCGAGCCATGCTATGGCAGCCAATGAGCGAGAAGCCGACATGTGGGCACAGAGTGTGTTCGACAAGCAGTTGTCTGATGCATTGACATCGTGTGCCGAGTACCTTGCTCATCATGAACCCTTGTCTGACAATACGGTGGATGTGATTCTTCAAGGCAGCAGCCATGGTGGTGGAACGCAAGTAGCGTATCTGGCAGGCTTGTTACTGACACGAGGCATTGGTGTGGATCGCGATCGTACGCGAGGCATGGCTCTTTTGGAACAGGCGGCCGAGGAACAGGGCGAAGCTGCTTATGAGCTTGGACGTTTATATGGGGATCGATACACAGACTCACTCAACGACATTTCCAAATCCATTGCATGGTACGAGCGTGCTGTAGCGTTGGGACAAACCAAGGCCTATGTGGATCTCGCTTATGGATACTATAATCACAACAATGATAATGACAAGGAACGGATAGCAGCAGCCACACGCTATGCCACCCTAGGCGCTGAACAAAGCAATGATCGCTTTTGCCAATACATTCTCGGTCATCTTGCCGCTGTCGAGGAAGACAATACCGACAAGGCCATTGAATGGCTCACCCAATCAGCACAACAAGACTTTGCCGTCGCTATCGAAGAATTAGCAAGCATTTATATGAAGAAACAAGCGTACAAGGATGCATTGCATTGGTGCACCAAGGGCTCAGATATTCCCTTTTGCCAAACTGCGCTAGGCGATATGTACCGTAATGGTTGGGGCGTGGATCGTGATTATCAAAAGGCTTTCCAATATTACCAAACAGCTGCCAGTCAACCAGAGGCACCCAATCATTATGCACAACACATGCTCGGTGAAATGTAAGTAGTAGTATTACTAGCAGTAATATACAATGCTAACATGGGAATATACATAGGTTCCTCAATGGAGAAGGTATTCCTCAAGATACAGCTGTTGCTAAAGAATGGTTCCAAATTGCAGCAGCACAAGGCTACGAACCTGCAAGACAAAAGCTAATGGTGCTGGCACATGAGCAACAACAACAACAACATCGTATGTCCATGGCATCCAATTCCTCTTCTCCTCCTCCCACACCTCAAAAGAAACCCAATCGATGGTCTGCTCTCAGCCTCTTTGGTAAAAAGAAATAGATAACATTTATTCTTTACACTTGATATCCCTCTATCCACAATTGTTTTGCTTCTTTGCATTTGATAATGATACATTCCTCCGCTTGTTTTCCTATCCTAAATCCTGTAGCACGTGATGATGTGCCATTCTCGTTATTCATGTTGTTGTCTTCCAATGTAATGAACCATGGTGTATTATGACTACTGCTTGCACGTTGTCGTTTACGACCAATACTTTCTTTTGATGATGATGATGATGATGATGGTGATGGTTTGTTATCGCAAACAAAGCCGTAACATTGTATAGGACTGCTAGTAGAATGTTGTTGTTGTTGTTGTTGACGACGTTTGGCGTGAGTAATCATACGAGATTGCGAAAAAGACAAACTGGCAAAGGAATGTGTGGCAAAATCCAAATTGACGACCGGGGTGTTGCGTGAACATGAGAGCCACACACATTGGATGGCATTAAAGTGGATCAGGTTGGGACAATAAACAGTGATGGCAAAGGTCAACATGTCGTTATCGAGCACCAGCATATTGTCAAGGGTGAGTCGTGTGATGTTTGGATACTTTGTTGCTAATGTTGGGAGTGATGTATCGGGCAGCACGAAATCAAATACACCATTGAGTAATGCCAAATACTTCAGTGTCGGCGGACACGCGTGCATTAAAATGTCATATACACCACCCAGACGTGTCATATCAATACGTAAGTCGACAAGACGTTGAAAGTCACCAAGCACCATCAGCGTCGTCTGTATAGCGTCACCATAATAGGGTAAGGAATCAGCTGGCAAATCAATGGAAAGATGATCCACTCGGTCTTTCACTGCACGTAACCAGGTATCTGGATGCCATGGACGTTGACTCTTGATTTCGACATTCGACAATGCGGGTAATAAAGTGAGAGGTGTCAAGTATTGACCATCGTTGCCATAGTCACCCAACCGAATAAGACGTAAATGACTTAGTTGCTGTGGTAGTGGACGATGTGCAAGATCCAGGGAGGTGGGACCACGTGACACAGGTCGTATTACAGAGCTGCCCTTGGATGTGTTGACCAAATCAAGTGAGCGTAAATTGGGATAGTGCGTGATAATGTAATCGATCCATAAATCTGTACGTGACCAACCCGAGGGGTATGTAATACGCAATGTGTGTAAGCTTGGATGAACTTTGTCGGTGACAATAGGTGTCAATACCATATTGGATCCTTCCACCACTAAATGCCTTAGACGTGGACAAGCTGCATGAATCGTATCCAGTTCTGTGGTACGTAAAATCGGGAGCACATTGATCAATGAAAGTGATTCGACATGGGCTGTAAATTGTAAAATGGATGGCAACGTGAGGCTTTCCATCATGCCTCGTGGTGGAAATCGACGCATCAAATGGGGTACTGGTTCATCATCATCATCATCATCATCGTCTTCGTCGTCTTCGCCATCACCATCATCATCCTCTGCCTCAGTGTCGCCATTGCATGTCAATCGTAGTGTGCGTAGCTCACGTGTATCAATGGCTTCCAATATCGGTACAGGCGAACAATGGGCACCACGATTGCCACTGCCACTATTACTACTACTGCTGCTGCTGCTGCCTACAATCGGTCGTCTCACTCTCGGCCAACAAAATTCAAGCTCTCGTAAAAGTGGACACAAAGCTTGAAGTTCACCCACTGCCTCCAATGACAAAATGCCGTCATCCACCACGAGCTTTCGCACATGTCGACCAATGGAACGTGCTGGATTTCGAAGAATCGGCAGAATATTGCACTTGTGTGTCAAGGGGACTGAACGATACAACACGGGTAAAAAAATGTCGCACCAAGTCTTGTTTACAAGCAAGCATTGAAAATGATCTCGTGTTGGCAGTTGCATCGCAACCAGGTCAAAGACCTCTGTGGGTAATAAATGAAAGGCCATGGATACGTGAATGATAAAGAAAGAAAGAGAGAGAGAGAGAGTGATGCATCTGCTGTGTGTGAACATTAAGCAAATAACCCACCGAAGCCCGTTGTGGTTCTTTTCCTCCCCGAAAACTTTGCATTAATCGGATCCCCCTCTTTCCCCTTCATCGTTTCATCATCATGAAAATGACATTTTTGTGCGTTTTGAATAAATTTTCTTCTTTGGACAATGTCTTTGGACAGTGGAGCGAGGAATGGATATAGATAATGTTGAGGCTACTAGCAGGATGATAATGTGATTGCTTTAGAAGCACTTGCGATGAACAATAGCAGGACCCGATTCGTCGTATTCCTCTATAATCGAAATGAATGAATATGCCATCAACATTACTCTTAGGAGTTTTATCATACTTACGCTTGCTGATCCACATTTGCTGGAAAGTAGACAAGGAAGCAAGAATGGAACCACCAATCCAAACAGAGTACTTTCTCTCGGGAGGAGCAACAATCTTGATCTTCATCGAGCTCGGTGCAAGAGCAGTGATCTCCTTTTGCATACGATCGGCAATACCAGGATACATAGTAGTACCACCAGACTATATATACATCCTTCATGTAAGCTTGCTTATCCGATTGGGTCCCCCTTTTTCTTTTTACATACCATTACAACGTTGGCATACAAGTCCTTACGGATATCAAGATCGCACTTCATGATGGAGTTATATACAGTTTCGTGAATACCAGAAGATTCATGACCCAAGAGATTAGGTCGGAAGAGTGCCTCAGGAGCACGGAAGCTAAAATAACCAACATCATTAGATTTAAGCACATCCTCTTCTTTCTTCCCTAATACTTACCGCTCGTTGCCAACAGTAATGACCTGACCATCGGGCAATTCATAGGATTTTTCAAGAGCCGAGGATTGAGCAGCAGTTTGCAATTCTTGTTCAAAGTCCAAAGCAACATAGCAAAGCTTTTCCTTGACATCACGCACGATTTCGCGTTCAGCGGTGGTGGTGAAAGAATGACCACGCTCAGCAAGAATACGCATAAGATAATCGGTCAAGTCACGGCCAGCCATATCAAGACGCAAGATAGCATGAGGAAGAGCATAACCTTCATAGATGGGAACAGTGTGGGTGACACCATCACCAGAGTCAAGAACGATACCCGTCGTACGACCCGAAGCATAAAGCGACAAGACAGCTTGGATATTGACGTAAAAAGCAGGCGTGTTGAAAGTCTCAAACATGATTTGAGTCATCTTTTCACGGTTGGATTTGGGGTTCAAGGGAGCCTCCGTCAAAAGCACAGGATGTTCCTCGGGAGCCACACGAAGTTCATTGTAAAAAGTGTGATGCCAGATCTTTTCCATATCATCCCAATTGGTGACAATGCCGTGTTCAATAGGATAACGCAAAGTAAGGATACCACGCTTGGATTGTGCTTCATCACCAACATAGGAATCCTTTTGACCCATGCCAACCATAACACCTTGATGACGAGGACGACCCACAATAGAAGGGAATACCTACACATACCCATACCCCATATCCATCAATACCTTACATCCTCAGCCAGCCTCCCTCGTAGTAGAATATAGATACTTACAGCGCGAGGAGCATCATCACCAGCAAAACCGGCCTTGCACATGCCAGAGCCATTGTCAATCACGAGCTACATACATGTATGTGAGATAAAAGCCCTTCTTGTCAATGAGAGTCCCACACCGAGCATCGCACATGTCATCAAGAGCCAGGGGCCGAGATGAGCATAGGCACGCGTTTTCTCGGTCCCAATTTTTTCCCGTCGTGCCGTGTGTGGTACCACCACCGCCGCCACTACCTCCACTCTCGTGATCGATTTGACTTACAGCAGCAACTTCGTCTTCCATGTTGTGTTATTAAAGAAGGATAAGAAAGAAATACGTAAAGCGGGAAACCATCGAGAAGGTCTGGAATTTATATAGGCGTCATGGCGCAGAAAATGGATAACACCACGCTTATCATTAGGTTCTATCACACAAAGCATCGTAAACTCAGCCTCGCACATTCAACCCATCATATCACTAAATGGAGCTGCCAAGCCAATACAAGTTGTCAAAAGGGGACATGGTATGCTTGGCTCGAGAGCCGCAGCCATGGTAAGTGGAATACAACATGTGATATGGACCACTTTGATGTACAACACCACCAATCCTTTTCTTTTGCTTGCAAAACAAGAGTGCGATATTATAACACAACAAGCTAGCAACATACACACACACACACATTGACATGTCGAGAGATCAAAAGAATTCCTCGTGTATTACAACCCAAAAGGCAAAAGTAACTAATCCTTGTAGCACACGCACAAGCAACTTGGGTCTTTCAAGCAGACGTTCCGCAGCCGCCTTCATGTGGTGCGCCGACAGGAGCTTACAGCAAAGAAAAGGGTATATATCTATCAAGTACTCTATACAATTGGTGTGTGTGATGGGGGTTGTGGGGGGGGGCACCAGCCTTCCAACCTTGATTCCCTCTTGTTATTCTTTCTCTTACTCATCCATCCTCTCTCACTCATGTATCCTCCTCCTTTCGGTGTCCTGATTTTCGGAGTCTCCATTAGACAAACGAAGGTGGTATCTTGAATTGATCAGCTGGTAAAGGTTCAAAATGATGGACATCAATCCCATGATCCAGGAGGTCTTGTTCAGTATGAGGAGGCACGAGTCGATGTATGAGATCGGGTCGAATGGATAATTCTATAGACGAGAAAAGAGATGATTTAGCCAAGACATGCCAAGGCACGTATGATTCACATTTTTTTTACAATACATACCCCGCTTTGAAAAGTTGAATAAGGGTGGTAGTGCATGGCCATTGGGGAGTTGTGCTGCGGGATCACGCAATGGATCAAAGAATGGATGACATAAAGCTTCAATGGCACTGATACGATGTTGAGGATGGTATTGCAGCATTTTTGACATGAGATCAATGGCTGATTCAGGAGCTCCGACAAAAATCTAGGCGTAGTATGATGTTAGCATGAATCATCATCCTTCCCCCATTGTGTGTCATCACTCACCTTGTGTAAAGGATGTGGTTTGATTTGTGGGAAGCGATGTTCAACATAGCTTGCATTCATTGCAGCAATTTCATCCTTTGTGGGTGTGCCAAGAATCTTGATGATTTCCACGAGTTGATCAATACCACTGTCGCCTGGGAAAAAGGGTTGGCCCAGTAACATTTCAGCCATGACACATCCCGTAGACCAAATGTCAATGTTGAGTGTGTAATTGGTAGCACCAAAGATCAGCTCAGGAGCACGGTAGTAGCGTGAACAAATATATGAAACGTTTGGTTCGCCTGGTACAAGCACCTTGGCACTTTGGGGGGTGATCAGCAAAGAATGGCGAATTGACCCTGTTTTTCTTTTGTCTTACCTGCCAAAATCGCACATTTTGCAGATCCCTGTTGCCGGATCGAGCAACACATTTTGAGGTTTGATATCTCGATGACATATGCCAAGCGAATGGATGTAAGCAAGTGATCGAATGACCTGGTACATGTAGACACGAACAAGCATGATGGGCATCGTCTGCTTTTGCTTTGCGTAATGGCGTACGGCGCGGTACAGCGTGTCGGGGATATATTCCATCACGAGGTTCAAGTACACCTCATCTTGCTATAGCAACAACAACAACAACAAAAGCTCAGCAACCTACTACCATCACTCAATTCCCTCCATCTTCCCTTACCTTATTTTCTACTTGGTTGTAAAAGTATGATTTCAATCGACAGACATTGGGATGATCCACAATACGCATAATCTGCAATTCACGGTTCTATTCCCATTCCACGCCATGTGTTAATGATAAATCCCATTCGATGTCTTTGAATCAATTTACCTTGAAACGTCGATCTTGTAGCACTTTTTTAATGGCAGCATCTTCATTGGATTCCAAAAGGCGCGTTTGATACACAACACCAAATGATCCATTGCCAGTGACCTTTTTGTTCACATAGGATATCTGGATTTGCTTGCCGCTCTTTGCATCCTTTGCAACGACTCGAATGGTTTTGGGGATATCTAAAAGTAGTTCATAGAAATACGCGTTAGCTTATTATACCACTTGAGAGCTTTTTTTATGTTTCAACACCACACACACAGCATCCCCATCCTTGCCATCGTGCAGTAGAGCATGAGAATGAATGTGTTGAAGTTGAACCAATGCTGCTGTTACTTGCCAGACATTTGCGAATAGATTGGTTGTGATAGACTTTGTCGACAACAAAAAGAATAGAGAGAGAGTATGTGTGTGTGTATGTATGTGTGGGTCTTAGTGTGTGTAGTTCAAGAAAAGAGAGAAGGACGACGCTTTTCCAAGAAGAATTCCGTCAGCGAGTAGCTGTAACCAATGAAATTTTACGACTTCTCTCAGCAAAAGAGAGAGCAGTCGTAGGAGCTGTAGTATGATCGAAGCATCGTCAAATGGTGTTGTACGCCTGTTGCCAGTCGTGCCTTGCAAGATGAATCACACTTTTTCCCTCCATAGATATGGTCCCATGTGTCACAACCATGCATCATGATACACTCCTATTACACTATTACATATGTTTTGTATCCATCCTCCTCCATTGATATCAACAACTACCAGCAATCATATCACCTATCATGTCGATGCGCTATGTTCATCCCGCATCCATTCAATAAATCTCTTTCAATTTATTCACCTAATCTACGACGAAGGAATTCGAGTACGGCTTGTGTGCCTTGATCTAACACTGTAGGTCGTGGAATACGGAATCTACACCATCCACACGTCAATAAAGGGCACGCACAAAGCTAATCAATATCGCTTACCTGTTACCATACAACATCAGCTCTTTGATACTGCGAATACGACCAATCTCGGGTGGTAGATAAGCAATGTCGTTGTTGGCAAGATCAATCACTTCCAAATTCTCTAAGCTTGTTGCAGAGATTTTGCCGATTTGGTTCGTGTTTGCTCGTAGCGTGCGAAGCGATGGTAAATGTGTGGTCAAATCCTCGGGTAAAATGGTCAAAGCATTGTAGCTAACGTCGAGTTCAACAAGCTTGGGGAAAATAGGTTCAGCTTCAGGCGTAGCTTCAATCGAAGCAATACGATTGTTGGCAAGAGAAAGGGTCTTGAGTGATGCAAAAATCGGGAATGAGGATGTAGTAGTAGTCAACGATAGTTGGGATATACGATTGTGGTGGAGATGAAGGTGAACCAGGGTATTCGCGAACAAATCAAGCGTCGTTGGTATATCTTGCAATCGATTGTGATGCAATTGGAGGGTTGCAGGTGTCATGTTGGATTGAGTCAGTGCATCATGCGTCACATCATCCAGCTGCTGGTTTGATAGATCAAGTGTTCCACTCGCACGCACAATGGTAGGTGTTGTTGTTGGTTCATCCACCTTTTCATCGGTTGAATCAGCTGCTGGTGCAACCAATCCCCCTGCATCCCTGTTGGTCGTGGCATCATCATCATTTGCTGCTTCGTTGCCCTTTTCTTCTTCCAATGTCATTTTTGATCGCAACGATTCAATGAGCTCCACCATAGTCACATTCCTAGGCACCGAGCGAAGTGGATTGCCTTCCCAATTGATCACTGCAAGATGCTCAAGCTTGCCCAAATCAGGACGAAGGACACGTAGATGATTTGCACTAACATCCAATCGTATCAATTCACGCAATTCAAGTACGGTGGATGGAATATCGGCAAAGAGATTCGAAGAGATGTCAAGCGTTTGGATTTCAGGGGCGCTGTTGAGTAATGAGATGCTTGTATCGTCGGATAGCTGGTTATAAGCCAAGAGCAATTCCTTGAGATTAGGGAGAGAAATCACTTTGCTGCATCCTTCATCTGTCAGAGTCGTCATGCTATTTTGATGTGCATCCAAACGAGTCAATTTTGGTAAGGCAATTCCATCAGCAGTGGATGATCCTATAATCACATTAGTGCAACTGTTCATTCCCTTTCACCCCGCCCATCATGATAACTTACCTTTGAAAAGCACGCGTAATTGGTTGTTGGATACATGTAACTCTTCCAATTTTTGCCATCCATTCAATGACTCCACAGCTGGTAACTCCACAAGTTGATTCTCGCTTAGATAGAGCTTACGGAGCTTGTGTAACTGTCCCACATCAGCGGCCATCTCTTGTAGTTGGTTGTCGTTCAAGTTCAAAATCTCCAATTGCGACAATCTTCCAATATCCGATGGCACCACACGCAACTTGTTATGAGCCAAGTCCAAATCCCTTAGCTTGACAAGATCAAACACGCTTGAAGGAATGGTCTCAAAAGCATTGTGTGACAAATGCAATACTGTCAATTGGCTCAGCTGATTCAACGTGTCAGGTAGCGATGATAGCTGATTGTTCCGCATCTAGCATAGCAACAAGGTTGTGAGTGAGTGTGTGTGATAAATAATAGACCCTCTTTAACAAACTTACATCGATCAAGGTCAAAGCTCCAAATTCGGTACCGATCTTCTCGTCAAGTTCAGTGATCTCGTTGTTCGTCGCAATAAACTTGTTGAGCTCTGTCGAATCATACCAAGCATCACCTGAGGAACTGAAATCAACAACAATCTTGTTTGGATCCACGTGGTACCTGAAAAAGAACGATTGATGCATGAATAACACCGACCAATACGTTGCTTATGCAATGATGATGATACTCACATTGACCAAACTTCCTCGGGAATCGTTGCCAATTCTCGGTTGGAGATGTTGAGTTTTCCTGAAGACTTTGCTTGCTTGATGATGGTCTGAATCTTGAGATTGGGTTTCGAGGATGGTTGACCAAAAGCGTCCTCATCATCAAACGTATAACGGTCGGCACCTGTCATGACACGATTTCTTGGTGTGGATGGCGTGGATGGTTGTGAAGCCGTCTTTCGTTGCTGTTGGGCAGCAGCACGCTTGCTAGCCATGAATGCTCGAATCCCCTCGGATGCTTTAGCTTGAGGACCCCTCGAGACGCTCTTTTTGACAGTTGTCGAATCCCGGGAACGTGACACATCAGCAGCAGCAGCAGGGGAAGGAGTAGGACTGGATGGTTGACCTTGTTGACGCAACATTGACGCTTTGGTTGGACGAGGTTGTACAATGGACGAACGTTTTTGTTGGTGCAAGCTCATCTCGAATGAGGAGGGGAGAAGAAAAAGGAGTAGTAGTCGAGTGAGCCAAACTGAGTTGGGGGAGAGGGGGAGCGTAACGACGTGGTGTGAGAGTTAATGTGGCGACGACGTATCACGTGCTGCCATGCAGATGCAGCCTTGTCCTTTTGCTTGTTGGTTGCACGACCCCGTTTCTCTCTTTTTATACAACACTCATCCCACGTAGATGCCGTGAACATTAACATTCTTTTACACGCCACAATGAACTCTCATTTCCCTTTGAAAATGACCATTGTCTCTCCTGCATCTTTTGAAAAACCCAATGGCAAAGCAAACAGTTCCTTTCAAGTTATTGAACAACAACAACAACAACAACCACACCAAGGCCATCCTATTCCACGAGGAGAGAGAGCCACCTATCAACGACACATGACACTTCCTTATTATTACAACACGCTTACAGTGGAGAATCGATACATTTCCTTACTCTCGCTCATCAATGTCACGTATCCACCTCGTATTTGTTCACTGTGCGACAAGACTTTTCGTAGCGCATCCGAGACAGATCACCATTATAAGATATCTCACAGGTGTCGCCGATTTCTTTGCTTACATCCACACTGTGATCGACGCTTCTCATCACGCACAGCTTTGCACTTTCACATGACCCGATCCCATCTTATCAATCAAGCTCCTCCGCAATACACAATTCAGGAACCACCATTTATGCAATATCGCGTTGAACCTAATATAGGTCGCTTTTCATCTTTCACTCCACCATCACCCCCGTTGCCATCATCACATTCACCACATCAACATGTTGCCATGGCAACAACATCTCAACTGACATCTGTACCCCAAACAACAACAACCTACAACAACTCTGCCCCAACGTCATCATCACCATCATGCGCATGCTGTGACTCACAAAAGATGGATGCCAACAAGCGGCATCATCATGGCCAACAACAAGAACCTTATTATTCTAGTAATTGCCCACCACCAAACGGCTCATCTCATCCGCCCACTACTACTACCAAAGATAGTCTATTATTATACCACATGCCACCACAAACAACCCACGGCAATAGTAATAATGCTGACCCTGAAAGCCAACCATCCGTCAATATGTCACCTACCACCCAATCCCAAACTTGTATTACAGCAAGTGTTCCGCAATAGAATAAAGAAGGGCATTTTCATCAAGAGAGCCAAATGTTAGTAGGCATCATCATAACGATCCAAATTTTGCTAGGTATAAAATAGAGTTAGCTTTCTTCTATTATTGCCCATACATTCTCGTATCCCTTACCCTACTATACAACAACCAGCATCCTTATCAATAGCTCTGGATCATGCACCTTGTTTGTCATCGCACAGCAAGAAAGAAGACTCCCACACAATTCCACATTTGATACCATTCGCCATCAATAGACACCATCCACATGTTATGTAAGATGGACGTTGATGGTGACGTTTATATTCAGAGTGCTGGTACATAGATGTGGGATGAAAGGGTTTGTAACATTGGTTCGATCTCCACGTATTTTGATCCCATAACAGTGGCTTGTGATTGAGAGCTCCAAAAAAGATACCTCTTCTAAGTAAAACATCCATAGCTATTGCATTGACATGTCGATTTTCAAGAAGATCACGTGATCTCGGATAGCCAAAAAAAAGAGAATGTCCTTCTAATTCCTTTGTTGGAATTCGAAAATCAGGATTGGAGACACGGGGACTTGAACCCCGGGCCTTTTGCATGCAAAGCAAACGTGATACCACTACACCATATCCCCATTTTTAATACCACGAGGTGGAACATGCATGATGGACCAAATACATACTTTTTTGGGAAAGCAAAAAGTACGCGTTTTCAACATAAAATTTACATTACCATGTAGCGGAGCAAACACCAAATCGATTGCTGCAATGCACACATTTTTATGGGAGCTCAATAGCGTGTAATGGCATGATAAAGGTAGATTAAAATCAATGGCTCAATCTCATTGGGTGGGCTTACTCCTCTCAAGTTTCGAACTCAGTGTTGTCAAAGAGGAGAAGCGTGAGTTTGCAGTCCTTGTGCTCCTTTATCTTCATTCATTCTCGATACAACTTTCACCATTGGCCATACCAGACAGCAGCACTAATTACTACCATAGGACGTTGAAAACGGCGACAATAAACAGCATTAGGGTGAGAACGTTCATTGGGTCGCGATGTTGTTCCTGAATGGCCATGGCGATCTCTGGAAGCAACATAGTAGTGAAGTCATAGCTCGTAGATAGGCAAATACGAGCTTTATTGAGATGTGCAATAGTATTTAAGTACTCAAGAATAAATTCTATATATCAAACTATACAAGGGGCTATGACAAAAAGCGATCGAATGTAAGGCAATAGGTCCTTTATATAACAAGGCAGACACAAGGAAGATGTATACGTGAAGGAGACACTTGAAGAGAGGATAAGACGAGATATCTTGCATTGACGATACAATTTCTGCGGGCTGGTTTTCTATGACAATGACACCGTCAATAATGGGTTACACATCTTCCGCTCGTTCCTTGTTCTTGCTTTTTCACCATGGCTTTACCGCGACAACATCAGTCTTCGTTCACTCCTCGTGAAATTGAATTCCTTGCCGGCAATGAGACGATAACAATCATTCCCACAGTCAAACTACCAAAACTCGACTTCATTCAGGTAGGTCTACCTTTGATCTACAAGATCGATCGTTGGAAGGGGTTGTTGTTGAACTTGACATTTGAAACAGGGCACCATTGGACCTTTTCAACCACCACTCAAAAGTACAGTTCCAGTATGGCTTGCTCTGCTCATGAAGAGGAACAATTTATGCACAGTGGTGCCACCAGAGTGGTTAACAGTTGGTAAGATAGGATCACTCTTTTATTACGCTCATGGTATTCAACATTCGATGCTGCTATAGAAAACTTGACGAGCAAATTGGAAGATGAGCAAACAGAACCCGAATTCAGTCAGCTACCGTTTCGATACATGGAACTCTCACATATGTTATTAGAAGTGTACGTATGTTCAAAGTAGATGGGGTGACTCTCTATCTCACTACTTCTATTACAGGGCATCCACTGATATCCCTAATGCGGAACAAGTACGGCGGCTATTGAAGGATTTAAGAGAAACACGACAAGCAAAGACACGTCTTGGTATCCAATCCCTGGATGATGAATCCTTGATGGTATATTATTACAAGCCGAGTGTGATTCCCCCAATGCTAAAGACATCAAAATAGATGAACAACATGTCACTTATGGAGATCAACGAGATTCGACCGCTCTTTATACGTGCATTCAACGAGATGAGAAAGCTTAGACAAGCAGAAGACGCATAGTGAAATTACAATAATAATACCCATTCCATTTTAACATCATTGTTTATCATTGTGTGTGTGTGTGTACGTCAAATATAAACTGGTAAAATAGAAAATGGTTGAATGGGTTGCGTATTTTCAAGATCCAATGCGTACATCATGCATTCTTTAGCTCGATCGCTTCGATGCATACATTGATGGATACGTCCCAAATGGAACCTACAAAAATGATTTCCAGAGTAAGGTTGAAGGTTGTCATCATCATCACCCAATGTGTCATGAACATCACACTTTACCATGCTGCAGCACTATGCCATCCAAATCCTTTGGTCAAACTCTCCAGTGTTCCTTCGGCCATTTCCATGTTGCCTATTTCAAAGTAGGCATTGGCCAAACAAAGCGAATTGTCAATGTCTTGAGGATCAATGCCTGCGCCCTTTTCGAATGCCTCTATTGCATTGTCTATATTCTTTTGGGCAAGCCAATAGCGTCCCAACATAGCCCACACGCGCGCATTGGATGTGCGATCGGCATTCTCAGCTTCCTCAATTGCCTTGAGTGCTTCACCAAGTTTGCCCAGCTTCAAAAAAGAAGACGCTGATAGCAACCAAAGGTCGGCTAGTATACTGGCAAAATGTTGTTGTCGTAGCCGAGTGGATAAATGAAGCTGTTGTCCATTGACGGGTGCTGTTGGTTTTAATAAACTCGACATGCTGCTTTGCGATGTACTGCCATGAGATAGCCCTGATAAAAGTCATTGGTATTTTATAGAATGGATATTGCCAAATTATCCTCTTACCTTCAGGAGAAAGATCCCCCGGGAAATTACAAGGTGCTTCATTCACTGTTAAATCTCTTTTTGATCGTCTAGTTGTGCTTCGTGAGCTGAAGAGGTGTAATCCATAGGATCGATGACTTGAGTTGGTGCGTACACTCTCTGGTATGCTATGCGTATCTTCATCAGGCACCGTCAAAAACGTGTTGCTATTCCCATTGCTAAAGGTTGAAGGGGATCGACGTTGCCTGCTGGTATGAACATCATCCGTGGATCGAGAAGCAGATATCTGTAACTCTTCCACTTGAGGCACTTGTTGGCTGCTGACACTTAATCCACGGCGTCGTTGTTGTGATAATTGGGTCTCGCTTTGTCCCAAGTTGTTGAGTGAGCCTGACACAATGAGATTCTTATTTTGGTACAGGAGAGCGTGTTGATTGTCAGCGGCTGATTGTTCCATTTTGCCGTATGCTGCAAATAATCCTTCTTGAGCTTCCAATGCTGCTTGTGGGCCGTAAAGCTTTTCGAACAAGAGTGATTGCGTCATTTGTAGCAAAAGACGTTGCTCTATAACATCAGGTTGATCATCCTCAGGCGTTTGTTGCTGAAGGCCAAGTTCACAAGTCTTCAAGGCACGCGTAAGATCGTTTTGACCAGGACATGAGCATACAAGTGTCAATAAATGCCAAAGGGAAATCTCGTTGGAATTTTGCTGAAGGGCTCGTGTTACTGCTTGCAATGCATTTTGTGTGTCGCGCATCTCAGCATATTGTAATGCAAGGTGATAGTATGTTTTCCAGCTGTGTGGATCCATATCGGCTGATTCACAAAACGCTTCAAGCGCCTTCTCATAGTAGGTTGCACGTAGACTCGAATCGCTTGCTATGAATTCTCTTTGTTAGGAGCTTCATTCTTCTCGTAAGCAACCACCATCATCCCACTTACTTTGCCGAGCTAAACAACTGTAAGCGATACCGGTAGCACGATACACCTGGGCTTCAAGCTTGGGTCCTTCGGCTGTTGGTACAACATCCGCCACCAGCTTTTTACGTGCCATCTCCGCCATCTCCACAGCAGCAGGCCCATCCCCAACGTGAACACAATACAACTTGACAGCTTCCAAAAACACGTGAATCATATCCGACAATGACTCCTTTTCATCGATTCGCTGTGATGCAATCGAAACCCGCTTGCCACTGACGGTTCTTTGCACAAGATGATCCAAAGCATGACCTTCAACATGTGGGATAGGTTGGCTTTTTCCAGTCAAGGAATTGGTTACAAAAGCATCTCCAGCGGATCGTGCGTCTTGCCATTCTTTGGTACTCAACCCCACTTGATGCAAATATGAATGCAAGGCATGCTTCGCTTCCTCGTAATCGCAGAGTCGCATCAAAGTATAAAACATGTGCCGCGTAATGCAAGGGGAGTTGAATGTGCGTTGAGCTGCTCTTTCCAAAACCTATCAACCCTCACCTCATGTTAGCTCTATTATCATGATGATGATTCTAATGTAGTAGAAGCTTACCTCCATAAATCCTCGAAGGTGTTGCGGTGTCAAGTTATCCAAAATGTCGATATCCGCGGCAAGCTGATTAACGAAATCGATCACCAGCCAGTTGGTATCGCCTGCTTTGGGAAAATAGGCTTCGGACAATAGCATTCTCTCGTATAGGGTATATAAGGACATGATCTCAGAAGTAAAGGCCTGCTGTGAACCAGGTAGTTGTCTACAACAACAATAATAAATACCGAATCCATATCACACATGACATCATGTATGTCCCTTACCCATTGGTATCAATGTAGTGTCCGGCAGTGAAGAGTGATGACAAGTACTTTGTGGAATGCCGTATGATATTCATGCGTTTGATGGTGCGCCAACCAATCGGCTGTCCAACCGTAACATTGTGATACGTTCGAATAAAATCCACCGTGTGCTGCTGTTGTACCAATGACCTGTAGCAGTAATGTGTAACATGGATCAATATTCCCGCCACATCCCAATCATCCCGAATTCTTCTTTTACCTATTTCCAATGGCTGCTAGCACAGCTCGATACAATGCTTCTTCGGTCCATTCGATAAATACAAGATCATTGCTGCTGGCCTCACTGGCATTCTTTAACAGATCCATAATCCCCAAAAAGCTCTGCATGGCAGCATCCATATTGCCGGCCTTTTCATATCCAATGGCTACCATAGCAACCAGTTACTTGTCCAATTCATACATCCTCCATCTTACAACCCATCTCGTATGCATTACCTTTGATAGCTCTTGCTTGCAAAAAGAGGATAAGACCATAGCCGGAAGCAACATCGTCTTTTTTGAATGACAAGGCTTCCACGATATCCAATGCTTTTGGCATTTCATCACATTCATAATAGCAACGTGCCATCACCACGCGACAAAACTATATTTCAAGTTGTATGAGATGATGATGGATGCATCATGCATAAGCACCACCACCACATACCTCTTTTTCTGCATCCGTTGTCAAGTCGTTTGCCGATTCAAGGGCCGACTCCAGTTGCTGCAGTAACGGTTCGACCTGATGGGACTCTACGCGTACTTGATTGCCGTCATCGTCCTCGTAGTTCTCAATGTATTGCGCCAGGGTTGCTTCGACAAGAATGGTTTGCTCCAAGACTGAAATGGGAACGCATGGTGAGCCATGGAGCGCTGTGTTTGACGTGTCACCCCAAGAAAACGATACCTGTGCCACTACTACAGTACTTTTTGTACCTCCTAGCCAACTCAGGGATGGCATACCATTGTCCTTTACATCTTGCGGATTCAATGTCTCTGACGATTTGGGATATTTTGCTGGTCGTCATGACAAGTGAGTTGGGTAAAGAGGAAATAAGGGAAAGGAGCACGAGTGCAACTTGCAAAGGAGATCGAAACCACGAGTACCCAGCGCATGGTATCCATGGCTACACCTACCCACCCACCCACATTCTACTACCACTCACCCATCCCCCTCATCTCCCCATATCTCTTTTTTGATAACAATCATCATCATTCATGTACAATAAATTGAGAATTATAAATATACGTGAATAGGACACGTGAATATACAACAAGGGGTGGTGTTTGTGCACGAACCACTATTTTGGATAAGCAATCACATATTCTCCAGGTGAACTTCCATGTTTATTCCACATAATTAGCCGGAAACATTCCTGAACGTCCATTTAATGTTCCTTCCCACCATCCACTATCATCTTTTTTTGTTACAAGGATTCGGTCGCCTTCACGGATATTCAACTCATCACTATTCACTGCTTCGAAATCATACATGGCCACCACATAGGTAGGAGGTGATGGTGGTGGGCTCTGTTCATGGGTAACGATAGGATGTTGTTGTTGTTCTTGAAGATGCTCTTGTTGTGCCTGGATAGGTGGTTCTTCAATAGGTTGCTGTGGTGATGGAGTAGTAGTAGTAGTGGCTTCAAAGGGTGATACGGGTGGTGGTGGTGATGGTGATGTTGATGGGGTCGTTTGTTCAAATGTAATGTAGTTGGCTGGAACATAACCTGTCTCTTGACCTCTTGCCACTTTTAGCCATCCATTCTCGCCATCATCTAACGAAAATAGTGGTGAGTAAACGAGGTTGAAAATCAACAACAAGTGAGCACACACACCTTCTGATCCAATAATATTCAGTAATTCTCCCTCGTTGATGGTAAGCTCATCAGATGATTGTGCGTTGTAGTCATAGAGTGCTCGTACGGATAGGGCTGATTCTACAGCAATCGTTTGTGTTCCAAGGGGTGCAGCCGTGGTGGGACTTGTGGGTAAAGAAGAGGAGGGTCTAGTTGCATTGGATGTTCTTGGTGTTGATGATGGACTTGGTTGAGGAGCAGGGGATGGATGATAGCGATTGATCTTTCCTTTGACCTTGGTACAATTTGGAGCCACCTTCATTTCACATTTAGCATGACAATTGAGACCACACGCTATCCAACAACACCATGTTAGTTAAATCCATTATTCCATCCATTCACCCATAATGCATATTGTACCTTTACAAGTCATCCCTTGCTTTGATAGACCCCAAATAGTGTTTCCACAATAGTCGCATGTTGTTGGAATTGTGAATGAAGACGCCTTAAAGTCATGGCTTTGCATGTTCAACCCGCTATCACCGATACTTTGGATGATCAAATCGACTTCGCTCTTGACACGTGCCTTTTGAGTTGATAACATGGTAACATTCCTTGCTACCTCCACAAGTCGCTATATAATATACAAGATTAGCAGCCATTGATAGTAAGAGCCCATTTTCTCATTTACCTCGTGTGTCACATCATACTGAGCAGATGCCTTGTTTTGGATCGTTTTCAATTCTGATTCAAAGCTCTTCATTTGATCTGAATTTCGCGATAGCTCGTCACCTAATTGATCCAATCGACGCCGATCTTTGATAAGCTTATTGTTCAAAAAGATAACGGAAGGCTCATCAATCACCAATCGATCATCCGTGTCCACGGCTGTGCCAGCTGCATTCGCTCCTCCATTCCAAGGCACAAATGAAAAGTGCTTGTTCATATCCTCCTGCTGATGTGGATCCGGTAAATGGGATGATTGGAATATGGCGGCATCTGCTGTTGCATCCATTTGGTCGACCGGCCCCAGTGCTTCTGCATAATAATGCTTGATGGATGCCATGGTGCTGCTGGTCTTTTCAATGTAGCTCCGATAGATTTCCTGCAATGCCAAAACACGCGTGCTGTCAAGATCTTGCAGTTGCTAATAATGATTGTTATCAGCCTCCGATCCATTCATCCCTACAAACACACATGACATGTGTGTGCACTTACATCAGCTAGCATAGGAAGATCCTCTTCATAGTATTTTTCCCTTTCAGCATTGGCGACGCTCAAAGCAAGCAAATACGCATTCTGTGATATCCCATCCTCTTGTAAGTGATATGCCTTTATCAACCCTCTCCTAATTTACCTTTTTGTTGTTGCATTCGATGATGGCATTGTCAAGTTGTCGTTGATACTGTGATATACATAAATAAGCCTTTGCCATTCCCGGATAATGATCCTCCTCCTTTTACCTTTTCTTGATCACCAGTGCCTTTTGCAATCTTATTGCGTATGTTTTGAATCTCCATGCAGCTGTCATCGTATAATCCTTTTGCTTTGTCCTTGTCTTGATATGTCCTGTCTCTCTCTGCCTTGAGCTTTTGATAGAATGACACATGCTAGATGGGATAGAAATTAGTATGCATGATTTCTCGGCATCCTCTTGGCATAAAGGTTACCTTTTTGCGAGATTCTTCTTTTCGAGTGATTGTGCCTTTGAGAGCATCCATCATTGGGCCATTCAGATTCTCCATCAATTCAAAATGACATTTGGCCACCATCCCCGTTTGAGTGATAAGACCCTTCCATGCTGCGTTGGATGTGCTATTCTCATGTGTGTGAGTGAGTATGTCAGAATGATCTCATACACACACACACACACACACCACCCCTCCCAACTTACCTGGTATCCATGCCCTCCCATTCATCCTCCTCAACGTTGGTGCTCTTGTTGCTGTTGCTGGAATACTTTTTGGCAAGGTTGTCAAGCTTCTGTGCATACTCCTTTTCAATTTGGGATCGATCGCGTATAAAGTTCCGAAATCGTTGCAATTGCTGGATGCCGTCAGCAACATAGTCGACAATGGCAGGGACTTGGTTCTATCGTCAGTCGTCGAGTTGCATTAGTATACGAGGAATGCGGGTTGATGTCCAAATGCACTAGTTGATATTACTCGAAGCTCGATACCAAAACTCATGGTTACTGGAAAAAGAAAGGCTATAAACTTGGCATACACTTGGCATGGTTTCCTTTATCCAGACATGCGGCACTCTCTCCGACACAATGAAACGACACACACACATGAACAGAACGACCTCATTGTCATGGATTTATAAGGAGCTTAATCAATCAAGTAGCAATGGAATGAGTCCACCCCATATTCCTCCTCTTATTATACTTGTTGTAGTAGTAGTTGTTGTTGTTTCATAGACTAAAAGAATGAAGCTTTCCTTTGTTACCTGAATATCTTTCGTGCTCCCTTTGTTTGCTATACACAGCAAGTTTGTCAAACCATAAATCCATATCGCATGACCATTCGTTACCAAGCATCGTCATCTCTGTTCTTCTTACAAACAATGTGTGTGTGTAACCCATATCATTAATCCCAGTAACTTTCATCTATTATTAACCCCTTGCTCGAGAATGTGGGG